CCAAGTTCGCGCTTCGCGAATGTGACGCCAAGTTCGCGCTTCGCGAACGCTTTGTTGCGTTTCAGAATACCAACAACAATCGGGAACGAGTCGCAAACGCGGCGCGAAGCCGTGAAGAATATGCGAATGGGATTCACACTCATGCTTCGCGGGTAGTTTGCGACTTCGTGCGTGAATCGCGCGCGAGTGTGGAGAAGCCATAACAAAGTCTGTTGTCCGTTTGTGTCATTGTCAGTGGACACATATTAGTTGACGCGCATTAGCATCGCCTCCTTGCTTGTCTTTTATATGGGATTTTTTCAGTACACATCAGCATCGACCCACAATCGATATTCCCAAGTACATCATAACTACAGCCAGTTATGAACATTAGTTGTAGTATAGAGTGATAATCTGTTTGCCAAAAATGCTCTCTTTACTCGCAATTTGGCACGAGTCCACAGTTTTCGGTGATAAAATATTCATCACTATTTATGTACGAACAATAAATAAATGTGCAATATAAAGTTTGGTTCTTATCATTACAAATTTTCCAACTCTTGAATGTAGGACTGATAAATGAGTCTAAATATTGTATATTTGCAAACTGAATTTCGTAAAAACCCTGTTTACCTATAAATTGTCGTAAATGCGATATTCGAAATGGTACTGAAAATACACATCGGAATAAGGACGATTATGGCCCCATGCATATTCATTTGCACAATCGACGGCGCCAAACATTTTACAACTCAAGGTTAAGAAACATCAAAATCTGTCAGCATCAGGCAGCAGGAATGATTGATTGTTGTATAACTCGTACAACATCAAAAATTTTCTATTTCATTACAGACCCTTTAATGGAGTCGCGTGGAACCTTCACCATTATAAAACGTTTCTAATAACTACCAATACAGTAATTTGGCGACACTTGGGGCGACATCAGGGGATACTCAGTAGCGTCATCGCATTTCCAATTTCAGGGCACCTCTCCGTGCCGCTCACATAGTACATTCGGCACCCGTAAGGCGGCGCTGCGACGACGATAGGCGCTCGACAGGGAGGGTAAAGACATACGCCAACGTATTTCCGGAACTTGCACGCTATATTGAATCCGGAATGATTCTTTATTCCCCAGGGCGAGAACGGCGACCGCCGAGAGCGAGCGCGCTGCCTCAACTCTTTAGAGCCTCTAGCAGTCGGGAACCTCGTGTGAGTCGTTGGCGGGCGCGGGACTGCCAGCACGCGGAGGCTAGCACAGACCATGCAAGCGGCGCTGCGTAGGCGGCGGACGCGCGGCCGCCAGCAGCCGCAGCAACGGCCGCCCACACAACGCCACCAGGCCCCCACCCGCCCAGCGCGCCGCCGCAGCCTCCTCCACCTGCTCCACATCCAGAAGGTTAACTCTACAACAGCCTAAGCCAATTACAACTAGTGAGTCGCTATGGACCACTTGGTTCACAAACCTCGGCTATACGATTAAGCGACCGTGATTCCCTGAGCCGGCTCTCCTTGCGAGCCGCGCGCCTGCGCCGTCCGCCGCCTGCGCCATTACCGCCACGCGCATCGCCTGCAGCTCCGCCGGTGTTGCCGGTGCTGCCTGTACCTCCGCCGTTGGTTCCTGAGCACGGAGTGCGCGTCGCCTGAAATACCTCGTATACATCATTTTCACAACTCCGAATGTAGAATGAAACGGTAAACCGAAAGCCGGTGAAGTCCTCACTTCGAAAGTTGCGCCCCTGGAACCCCTCGCACCAGCGCCGGCGCCACGCTCCTGACTGTCGCTGGAGTCGTCGTGCGAGTCGCGGCGGGCGCGCTCTGGCGGGGCGTCCGCATTCTCCGCCGCACGCTTCTTCTTCTCGGAATCGTCGTCCGACAAGTCGGACGAGGAGCAGGATCCGGCACGCGGCCGCCGCCGCCGGCATTCCAAGCGCTGTCGACGCGCGGGCGGCGGCGCGGGCGGGGGTGCCGTGCGCGCGGTCGCGCCCCCCTCGACTCCCGCGGGAGTGCAGCGCGGACCCGTCGCGGTCGACGGCCTCGCGTTCGATAGGGGTACATCCAACGCGATGCCGTCGTCTAGATTCACCTGTGAACGATTCCAATTCCACTCCAAGGTTTTCATCGTAGTAAAAATCTTCGGTTTCCTAAGGTAGCGGGCCTCAGCGACTACAATAAATAGGTGAATGACGGTGGTCACACAAATTGTACCTCATACCCGCTCGTTCATTGTAAATACGATCGCGAGAGTCCATGTTAATTCGAATAGTTCGATTTTGCAGCAAGCTGCTCCGCGCCCGCAATATCCTTGCGATGAGCAGGTTATAAACAGAGAGTACGGTCAATCTAAGTGAAGTCGTACCCGTGTGAGGTTGTCGGCGAGCTGTGCTGGACGAGGCTGCGGCTGCACAGCCCGTGCAGCGACGTGCAGGCGGCCCTCGGAGCGAGAGCCGCGGCGCGCGTCGGCGGCCCGCGCACTGCCGCCACTCGCCACCGCGCTCTCTTCGTCGTCTTCCTCCTCGCGCACGATGCTGCACTTCCGCGACCGCTATGAAAAACGCTCTTGTTACTGCAGCACTCGCATTTTAAGTCTCGAGGCGTCTCCACTAAGCGAGTGAGTGTTACCGGCGGCACATCTTGCGGCGTGCGAGGCGCGACGTGGTGCGGCGGCGGAACCAGCAAGTTGCGTGGCGTTCCGCCACCGCTTCGCGGCACGCTCAGGGCCTCGGGTCTGCGTGCCATCGCGCGGTCCTCTTGCCTGAATGTTGTATTGAGAATGTTCAAATTTTTTTGAAACATACTTTGTGGCCTGTGAGTATGATCTACTGCACTCACCTTTTGGCTCTCAATTTCCGTTCAGCCAACAGATAATAAGTGGCTGTGATGTGATTGTATTCATTTTTCTCTAATGAATCGAGTATTTGTTCTTTGGTAGCTATGTTTCCATTGACCATCCTTTGTACTATAGCGGACCGGTCGTCCTCGGTTAATAGTTCTTTGGCTACTAGTGGCGTATCGAAATCCTCGACTGTCACGCCCTCGCCGACAGTCACCCATGGATCTGCCGCTATTTCTGCTAAAGTCGCTCTTTTCTCAGGTTCTCTTACTAACATTCGTCCTATAAGCCTGAAATATTTTGCAGTTACATATTAACTATAGAATTGAGTTAAAAATTATATATTTTTATTTTGTTCATCGATTAAATTTTTACCTCTTACAAGAACTCGATATATGCGGTGGAATAGTATATTTGCAATCCATAATCATGGTTAATGTTTCACTATCATTAGCTTCTTGAAATGGAGGTTGACCACAAACTAACATGTATAGAATGACACCCAGGGACCAAACATCAACTGCTGGTGCATCATAGGAGTCGCCTAACAAAATTTCGGGAGCAGAATATGCCAAAGAGCCACACGAAGTCTCTAACTTTTGACCAGGACAGAATTTATTGCTAAAACCAAAATCAGTCAATTTCACTACACCTAGTTTTTCAAAGAATACTACATTTTCCGGTTTCAAATCCCGGTGTACAACATGTAACCTGTAAAAAATATAAACATTGTTCATATAGTTACTTATTTCAAATATAATTGTTCAAATTTTTGAAAAAAAACTTCTTACCGGTGACAATATGAGATTGCACGTACTATTTGACGAAAATAATCACGAGCCAGAGATTCTGACAATCCAGATTCGTGTCTCATTATGTAGTCATATAAATCCCCACCATCACCTAGTTCTAATATTAAATATAGTTTTGTTTGCGTGTCTATTACTTCATAGAGTCTAACCACATTGGGATGCTGCACAAGCTTCATACACCGAACCTAAAACAACAATAACACCTGACACTCAATAATGGAATCATGATAAATACATATTTAAATTTGCATCATAAAGGTTATTTCTAGAGCCTCTAGACCTTGTCTTGTATTTGTCTGTTACGACTATCAGCTTGTTGAGCACATTATATAATTTTTTACTTCATTTATAGTTTACATTACCATGATACATAATTATTATACTACTAATAGATAAAGTTAGAGTTCTCTCCAGGATAAATAAGAAAACAATTATTTATATTTAAATGCAAAAAAAATGTATTTGTTCTTCTTTCAAACTGGAACAAAACACTTAATAATGACCCCATAATGACCCCTAGAAGTCCAGTTTGAATTGTCAGATAATCTGCTGAAGTTCTACAAAAGAAATAAAGATCCAAATATTTTTTATGATATCAAATGACAAGTGCGCTTGGTTACAAGCAACATGACTGTGCATTGTAGTTGCAGCTCCACTCAAAGCTTTAAATCAGCTGCCCTCGTTACTATAAGACATAAAGTTCATAATTGCCATGTGCCTGTAATTTCACCTATAAACTTTACCCTTCGAAACCAGATTGCATTAATGATCATGTTACTGCTTAGTGGGCGAAATAGACATGATAGCAGTACTTCCCCGGACAAACTCTACAAATATATGACAATCTATGGCACACAAAGTAACTTTTCATTGTAATTTAAAAATACTACTCCCATAACTGCAGTTTATAAGTCTCTTGAGGTCCACATGGCCCCATGGACTGTGAGCAGGTCAAATTTATATTCATATAATATAAAAAATTAAATAAGAGTTCGATGTAAGGAATTTATGACCTCTAAATAGTCAGCATTGCTCAAAATCTCAACGTACAAAGCGTAGAACACTCCCTTTACTAACTTACCTCTTGAAATAAATGCGACTTAGAAACTTCATCCAATTTGCTCTTATCAATCACTTTAACAGCAACTTTTTCTCCTGTAAAAACATGTCTCGCCAACTTCACTACAGCAAAATGTCCTGATCCTAAAGTATCCAGCAGGTCATAGAGACCAGCTATTTTGGCATCATATGCTCCTCCTGCACCAACCACACCCCCCATAACCCCACTCCCACAATTATTCATTGTTAATGATGCTGAAAGAGAAGTTAGTGATGTAGTCATAACACATTAATTTATTTTTCATAGTATTTTCAATAGATTCTAAAATAAAATTGTGAAAAGAATTATAATATTTAGTAAAATAAATAGTTGTTTGAAAAAAATTTTAATAATTTCAATTTCCTATATATTATTTAGGTACCTATAACATGTGACATTGATGATTTCAACATTATCAATGTCACAAACATTATAGGGTCAGCTCTTAGGCAAGCAAAAATGAGCTGGGAAATGTCATACACTTTATAGTAGGTACTAGCACTACACCCATAATCCAATAGGAAACTAAATCAGGTTTTGATGATTCCTTGAAGATGATTATACGACTACTAATATAACAAAAGAGTGCTAGATATAGAAGAATATTTTTTAAACTTGAATATCCAAAATTGGCACATTATTTACTGACCTACATAATAGTTATTAGGGACACCAAACTGTAACAAATATTTCATAAAAAGGATCTACGGAGAAATTAGGGAAGTACTTCATGTTAATTGCACTGATAATGCAAGCAGTAACCACTTACCTCCGTAGAAATTGTTATATTTCCAAAGCTCAGCAAAGAAAATCAACACTGAGCAAAACGCATCAACTGGGTTCAATTAACATAGTTTGAATGAAGTTAAACCAATACAAAGATATTCTCAAAGTAAATAACGATAAATATCATAACAATAGTTACAAAACTGCATTATTTTAGTTATAAAATTGTAATTATCGAACATAAAATGGATTGATTCAAGAATCACAATTTCGCCATTTCACAAAAATTAGTTTAGAAATATTAACAGTCTGTCTGACTCAGGTCTGAGTAAACTTTTTATATTGTAGATGAAAACACTTCAATTTCAATCTATTTTTGATCTTTGATTATTATAAAGTAACAAAGTCTGCAGAACATTTGAGTAAATCAATTAAATCTTATAAGATGGAAAAAAATCGAGAAAATCGTTCTCATGTAGGTAATTCTGGATTATGTACAACTGCGTTTCTGAACAGGAAATGTCAATTGTTCAATCAATGAATGCGCTATCTCGTTCTATCACCTGCAAAGTGAACAACATGTGTGCGACAAAGATAGTGAATTACCTTCTTTATGGTTTCTGATCAGTCATAGGTCGTAAAATTGTCAACTTCGACCAATTAGAACTTTGCAAAACATCGCGCATTATCTGTCAATTGGAAAAATAAAGCGCGGCAAACTTGATTAAAGAGAAAAAACAGCGGGTTTTAATAATTATGGTTTTAATCATTTTAATAGTTACATTTTTAACCGACTTCAAAAAAGGACTTCAAAAGAGGTTCTCAATTCGATTGTATGTTCTTTTTTTCTTTTTTTTTTTTGTATGTATGTTACGAGATAATTCCGGTATTTGTGAACCGATTGACATGATTCTTTTTTTGTTGGTAAGGGGGACATCCATAGTGGTCCCATTTCATTTTGAAGAAATCATCCACCTCGAAGGGTGGCTGTTCACGCATGAAGATTCATTTTTATAAATAGCGCCTAACTTTAATTTAGGAGCAATTACTTTAATGGTTGATTTTGCTATTTCTCCAATTCAAGGCGCTTTTCTTTCAATATACTTTGAGAAGTGTCGTAGTGAGAACTTATTTTTATTATCTCTAGTGTCAAGTCCTGTATAGTGGCGAACTAGGGGATATTTCAATAAAACTTAACAAATAGAAGTAATTCCACGTACTTTTGAGGTCGTTTTTTTTTAGTACTCTGTACTGAGATCATTACACGAATTAATTTTTATTTTATGTATATTACTTTGTACGTTTCTTGATTATTTGTTACCATTAAGCTGATGGCTCTGAAGCCAATGCTTTATAAATAAATAAATAATAATGATTTTGGCGGCACATAGTATTTTCGAATAATTTTAAGAATTAGCTAGTGTAGATAGTTATTTAGTAATGTTCTTATGATCAAATAAACTTTACAGTTATATTTTGCATGAGGACAAGTTTCTTACGGTTTTGTATGCGCCTGAAACGTGCCTGAACCTTATGATGTCATCATGTGGGCCAGCAGGCTTAGCATTAGCCCGAAAGCAAAAGTTATCTCTTCTTCGATAACAGTTCCAAGAAGAAATAACTTTTGTCTTCGAGAGAAAATTAACATTGCGAAGAAGAGATAACTTTTGTCTTCGGGCTCAAGCTAAGCCTGCAGGTAAAGCTTTTACCTTTAGAGCGTAGCTAACGTCAAAATAGGAGAGGAAGACTTTTTTTATACTACTAAGGGCTATAGCGGTTATCCCATTCTAGGTATCATCATTCAACAAGTGCAAGTCGTATGTAGGTTTTTGTGTAATTGAACATACCTAGTTAATTTTACAGATTCATACTAATCAGTAATATATTTACATTTTTTTAAATTCAATATAATGGACTGGATATGTTCAATGTTTTCGTTAAGAACTTATCAACAAAATATTAAACGTCTGAAACGATTTGGCAAATTTCGCAGTCATATTGCTAAAACTGATACAAACATGGGAAAGTGTACTCCTATTCAAGAAGGATTTGCAAAAAGTACTGTTAAATATGTTATATAAATTTGCAAAATCTCTTATTCGTAATTGCAATTGAGCCTTATCGTCGCATTTCAAGTTTTATTTGTAATCTCGTTACTAAATTTTTTAAATAAGGTTACCTGTAACTTGACTGCATCTCTTTACCTTTTCAGATCGGCCATGGAATCGGTTCTTAAGTTTTTCACGTTTTTACGGAGATTTTGGCTCTTTTAACTATTAATTATAACTATCGGTAACGTTTCTAAATTCGTCCATGATCTTCATCGTCATTTGGGAGCTTAAGCAAATTAGGAACGCTTATATGTAACCCGTAGATATCGGGCAAAAACTCGCTCGCGACACTTGCTCGTGTCAGGATACACACTGCTCTTCCGTGTTCAATTATTAGATTCCGTAATTTCACAGATTATTTAATCTTTCACCCTTTAGTGTTAAAAATTATGAATAAGAAATGAACAAGGAACCACTTGAACAACCCTTTGTTAACGAAGGTTTTGAACGTAGATAGTAATGCTAGCAACGTTGGAAATGGAGTATATCATTCTCAACATAACACTGTCCCCACCAGGGGGAGAGCTGATAGAGACTCGTGGAGCATACTACTTAAACATTTTTCAGTAGTATTCGCCTAGACTTCTTAATTATCATTACGGTAGGTATTATAGTAAACGAGTACACTGACAAGGCCGTGTGGAAGTCCTGAGACGCACATTACAAGATTACAGCCACACTTAGTGTCCATAAGGACAGTCAGTGTCCATAAGGACAGTCAGTAAACTGTTATCAGTTTCAGTGCCACTAAAAGCTTTAAATCCCAAATATCTGGCACAGTGTTGACAAGCCCCGTGTGTCAGTTATAATTTCACATTTACCCTTCAAAACCGAAACGCAGTCAAGCTCACATTACTACTTGGCGGCAGAAATAGGTAAGCTGGAAATACTTCCTTGGACGAACTGTTTCACAACTATTTAATTTAACTAAATAATATTAAATATAAATATATTAAATATAAAAACATAAAACTATTTAAATAATGTCTCAAGTCTGTAATAATGAATCAAGCAAAATATCTACAATATTTATAGTAGGTAGGTACTTTTAGGTATTTATAGCAGGTAGGGACATCCTGTACACTTAACTACATACCGTGATTTATTTTAGAAAATAATATTTTAAACATTTAACTGTTGTGTATTTCTACCATCCTGTATCGAAGTTGTTTACGTTTTTCATTTTGGTTCACATCGTTTTTGTGTCGAATCATCCATAAACGGGGCCTACGGAAAAAAAAATACGTATGATAACGTAGTGATTACATTCTCTTTCAAAATATATATCGTGACGTATCTGTGAAGGGGCGAAGCGCAGTGATTTCACACCGCTCGCTCGTCAGCTATCAATGCGAAGCAATAGGCACATTTCGAGTTCTTAGGTTTTCGCGATTGTTACACATAGGAAATGAAACTATTTTTCCGGATTTAAATCGCGTATATTTGTTTTTTCAAACAAACCGACGTTTCGGGCCCTTTACAGGTCCCATGGTCACGGTTGACTGAGGTGGTACAGTCTTCAACCAGTTATGTCTAATATTGATGCAAACCACCCTATTTTTTTCACTATAGTTACAATAGTTATTAATTAAATACCTTATTTTTAATTTTACAAAGAAAACATTCCAATTTACGCTATATTAAGTTTTACAAATTATTTTATCGAATGAATTTTTATTAAGTTCAATTTATTATTAATTATTAATAGAAATTAGAATAAACTAAAACATATTAATTAGTACTGCAGTCTTATGTCTGTTTGGGATTTTTCATTAGAGGAAATACTGGATCCCAAACTGGTGGTACAGAGGAAACATCTTCCCTGTTAAAATTAGGATGTTTTTTAATTTCAATGGCCTCTCGCAGCATCCTGGGTAGATAACGGACTTTTTTTGCAAGGACCTGGGGTTTGTCAAACTTCATTGAATGTGTAGGTTTATCCAAGACATGCTCGCAGACTGCAGACTTGTTTGATAAAAAATAATTAAACAGTGAATTGTTAGAAATTTTGGTTTTTATTCAGTCATAAAGTCATAAATCACGATCGTGCTTGTCAGGATGGAAATGACTAGATTAGTTTTTTTTTTTTTACTTAATTTTTTTTGTTTTTAGGGACATTAACATTAGATTTGGTTGCTCACATCATCGGAAACGTTGACAAATCGAGGTTACGTGAATCTGACCTTGAACGTCGAGAACAGTAGATAGAAAGTGATAATGCTCTCATATCGTCTCCATCTAGTAGTCGTCGAAGTCATCACAGTTATGGTAGGAGGTAGACTATTCGCAGCCGTATTATTATATATATAAATAAGATGGCCGTCATGAGGACAACTCCAACTGCGGCCCTCGAAGCGATGCTGGACCTTCGACCCCTCCCACTGTTCATCAGACAGGAAGCGGCGTCAACAGCAGTGCGTCTAAACAGAGCCGGCCTCTGGAAGCACATGAGGACCCCACATACAGAAATCCTCTACAAGTCTGTCAATGAGGAACCGCTACTGGAGGCGGTTGTGGATAGGATCCCAAAACAATACATCTTTGACAAGAAATACAAGATACAATTATTCGAAGATCCCAACGAAGGACTGAACCCCAGAGAGGTCCGAGTCTTCACCGACGGATCCAAAACAAACTCAGAAACAGGTACTGGGGTATTCTCAGAAGACCTCAATATCAGGATATCAGCACCGCTTGGTGACCACAACACAGTATTCCGGTCTGAATGCATGGGCATCAAGTTGGCAGCAGAAGCAATCATAGCGAGAAGAGTAAAGAACTACTCCATTCGAATACTCTCCGACAGTATGTCAGTACTTCAAGCACTGAATAGCTATGACTTAAACTCAGGGCTCATTTACGAATGCCATCAAGCACTCATGGAGGTATGTATACAAAACCACGTAACTCTTCAGTGGATTAAAGGACACAGCGGCTCACGTGGCAATGATGCAGCAGATGAACTAGCCAGGAAAGGGTCGGAGACGGACGCTGTAGGACCAGAACCGATAGTGTCCCTCCCCTCCCAATGGTCCAGAACAACTATACACAAAGGTACAAAATCTTCACATAATAATACATGGACCACCCTTACGGTTTGTAGACAGGCGAGGGAAGCACTCCCAACGCTCAATGCCAGTCTATCTCGAATACTAATTAAACTTAAAAGGCAAGAGCTTCGCACTCTAACTGCCGCCCTAACGGGTCATGGTCCATATAATAAACACTTTAGACACACTACAAAAAACACTATAAAAAATTTAGGTATCACAGACAGCCCTCTATGTAGAGCGTGCATGGAGGGGGAGGAAACGGCTGCGCACATCCTACTTCAGTGCTCCGGCGTGGCCAACTACAGGGCAAAATACCTTGGAGTGCCAAGGTCGCTCCCCGAAGTCTTCAGCAAACCAAGGAGGCTGCTGAGATTCCTGGAGGAGCTTGGGTGGCACGAGTAGGACCCTGCACCCACCACACGCAAAATAAGCGCTTTGTCGTCGAGTTGCGGATACCAGCCCGTTGCACCAAGTACCAAGTACCAAGTACCAAGATGGCCGTCATACAAATTTCAAAGTCTCCTATCACGGAAACTATTAGAGATAGGTAGGAGGTGCTCGAAGGAATGTCATAGAGATTAATAGTGGTCAACTGCCTGGGTTAAAAAAACAAGATGGCGAATTCAAAATGGCGGCCGAAGAAAATTTCAATAGTTTGATGAATATTGAATGTCCAATTAAACTGTATAGTGCATTGAGGAAGTTGTTTACTGATATTTATAGTCAGTGTTACAAAACTAATATAATTAAAAGTAGCAATAGAAATAACAAAAGCTGGGTTACAGTCAAGTTAAAAAACATGATAAAAGAAAGAGATAGATTATTTGCTGTATGGAGTAATGAGCCTAAAAATATGAATAAAAGATTGAGTTATACTAGATATAGAAATAAATGTACAAAATTATTGAATAAATGTAGTAACGAGTATGATAAACAATGTATATTGGATTGTAATAATAATGTTAAGAAAATATGGGAGAGAATTCATATATTAATGGGTAATAACAAGCAAGATTTGGATGGTTTTATTTTAACAAATATTGATTCTCAAGTTAGTATAAAGGACATTTGTAATAATTTCGCAAATGTTTTCTCGAACGAAATTGAACAAATAAAGCATGACTGTGACATCAAATGGTTAGATAGGAGCAGTTATGTTAAAGAGACAGACGTGTGCATGAGGTGGCAACCAGTTAAAAAGCATCAAGTTGAAAAAATAATAAAAAACATGAACTCAAATAAATCACCTGGTAGCGATCTCGTGCGTATGTCTGATCTAAAAGTAATTATTAATAATATAACACCAATAATTTCAAAGCTTGTTAATTTGTCTGTGAGTAATCATAAGTTTCCGCTTAAGTTAAAAGAGGCTATAGTGCGCCCTATTTATAAAAAAGGTAATCGTAAAAACTATGCTAATTACAGGCCCATATCTATTTTGTCAAGCATTGACAAAATAATAGAAAAATGTATTGTAGATCAGCTTGGGAATTATCTTCAAAAAAATAACATTATTAACAAGAGTCAACATGGATTCCAGAAAGGGAAAAGTACTAGCACGTTATTATCGAATTTTACCAATGAAGTGAATGAGTACTTGGGAGATAAAAAGATTGTAGTAGCAATATTTTTTGATTTTAAAAAAGCTTTTGAAACACTTCAAACAGAAACCTTGTTAAATGCAATGGAGGAGTGTGGGATTGGTGGATCGCTGAACAAATGGTTCAGAGATTATCTCACCTCACGGTCATACAGAGTGAAGGTGTGTGACAGGTACAGTGAAGAGAAAGAAGTATTGTGTGGGGTGCCTCAAGGTTCTGGCTGTGGACCTATATGTTACCTAATGCACGTCAACAGTTTGTATGGTGTGCTACAACACTGTACGGCGCATATGTTCGCCGACGACCTGTGCATTCTACGGGCTGGAACGGATCTGGCGGAGATCAACCGTATGGTGCAACAGGATGTAAACGCAGTAGTTAAATGGAGCCACGATAACGGAATTATACTAAACACAGAAAAAACTAAATTATTAATAATACATTCTCCTTATATGCCTTTGGAGGACTCCCCCAGTCTCATACTCGCCCATTCATTTCAATGTTTACATAATAGTAATAATTGTAATTGTAAGCCTATAGAAAGAGTAAAATGCGTGACATACTTAGGTATGAAAGTAGATGAACATTTTTCTTGGTCCGCTCATATAGATTTTATTTGTAACAAACTTAGAATACTGTTAGGTAAATTCTACCACTTAAGTTACAAAGTACCAAGTAGCACATTAAAGTGTTTATATATGGCATTGGTGGAATCAATACTGAATTATGCCCTTGACAGTTATGGACTTACATTTAGATCATACATTCACAGGTTAGAGAACATGCAAATTAGGTTTTTAAAATTACTTGTTAACAATAAAACAAAAGCAAAATGTAAAGGTGACTACAGTAAATTGTTCAAAATTTGTAAAATTTTACCGGTAAGTCTACAGCACAAATACCTTTTGGCTGTTAATAATTATAGTGATGTGTCTAGTAATTTGTTATGTAAAATTAATAACAAATACAACACAAGATCAATGACAACGGGTAAATTTATAGTACCAAAAATAAGTAATTATTATGGAGATAGGACGTTAAAAAAACGTATTCCGTATCTACTTAATAATTTACCCGAGGCCATTAGACGTGAAACCAAGATATATAGATTTAAGAAAAAGTTAAAGGTTTGGCTTTTCCAAGATATCTGATAGAGTAGCTGTAAGTTTTAGTACTCCCGGATTCTCTCCATATTTTTCGGTATAGTACAGTTCAGTATGAGTGTGTATAATATTAAGTGTGTATAATAATAAGTGGATATCTAAGTTTAATTTAAGACTCATTTCTTGATTCTACAGTCAAACTGTATATACAGTTTTGTAGAACTATGACTATATTAAGACAGTTGTACCTTATATATATAAATAAATAAATAAAATAAAAACTTGCTTCGATCCGGCTGAAAATTTGTATGAGGGGGTCTTTAGGAGTCCTTAACCATAATTTTGGGTCAAAAGTTTCTTTTCGCCATTTTTTAATATGGCTGTCATATAAGCGTTTTTTTCGTCAAAAGTGGCTGCCGAAACGGACTTGCTCTGATTCGGCTGAAAATTGGCATGCGGAGGCCTCTAGAAGTGCCGGAAAATAATTTGTGGTCAAAATTGGTTTTTCGCCATTTTATAGAAGCGTTTGTTGGTGGCAGAAAAAAAAATGCTCTGATCCCTTTGAACATTGGCATGTGTGGGTCTCTACGAATGCTTGATGATAATTTGTGATCAAAAATGGTTTTACGCCATTTATTAATATGGCCGCCATTCAACAACAAATAAAAATTATCTCTAGTTCAACTGAAAATTGATATGTCGGGATCTCTATAGGTGTTGGATAATAATTTGCAGTCGATATTTATTTTTCGCCTTTTTTCAATATGGCTGCCATACAAACTTTTTTAGCGCCAGATAAAAATTTGCTCTAATTCGATTGAAAGTGGAAATGTCGGGGTCTCTATGAGTGTTTAATAATAATTAGCGGTCAAAATTAATTTTTCGCCATTTTTCAATATGGCTGCCATACAAACTTTTTTGGCGGTAGATAAAAATTTCTTCTAATTTGACTGAAAATGGCATGGCTTCAATCACAATTTGGGGTAAAAAATTCTGATTCGAACCAAGCTAGCCTCAATTTTCAAAGCAATCCTAGACCACTTGGCCAAGACGACCTTTTCCTAACCTGTCGGCCTCGGTGTTGCCATATTATGAACATGAAATAATGAAACTAATTCCATCCTACTTCCTATTCTATTCTAGGCTTGGCCCAGTGTCAGTTTCGATTAATGTTTCCCACTTCCTACCCCATTTTTGTTCAAACTGACGCATGACGGCAATGATATTATACTCTTATCGTCGTAAACGAGTTTCTTCTAAGCTGCCAATCGCGAACTCGCGATGGCTAATATAGGCAATTTTTTATGTTGTCTCGCCTCGTCACTCGTCTCATCTCGCCTCTCTCGCCAGTGGAAAAGCACTTAGTCAATGGCTCAATCTCTAACTACTCTAACCGAAAAAAGTAAAAAAAAAAAAATGTCACACGAATGTCACGAATCTTTGCACATGCATGCAATCACAATGCCATGCAGTATTGATTGCCGGAAATTCGGAATACTTGTAGTAAAAATTGCTAATAAGAATTTTACTCAAAATGGTGTTAGCTCATGAAATGGCAGAAGGAACAAGGACTAAAGATATCAAAACATCCCAAGGCGTCACGTTCAGTTCTTTGCTGCTTGCGCCTGAAACTTTAAAAGGGCTACAAAATTCCGGCTTTTTCAAACCTTCTCCAATACAATTACATGCTATTCCACTTGGAAAATGTGGTTTCGGTGGGGAGATGTCTATACTTTAAACTTTTTATGATATTTACCATTATAAAACGTATATTTTTTCTTTTAGACTTAATACTAGAGGCGAAATCAGGCACTGGTAAAACCGCTGTTTTTTCCATTATTGCATTAGAAAAACTGGACTTGCAAAAAGGATTGCAGACCATTGTTTTAACTCCTACACGAGAAATCGCTGCTCAAGTATGTGACGTAATAAAGCAGATTGGATGTAGCTATGAAGGTATCCTTTTAATTCACAACTCAACTTTTTGTACCAAAATTTTAATTCTGTAAGTTTTAAATGTTCTTTTATTATAGGCCTACAAGTAGAAGTTGTCATGGGTGGTTTACCGGTCCAGGATGACGTAGCTAAATTTAAGAAAAAAGTACACATTCTAGTTGGAAGCCCAGGCCGACTGCGGCAACTTGTTCAAGAAAAGTATGTCAGTGTGACTTCAGTCAGGCTCATAGTATTTGATGAAGCAGATAAACTAGTTGACAAAAGTTTTGTGGCAGATATTAACTACATTTTTTCTAGCTTACCACAAGAAAAACAGGTTATAATGAGTAGTGCCACTTATCCTGAAAAAGCTAGAGAAGCAATTAATAAATACCTGCAAGGTGCTCAACATATTTGTCCTGATACAGACAGTATTTTACTTGGCATTGAACAAAGGGTAATATTTGTAAAGCACAATGTTAATATAGTAAAACAGACAAAGTTTAGGTTCGAAGAATTATTAAAAATATTATCAAGGAAACCATTTAAACAAAGCTTAGTCTTTTGTAATTACCAGACCCGAGTAGCAGAAGTAGGAAAAATGTTAAAAAAGGAGAAATGGCCAGCAGAACAACTGTATGGACAACAGAATCAAACAGATCGTTTGGAAGCCCTTAAAACGTTGCAAGATTATGGGTGCAGAATATTGGTTTCAACTGATTTAGCAGCAAGGGGCATTGATGCATCTAATGTTGATCTAGTTATAAACTTTGAACCTCCTTTTGAATGGCAAACTTATCTTCACAGGATTGGAAGAGCAGGTAGATTTGGATCTTATGGCGTAGCTGTAACAATTCTCAGTAAAGGACAGGAAGAAAATAAATTTAAAACCATGATAAGTGAAATCAAAGGATCAATCAACTTGAAAGAATTTTGGGATGATGAAACATTTGTTGCTGATGTTAATTTTAACATGACTAATTCCACACAAATTGAATTAAAACCTCATGAGACTGAAAATGACAAAGAACAGATATTTCAGACGCTTTGGGATACATTGACTTCTCCATCAAAAATAGACCCAGAAGAAATAGAAAGCTTTGAAACTCTGTGCTCAGTTAAAGAAACAAAGGAAATTGGAATTAAACCTTTTTCTGATCTCTTGAACTCTTTTAGCATACATGAGCCCAATAATAATTTAAATGAAGAAAGTCCATATCAGTGCTTAAGCTTGCCAGATATCCCTACCGCCAAATATCGTGCTATAATTAACAATATACACACAAAAACAGACTCTGCGAAGCATATCATAGTAGAAAACTGCCAAAGAGGAGAGAAACAAGATGAATATGCTTTTGATATAAATAACGAAACATTGAACGTAAACTTGAAAGAACTAAATATACTTCCAAAATTAACCTTAGCTACTGTAAAAAATAACATAGTAGGATTGGATAATTTGCAAAATGATGACAATATTAACAATGATTATAAATTGGAATATCTTCAATTAACAGAAGCACTGCATGGAGCACAACATCCTGAAGTTTTGGGAAGCTCACTAGACACAAACTCACTAAATTCAAAATCTTTGGCTACTGTAGAGGATAGCATAGAAAGAAAAGATTATTTACAAAATCAAAATAATGGTTACAAAACTTTTGGCTTTGAAGACCCCGAAGTCTCGGATGCTCTGCGCGCAGCAGGACTTCCGACAGCTTTTAGTAGCAAAAAACTTAAAACCTCAAATAAAAAAAGAATCTATAAAACAAAAAACAAAAAGTTTATAGAAAATACTCCTTGGCCTCTATCATCTAAAACTTTTAATCAGAAAAATATTTTTGATAATAATGTTCACAATAGTGATACAGGTGAGATTGGAGTTACTTGTGGAGTCACAGTTACACATAGTTTCAGAAATGACTCTGTAAATGAGTACTCAAAGACATTGGAATTCAATGAACCTAATACATCAAATTATTTTCGAAATAAAAATGAACATAATTGTTTCAATAACACAATATGTCCGAATAAATTCGACTATAAAAATACTTTTACAAATCCACTACAGAGTAGTGATGTTGATGAATACATTGCAAAGGATAATATGTGTGATAATACTAGTCAATATCAAAGATCTAAAAAAAATGAAAATACTCGAGCTCCTGTGAAGCAACACGAAGGTAACACAACTTTGTATGGATGGACTACAAAGTATGGAAGACAAGATGATACTCATCAAACTAACGGCCTATTAAAACCGGAATGTTCCAAAGAAACAAGTGATGATGACACAGAGAATGGCTCTTCTGATGAGTCAACATTGTCTCCAGAGTATGTTAACTGGTACAAAACATTGAAATACAGAACATTACAAGTTCAACTTGCTGTGTATGTTGATGAATTGTCCAAGCTTTAAATGTTTTCCTTGTTATAAAGTAGATATTATGTAAGGATAAACATTGTTGTACTTACAAAAAGTCGGATTGCTCAGTGGTATAAAAATCAATAAAAAATATACACTTTCTTATTTATATTTATTTTTAAAAATCATTCACAATACCAGACATCACAAAATACTGTTCAAATAAATTTAATATGGTCATGGAAGATTTATTTGAAATACACATTTTGAAAAAAATAGGCATAGTAAATGTCATCACGAAAATTGAGTCCCAAGGAAGACATAATAATAAATATTATGTAGTAACAAAAAAATTAATATAATTTGATCAACCAAATAGAAATGACTAGAACTTAATGTAACATGAAAATTCCACTTACTACTTATTATAATATACTTATTGCCTGAGAAGTATCAAATTGTTAAGTTTTTGTAACTGTGTAAATGCAGTAGCTATGATTAGAGATTATAGAAAAACTAAAACGTTAATCACTAGTCCTTCTTCTCATGGGTATCTGTAATTTAAAAAAAATTAATTAGTATGTAGCACTCTACAAATTTCATAAAATAACCCTGATGAATGACTAGGCTGCTGTAGAGATTAATAACTATTTATGTATATAACTATTTATAGATTAATAACTGCCTCCGTGGCCGAACGGTTACCATACCGGACTGCCACGCAGAGGTCCCAGGTTCGATTCCCGGGCCGGGAGGAATATTTGTATGGCCTACAATTATTTCTCTCGTGAGTTTGGGTGTAATTTGTGGTTGTCTAAGTGTGTGTCCATGGCACCCGCGACTCAGGGTTTCCCTAGTGCGGGGCTATGTAGAGTCTGCGCGTTATTTATTAAAAAAAAAAAAATAGGAGTCTATGATGAAGGTATGAGAGCAAAGTGCTCAAGACTTGCCTGGTGCTTCCTCTTCTTCAGCGTCCAGTATATCGGCACAGCAAACCGAGTAGCAGATAAGCGATAGAAAACCCAGTGGTAAGCCAAACACTAAAGCAGTCAAAACCGGGTTACCGCGCCACATGTTTATCAACGTTGTTCTAGTTTCGAAGAAACCTCTGTATAGACGAACTGGCCAGTTATTACCTCCGTAAGCCTGAAAAAAATTCCAACTATTAATACTAGGACATATCGCTAGGGCGTGAGCACACACTAAGAAATTCGACGTGTCTGCTACAGAAAAGATGAAAATGGTCTTGTACACAACAAGAACATTGTCGGATCTAGCCACGAAAACGTGTCGTGTCTGTTGCAGACGAGAAAAAGATGAAAAGGTATGTACTATACGAATGATTTCGGACAGTAGACGTGTATAGGGTAAAATGTGTCAGTGCATTACGAGTCTTCCAGGTAGCTATCGTTTTGCATAGGGCGCACTATAAGTTTCCGGAACTGGCCACTTACATAAACAATATTTAAAAAGTAATTACAACAAAATTTTAGAAATTGGTTGTCTACATCACCATGGATTTTAACCATACATATAGAAAAAAAGGGAACATTTGGTATGGGGGAGTAGTTCGTGATGGCCTCGATATTATAAAAATGATCATATCGAGGTGACACGTCTACAAACATCGCCACAGTGACATGGCGATCGTTGTACATACAAGATCTCTCGTAAAACGAGAAAATGCCAAGTTCTAGCGATACACCTTGTAAAAATTTGATTGAAAACAAAATTTTTAAAACCAGTGAGATAACATTCCACCGGCTATTTGCATTTTTAGTTACTATTTATATTATTATTCTATTTCTATTATTGTTCAATGTTTTCTTTTTGTCTCCATAGAAATTTCTAGACTCAAATATAGTGTTGTTCATTTACGATGGCTGATGTTTATCGACAATAAATTTTTACTGAAATGTTTGAATTTCTTGCTATGATTTTTGTAATTAAAGTCCCTAAAATATCGAAGCGAAAAGCATTCACGTTATATTGATTTCTTTTATTATTATTATTATTATTACTAAACATTTTATTTCGAGTAACTTTAACACAACTTATATTTCGGACAACCGTTTCAATTTCATATCAATTTGTATGTTGCTGTTGCTTGAAGAAAAATGTATGTGAATTATTGTTTTAGATAATTTACATATTTAAATTCCATTATACTCGTAGATTTAACGTAGAGTATTTTTAAGTTTTTCCAATGAGTTCAAAATAAGAGAAGGTTGGATTGACGCTGCAGGAAAATCTAAATATTGGTTTTCTTATTACTATTTCTGACTTTGTTTAAATTTCCATAGAAAAAGCATTTAAAAAATAAATAACATAAAATCGGCTTTATTTTACATGTGCATGCAAAATAAATTAGAAACAATAATAGAAAATTACATAAATCCTTCATAAAAAACAACAATTTAATTGATTAAATTCGTTGTTGGTTCGAGTTTACAGTGACAGCTTAACCAACCCGTGGTAACGTATAATGGAAAACTGACACTGGCGACGATCGCCATAAATTTTATATTCTTTTTAAAAAACTGACACTGGCCCAAGCCTAGTGGCCGCCATTAAGAAAATAATTTATATTAATATATTAATTTAATAATACACCAGTACCAGTGTATGTATAGTATGAAAAATAGAATATTTTATTTAATATTAAAAACAGCCACATGGTTCTAACTATCGATTCGGTAGGACCACATCCCTCGTGGAGTAGCGTCAGTTTAAGGTTAATAAGGGTAACAATTCACGGAGCGGTTTCCATCCGCGCCCGCCGGTGCTGCGGGACAGCGATTTTATTACAATACTCACGACCCTGCAAGTTTATGCGGGCACGAAGCCGCTGCGATTGCGGAACGGACCACCAACTTAGTGGGAGACAATCGCAAGTCGCGCGGTTAATAGAGAACTCATACCGCGTGCGCCTGCACCACATTGCGCCGGAACCGACCGCCAAAGTGCGCGGGCGACAACGGCCGCCAAGCGCGCAGGTGATCGCATCCTGCGCGGTTCTACTAGTACCCCGCCGCGCTAACCGCGAGCAACCGTCACCACTACAGGCGTAAAACGCGTCGTGAAATGTGCTACTAATTTTACACACTTAAGTATCACATTCTACTGATGTCGCGGTGTCGCGGCAGGCGCGGGTGAAAACCGCTCCGTGAGTTCTTAGCGTAACGAAAAATGAGTTCCAGCGCCATCCAACGTGTAACAGTTAGCTTTTATATACTAGTAGAATTTTACTAAAACGCCACCTGATGGTGAATGGCTGAACCAGGATGAAAAAAATACTGAAATATTGTAAAATAACTCTCACTCAAGTGACTGTAAGTTTAATTTTGTTAAATTTTAAAATTGTGTTACGTTTTCCCATTTTAAGCCCTACCCAATCAAAACCTTTAAGTTATGCACACAAGCTAAAAAGTGGCGTCATCGGTACTCGATCTTACATAGCGTCATTACATATCTCCCCTATTTTTATTATCTATGGATTTAACTCGTGAAAATTTTCGTAGTACGATTTTGTACGATTTGAAGTGTAACTTAACAGCTCAGCGGAGCTTCGCTCGGCTTCAAACTGCTTTTGGCGATGGAGCACCATGCAAGACGACTATTTATAGCTGGTTTGCAGAATTCAAACGCGGTCGTGTGAATCTCAACGACGAATTTCGTGATGGTCGCCTGTCCACTGCTGTGAACATAAAAACATCGATGGCATGTGACATACCATGAGATTCAGGCATCTTTAGGCATAGGCATGAGTCAAATACAATCAATACTACACAAACATTGGGTGTGAAAAAGCTGTGCTCTCGGTGGATCCCATACAATTTGACTGAGGCTCAAAAAACGGATCGCGACACTTGGTGCAATGCCATGCTTACCAGATTCAACGAACGGGCGTCAAATTTGGTGTGGGACATAGTAACAGGTGACGAAACATGGATTTACAGTTACGATCCCAAAACAAAGCAGCACTCGAGCGTCTGGGTCTTTCGAGATGAGCCGAAACCAACCAAACCAAACCAAATTGCTGCGTGCTAAGTGCCTCTAAGCGGATTGCTTTTTTTTAAAATAAAACTGGACACGTGGCTACTGTTGCTTTGGAGAATCGTTGTACCATGAATAGTAATTGGTACACGACCTTTTGTTTGCCGGAAGTTATTGACAAACTCCGTAAAAATAGCCGTAAACGCTGTATCATCTTGCGCCACGATAATGCTAGTTCTCACACAGCCAGACAGACAAATTAATTTTTGAAGGTGAACGACGTTGACCTTATGAGCCATCCCGCGTACAGTCCCGATCTGGCACCTTACCTTGTGACTTTTATTTATTTTCAAAAATTGAGAACTAGTTACGCGATCAACGATTTTCATCACCTGAAGAGGCTATCGAAGAGTAGAGAGTATGTTTCAGAGATTGACACGGAGGAGTGGCATAAATGTTTTCAAACTTGGTTCAGTCGTATGAAAAAGTGCATTAACGCTAACGGAGAATATTTTGAGGAACAATAAATTCATTTCTGACCATTTATAGTATTTTTTTCTTATTCATTCCGGAAACTTATAGTGCGCCCCACGTACTACTAACTGTGGGAAGAAATATGTTGTTGTATATGTTGACTACTAAGCAACACTCGTGTCCACGCGCATAAACGTTCTGTACTGACAATGCACTTCACCCCGCCCCATTGAATAGCAGCAGAGCGCGTTGTGTCAGGGGTAGATAAGATTTTTTTCTTGTCCTAAGCCGAGGCAGTGTACACGGAGGCTACAAACTGAACGACAGCGGGTGGCGAAGGCGACAGCGGGTGGCGAAGGCGACAGCGATGCGGCTGGCGGCTTGCGCGACTTGATCAAAAAGTCTAAGTTTGCATATATGCTGTTATCCACTGTACCGGCGCGGGCGGCGCGCGTGGCACAAGCGCCGCACTCCAAATTCAGTCCAGTTGAGCGGTGAATACGCGTTCGAATAGTTATAGTGTCATCTTGTTGCTTACCTACACCAATTTTCCGATTAATCAAATTTAGAGATATCGGAATCGGAGGAAATAATTTCAGCAGTTTTAGAAAGACCACCAATATGGAATAGATATGTTTATCGACCATAAAAATAGAAGGAATCACTTAAAGAGAAGAATATTTATTTATTTTATGTTATTCACAATTAAAAAGTTTACGAAAAGGAACACAAGAGATGAATAGAGATGCTATTTGTTCATAATTTAGTGTGATTCCAATTATGGCTTGATATTTATCAAGAATATAGTCAAACGTTTTCCACGGTCATGCTGGCGTTATCATAGAACTTATCCCCGGATTTTATGTTTGGTCTTGACAATTTCGTCGAAACTTGCCTTTTTACTTTCTTTGTTTGTAGTACGGGTTCACGTCTTCTTGCCCCCATAATAACTCATATTGAATAAAATAGGTAATTATAAAAAGGTCACATCACAGTACCGACATCAAGCAAATTAAGCGAAAAGGTCGCTGGCGTTGGAAACAGGCTATTTTTACCGCCCCACCGACCGCATCGCTGTCGCCACCTTGCCGCGCCGCCACTCGCTGTCGTCCAGTTTGTGGCCGTAAAGTAAATAACTGAGAAAATATTGTAGTAACCATAAGAGGCAGAAGTATTGTAAAATCTCAGAAATCTAACTTAAACTATGTAGGTTCGCCAACAATGCTGTATTTCTTGGAACACCTACACTTATCCAAATAAACAAAGTAATAATAAAAAGTTTTTACAAACATTTCTGTGCTGCCGCCCTCACGCGCGTTAGGACGCGTTCCCATTATATCGTGACGACCATGTGACGATAGATAGTCGTGCAATTGTAAAGCATTTGTGTTTTTGAAGCAGGGCGGAAGACAAAATTAAATGGTAACTGGGTAACACCCGCTCACAGTAACGTGTGATTAAAAGTTACTTTAATTAATACTAATAACTTACCGGAGCTTGTTGATTATGAATTTGTTCAAGGAAAATAGAAATGGCTTCTGGAGTCATCAAAACTGGGTCATCATCAGGCATGTGATGATGGCTGGTAGTGGAATTGAGCACTAACAGATGGGGTACAGTCAGCTCTGACATGGCAATGGAATTAGCTAACTCTGGGGAACCCATCCATCCAAATTGGAAACGAGGATGCAGATCGCTTTTCCTTTGTCTAAAACATTATTATATTTGAAAAGTGGGAAATTCAAATTAGGAAGATTAGATTAAAGCCAGCGTAATATAAATTTCAATGCTCTTAGGCCGAAATCGGAGCATCGCAGCGCATTTTTCTCTGCGGTATTAAAGAGCACGCTACAGGATACTCGCTAACTCGGGAGACGCCGGTATCCACCGACATATGCCGATATCCACAGGTGTGCGCCGGAGTCTGCCTGAGTGCGCCGGGGACTTTTCGACTACGTAGCCGCTAGCAGAAGGGATTCAAATCCGAGCGACCGGTAGCATGTCGGGTGACACGACGTCGTTCCAGTGGACTCTGCGGTACGCAGGTGCACGGTCTCGGTATTGTAAAGGATAATATCCATCACTAGTTTGAGCTGGCGGGCAAAAGATCCTCTTCGATGCTCTCTCCCGCCGAGCGCCGCGCCGCCGCCGGTATGCGCTAGCTTACTATAGTAGCCCGTTAACATTTAAAACTACAGCGAAATAAGTTTTTTATTACGTATTACATAGTAGAAGGAAGAATTTTACAACTATTTGTTTATTATACTAACTTGATAAGTCCTTCAACCATATCCTTAAAATCTCTTTCAGTCTGCGTAATTTCGTTCAATTTATTTTCAGCAACAATCACTATTGCAATATATTTTCCTGTGTCCATCAGTTCATTTATATTTGATCTGGTAATCTTGGGAAAGAATCCGAAGCGTTCTGTATTAATCCACTTATCTAGTGTTTCATTTAAGGCTTCTTTATTGTCAATCAATTCTGGGGTAGCTAAAAATAAATGCGATTACTTACCACTAAACTTTATTATAGTGAATCAAGGTGATGTATATATAAAAATAATTAGTTCATTAATACAAGGAAGGAGTAAATAATATAACTATTATTTACTTCGTGATACAAGTGATTAGAGTAGGTTCATGTTATATTATAGATTACATAGTACAATGCCTAGTTAACCAGTACGAAAGATGATAGGAATAAGTTTTTTATTAAAAAAAAACTAATATAAATTAAAGAAAAACTACTGGTTGAACTTAAAATAAACATGAGGTCTGATAATTCGCGTTAATTGGGACGAATCCTTTTCGGAAAGAAAAAGATCAGTTGCACAGCAATGTCCCGTGACGGTGGCACACGGCACTTGCATCTGCTATCTGCTATGCAGATCGTAGAGAGGAAAAGTCAATTGCCGAACCAATACAATTTATCAAGAATTAGGAATTACAACCGGAAGATGACGATTAGAAGTCGGAACTCCGCCTTTGTGGCCTCAAACGCCGACTACGTGGGACAGAAATCTACATGAAGATTCAGGAATAATTTCACTTGCTTATAATCTAATTGAAAACTGGCGCGGAACGGAGTATTGTAGGTACCTTAGTTATAACGAAAAAAGAGAGAAAAGAAAAAAGCGTATAAGCCTTGAGTCTGTTGCGAGTAATTATGTAGGCTACTGGCTACACTTCCCAGTGAAGTTAGGCCTAACATCTTTGTTTTTTTACGATTTCCACATTACAACGAAAAAAAGAAGCTTCCTTCGGATTCTAAAACATAATAAATTACATAATAACAAGTGATTACAGTTTATTACTTAATTATATCAACATAAACCAAATCTCGAACAAAATGGTTGATAAGAAAGGGAGAAACTGTATTAATACCTTAAAATTTTATACTTTCAGTTTCGGATCAAGCGGAATCTTGAAGTACCGATGTTTGGATTATCGGGTCTCCATCCTAGATATATAATATGTACGTTCAATGTTTTTACATACCATTGAGATCTACTATTAATTATGTAAAATAAATTACCATCAAAGAAAAACGCTTCCTCCTCTTTATAAACAAACACAGCGGTTTCATTGGGTGGTTTGATTTCATGCTTAATTATTTCATGTGACATTGCATAGAACCATGAATGGGGTTGGTATTTCTCAGCATGCACAGCGAATATTTCCTGGAAAAATTATTAAAAAATAATAATTTGTTGATTTGATCACATGATAATTACAACAGTGAAATTAACTAAATGCACGGTAAGAAATAGCTCTCTCTTAATATAATATAAAGTGCTAACTAAACGTTGTTTCTTCATTACGAAAGTAATACGCATTGTTGTCATAGCTGTGTTAAATTATTCTGTACATCAGAACTCTGCAGTAAAGTTTCCTAATTTCAAAGTCGTACTTTGTCTGTTGTGTCTGCTTTGATGTCTCGTTTATCGTTTGTTATTGTTGTGATATTTCGAACCTTTTAGAGAAGAATCCCAAGTCTATAACACTATACACCGCGATATTTTAGTGTTATGCTATGAACTGAAGCAAACTCAAAACTCAAAACTCTGGAGCTGAAGCAGTATGTCAAGGAGTACATAGTCGCCACTGTGCCATAACCACTTTGCTAAGGTACGAATAAATACCAGCTGCCTTATACGCGTGCTACCTAGGCCTTGGCGACTAGAGGCACTGGAGCGCGGAAAAAAAGATAATGTGATTGGACAATTATTTCCTTTCTTAAATTTTAATAATTAAAGATTATTCTGATAGCAAGCATTATACAAAAAGAGTACAGCATTAATTCCATGTAAGCCCTTTTTGTAACACCTTGTATAGGTATTTGTAGTTTCATTTTACCTTGAAACCTCAATGATTTGAAGATTGCTATTTGTACAGTTATTTAATAAGATGTTTTTGGTTAATGGTATCTAAATATTCAATTTCGATTTCTTCGAGTATATATCTCGATGGACCATTATAATGTTATTGGAATTTGCTCTTTGTAGGTTACAGAAATTAAAGCAAGATCAGAGCAGGCAACTAAGTTTCACATCATGTATCGTCGCTTAGCAAACAACATTGCTCAGTTATTTAGCTCTTATTAGCTCAGTTATTTGGATATTTTAAAGGAGAGTTAAAAAACTGGTTACAGTATTGCGTACAGTATTGTACACAAGATTGTTAATGACTATTAACAATTTATAGATAGCAAATAATTGTATGCCTGTTAATTTTTTTTTTATTGCCTTATTATAAAAACTATACATATTAATAATAATATTCATGTTTGATTTTGACTTGAGTAACATACAAACATAAAAACTATCAATTTTCATTTTAAGCGGTATTGTTTGCTAAGCAACTACATTCAGTTATGTAAAATGACATTCAGGGTAGTATTCTAGAACTCTACTCAATGCTCAAGTTAGGATTGCACTGGAAATACGACCCTAATGGCAGGGACTTGAGTATGATTTCGAGTGCTTTAAACCATATTCAAACCCTGACTTGAGCATTGAGTAGAGTTCTAGAATACGACCGTTAGTAATGAAAAAGTCCACTCAAGTTAGTTTTATAAAGCAAAATATGAAGGACTTTCAAATCATACACTAAATTGCATTATTTAAATTTGGACATAGTTATGCAAACTCGAACCAACCCACAAAATGTCACTTTCCGAGATAATTAGATTTTTGTAAAAACAGTGTGAAGAAATAAATAGGTAAGTTATTTGAGACAAACAACGTGAGTTATGTGTAGCATTGAGAATGATATAGGGAAACTATTATATTATACAGCAATAAATAGAAAACATTATGTATCTTTTTATTTAGTTAACGAGAACCACGTTCTAGTTTTCGTAATGAAAACGCTAAAGATCTACAGTACTTCAGTACATGTGACATGGATCCATTTAGCATATTTTTAAAAATACATTATATGAAGTTAAGCAGCATGGTTCTTTTTAGCTATTAAAAAGTTACTTATTTAGGGTTGGTACCATGAAGAACTTTTATTTTCTCCGTTTTGGCTTGGTATCTTGCCTAGGATCTTTTGTGAGCGGGTAAAGGGCACGTCTGGTGTTCTACCTAAATACACAACTCATTTCACTCGAGGTGTGGGTTGGTTCTTGTTTGCATAACTATGTCCATTTGTTCTCATTCATAATCATAATATTTATTACCTACCCACAATGGCCCTTGTTGTTTGCCTACAAAACCAAAGAATACAGGGTGCGATTCCTTTAAGTCCCCTAGACTATCTGCATGTGTAAGTTTCTGCACGGCTGATTGAGACATGCGTAAAGCATAATTCACCATTTCCTCCTTTTCCCTCTCTCCTTGGTACTCATGCAGGGATGACCCTTTTATGCTGTAAATAAAATTGTTTCCAGGAACAAAACAGTTAAAGTGAATATTAGTCAAGATGTTTTTAATTATAAAATACTAGTGAGTTTTCCTCATTCTAATTATTTTGTTTATGTATCACATTTTCCTGATTTCTATACAGGGTGTAAATTTGAGACGGGGCAACAGGAAAACAGTTCTAAAAGACTATCCATGAATTTTGAAGATACTTTGATTGCCATTCACATATTTTGAAAAAATAGTACAGTCAGCAAGATAAAAGGCAATTTTTAGAACTTTTTTATGCCATTCGATCCGGCCTCTGGTAAGGATCAATAGTCTCTGTGGGACCAACTAAGGTAAGAGTACTCGAAATGTCAGAAATCGCAACAAACTATTTACCATACTTTTTGTAGGGACATATTTAGTAATCAGTTATTCTACGTCCTTAAGGAAACTAACAAATTGACAACGTATTTATTACGTATTTCAAAATAAAAACAATAAAAAAAAGCAAAATAACATAAAAATCTATGATAGGCATTGACTTACAATTATATGGACGTCGGGTCCGCGCTAAAAAGTGTCCGCACTTGTAAGGCGCTAAAATCGTATACAGAGCGCGACACTCCGCTTTAGTTCATTTGTTCTACGGACAGCGCGATACTGCGATGACATTACAATTTAAATTTCGAATAGGTTGACTTGGGACATTTTTTTCGTGGTTTTTGTATTAGACCCGTCGTCCATTTATTTGTAAGTCAATGATGATAGGACTTCATTGTCACCTTGGCGGATATAGGACCATGTGTTCCAATGCATGTGTTTCCACATTTGAGACCATTTTGATTAAAAATCGTATTAAAAGGGACACTTCGCTATTAACAAAACAAAACAAAGCTGTTCCAAATTTAAAAAATAATGATATGATTATAATTTGGTTTTACTTAATTCTTATTTGTAAAGCAGAAAAAAAGCGCGGGAAAGCTCGATCTAGGCGGGTTACCTTTTCGGCTTGTAAATTGAAATTTTAATAATAATTGTAATTAGGTGGTCAGGAGTGTAGTGTTTGTGTAAATATTATTTATTTGATTGTATATATTGTTTTTTGTATACATAATCATCGTCATCTGGTGAGTATTATCATTTTTCCTTTTGTCTAAAATGGACAAGCCCCAGGGTGCCCCCTGGATCAGGATCCAGGGGGCACGGTTCCCTAATCATTCATTCAGCCATACGACGCCCACTGCTGGGCATAGGCCTCCCCCAACGATCTCCACGACGATCGGTCCTGCGCTGCCCGCATCCATCGGCTTCCCGCGACCTCCACCAGATCGTCGGTCCACCTGGTGCGCGGTCGCCATTGAAGAACCTTTCCGCCCCAACGGCCATCGGTTCTCCTAGCTATGTGCCCCGCCCACTGCCACTTCAGCTGAGCAATTCTTCGAGCTATGTCGGTTACCTTAGTTCTCCTACGGATTTCCTCATTTCTGATTCTATCACGCAGGGAAATACCGAGCATCGCTCTCTTCATTGCCCGCTGAGTGACCTTGAGCCTTCTTATGAGGCCCATAGTGAGGGAGCACGTTTCTGATCCATATGTGTTCACTGGCAACACACACTGGTCAAAGACTTTCGTCTTGAGACATTGAGTTAATTTGGACGCAAAGATTTTTTGGAGTTTAACGCTGCCCATCCGAGCTGGATTCGACGAGAGATCTCTTTCTTAAAGTTGGACTAACCTAACTGCACTGTCTGCCCCAGGTATACGTAATGGTCAACAATTTCGAGTGTAATGCTCCCAATTTTAACTGGAGCGGGTACAACATGGACATTCGACATGATCTTCGTCTTGTCCATGATCATCTTAAGACCCACTCTTTGGGAAACACTACTGAGATCTTCGAGCATTGTGTTCAGGTCTCCCAAGGTCTCAGCCATAAGAACTATATCATCGGCAAATCGAAGGTGTGTTAGGTACTCGCCATTGATGTTGATGCCAAGTCCTTTCCAGTCCAGAAGCTTGAAAATATCCTCCAACGCAGCAGTGAACATCTTTGGAGATATCACATCTCCCTGTCTCACGCCTTGTTGCAGTTGGATAGGATTAGAGCTCTGATCCTGTAATCGGACTGACATAGTGGCATTTTTGTATAAGTACCTTAACACCTCTATATACCTATAGTCTATTTGGCACCTTTGGAGAGACTGCAGCAACGCCCAGGTCTCGATCGAATCAAAGGCCTTCTCATAGTCCACAAACGCTAAGCAAAGTGGCCGGTTACACTCCTCGGTCTTCTGTATAGCTTGCCGCAGCGTATGGATGTGGTCTATGGTACTAAAACCCTTTCGGAAACTGGCTTGTTCGGGAGGTTAGAAGTCGTCAAACCTGCGAGCGAGACGATTCGTGATAACTCTCGAAAACAACTTATAGATATGGCTCAGAAGCGAGATTGGCCGATAGTTCTTCAAGAGTGTTTTATCACCCTTTTTGAAGAACAGAACGACCTCGCTTCTGCTCCATGCCTTCGGCGTTTGACCTTCGACGATGACAGAATTGAAAAGCTTCTGGAGGACTTTAAGTATCGGCTTGCCACCCGCTCTCAGAAGTTCTGTAGTGATTCCATCATCGCCCGCCGCCGCTTTGTTGTTCTTGAGTTGTTTGAGAGCCACACTAATCTCATACAGGCTGCCGTCCGGGATATCTTCGGTATAATGTCGGGTAAGCTTGGCTCTGGGGTCTCTAACCTCGCTTTCAACAGGTGCTTTCGTGGAGTATAGCTGTCGATAGAAACTCTCTATCTCCCTCAGGATTTCAGGCTTAGATGAAATGATGCTACCGTCATCAGTCTTTAGCTTCGTCAGTTGGCTTTGCCCAATAGACAGATCTCTCGCGAACACCTTGGAGCCCTTGTTCCGCTCAATGGCCTCTTTAATACGCTCTGTACTAATTTGGCGTATGTCGCTAGTCAAAGACTTCGATATCTGCCTATTTAGCCGCCTGTAGTGACTTGCATCCTCTGAGTTCTGTAGCCTCATTTCATTTCTATGTTCCATGAGTTGAAGTGTTTTGTCGGAGAGTTTCTTTATTCTGGTACGGTGGGTTTTGAAAAACTTGGACCCAACCGTACGGACAGTGTCCACCACCATGTTGTTTAGGTCGTCCACATCTATGCAGTTTTCGAGGGCTTCGAAGCGGTTTTGAAGTTCGATCTGAAAGCTCTCGGGGTTTTGGAGTTGTGCAGGTATTGGTTGGAGCGTAGACTCTATCAGTCGAGTTCTTTCCAGCCGGATATTGATATTCAATGTGCCTCGTACCAACCGGTGATCATTTCCTGTTTTAACGGTGTTGATCACAGATACATAATTGAATATATGCTTTTTCGTCGACATGATAAAGTCAATCTCATTTTTTATTTTGTCGTCCGGAGTCATCCAGGTCCACTTACGAGTTGGAGATTTCCTGAAAAAGATGTTCATCATATAGAGGTTCTCCTTTTCCATGAAATCAACCAACATCCGGCCTCTGGCGTTCCGTTGTCCAACTCCAAATTGCCCCACTCTCAGTTCATCACCGCAACACTTTCCCAACCTTGTATTGAAGTCCCCCATAACAATCGTGTAGTGGGTTTTGTAGCTATGCATGGCTTTTGAGATCTCCTCATACATAGCCTCCACTTCGTCATCTGGGTGTGTCGAGGTCGGAGCATAAACCTGAATGACATTCAACGAATATCGTTTTGATATTCTGAGTATCAGGTATGCCACCCTGGTCGACACACTTCCGATGGAAATCACGTCCACAAGTCCCTTGTTAACAAACAAGGGACTTGTGGACAATAAACCCGACACCGTGCACCGCCAAGGGACTGTTAGTCGCCCTCCCGGTGGTACAGTAAGTTGCCGGAATTAAGGATTATCGAGTCCTCCCCCTCTGTTCGGACTTCAGATAGCCCAATGATATCCCAGCGTAACTTACTAATAGCTTCTTCCAATTCTGTGAGCTTTGCGTCGGTCCTCAATGTGCGCGTGTTGTAGGTTGCCAGGTCCAGTCGTCGTCGTTGATGGTAGCCGGGTCTCCCCCGGGGATTCTTCGACCCCATTCCCTGTTTCCAAAGCCGCTACCGTGACTAGGAAGAGCAGGACTGCCGGGACTAGGGGCCAATTCTTTGGTGTGTGTATCATAGGGGGGGTTGTGCCATAATCGCCACGCTTGGCAGGCGGGTTCGCGATCGCAGTTCTGGCCAAGATGTGTAGAAGACGCTGCTGCCCGTCTTCTTCTGACAATTTTTGTCCTTAGTCGCCTTTTACGACACCCACAGGATAAGAAGGGGGTGGTGGTATTCTAGGCCGGCACCACACGGTCCCCTCAGTTGGTAGAAATTTGATTATTGCCTCCAATGATTCCAGTATGGACACGAACCATACTGACTACTCTCTAAAAGGGTGAAAACGTATTCGTCAGCGTAAAATCTGTAAACATTGCAATAAGAAAAAACGAAAGCATAAGTCTCAATCAGACGATGGATGTGGTTGTTCAGATAGCGACATTTGCGGTATACCAAGTTTAATAGTACTTCAGAAATTTACTCGACGCCTCCTTCATCTATGATAAGTTAGCCCCTCCAATAGCCCAACAACAAATAGTACTTGATAAAGTTCTACTTTCAAATGATGAATCGGAGTTAAGTTTTCCATTTTCGTTGAAAGAATTGAGAGGCGTTTTATGTAATACTGTAGACTCTGCTCCTGGTAGTGATGGAATTACTTATACCCTTTTATCTAATTTGGATGATTCTGCCCTTTATTATTATTTACAGCTGATTAACACATCCATGTTGGAGTCGTTTTCAGATAACCTCCAAAAATGTGTCCCTTTCAATAACTTTTATGTTATTACATGAATGCTAAGGATTATTTATTTAATATGATTGCTTGCTTACTTAGTCTGTGTTACATATAAAAAGACTACTTTACTACGTCACAGTAATAAATAAAAAAATTAAAAAAGTGGGCCATTTCTCATTCATGGGAGCCGATTCCATGTCGCCCTAATTTTAAGAAAAGAAGAAAAAATTAAACACTGGTGGAAATCGCAATATTTCCCATCGAGGATAAACTCTAATAATTTACACGTCGAATACATACCATAACTTTCCAATTTATTATAAACAATCATGTTTTTTTGGGAATACAAAATGTGTTTCAATTTTTCTTATCATTAGTGTCAATTCAACTAAAAGCCTCCTAATAACAAAAGTTCATACCGCATCACCTTCACCCTTCGCACACCTGAGAAGGGGCTCCTGCCGGATTGGAGTGTACACAGTGAAGTAACCTGTGCATCTCCGTTTTAGCAAAAAATCGAGTTAAATACCAATTTCAGTACTAGTGACTAAATAGTTCTCATTCATGTAAAGCAATCTATCTATATAATATTAAGTAATAGTTTTATAAACTTTATTATACATCAATAGACAAAGGGAACTTTAAAATCCACTTGCACTTGCACTTGCCACATGCACTTTTATAACAGTCCAGCATATTTTACACACTGGACAATTAAAAATTTATCCAAATATCATTCTTGTCGCTCTCATTCTTATCTACTTTTAAGTCATATAGTTACTTTAAGCCAAACATTTACTTGAAATATAACAATTAGATGGTGATAGTGGTGGTGACGATGATGATTGTGGTGGTGATGATTGTAGTGATGATGACGATGATTGTGATGATGATGTGAATGGTAATGATGCTGATGATAATGGTGAACATGATGATGATGTTGATGGTGGTGATGATGATGATATATCGATGTACAACACAGTTTATATGACATTAACAAAATACTTATTTAGATTTATTTATTAATTACATATAGACAGATAGATGGTCTTACACGTATGAGAAGGATTTTGATACAAGAAGTTATATTAAAATATTTGTTACATGTTAAATGTTGTTAAATGTTCTTTTGTGAACGATAAAATGTGTGTTGTAACGATAATTTCTCATTACTGTGCCGTCGTTCTCATTTATGTTTATGAGAAAATCATTCGTGTTACTGCAATCTCATTCGTGTGACCTAAAATATCGTTTTTTTTGTTGTATTTAACTTAAATATTTCTGTGATTTTATAATTAGTGACATTGCTTGAACTTATTTGTACGTTTAAGACCTTAAAAAGAAAAAAGGGTTTTACAAAAATCACTCAAAAAGTGCCATTGAAATTCGGAAAGTGAAATTCACCCGTTGACAGGTGAAATTTCGCCATCTTGGAAAAGCCAGATAGTGTTACCAGTTTTAAATCCAAATAAAAACCCAGCAGAAAGCTCACCTTACCGTCCCATTGCCTTGTCTACTGTTCTTATCAAAACTGCTGAAAGTTTAGTGAAACCTCGGTTGGATTGGTATGTTGAACATAATAACAATTTGTTGCCCAATAATCAATACGGATTTCGAAAAGGTAGAAGCACCATGGACTGTCTCTCTATATTTACAACAGATATAAGATTCGCTTTTTCGATCGGTAATTCTATTTTAGCTGCATTTTTAGACATCCCTTCGGCGTATGATAATGTTCTTTTTCCAATTTTAAAATCAAAATTAGATTGTTTAAATGTTCTACCATTGTTATCTAACTTCATCATAAATTTATTAAACAATAGAACTATTAATGTTATAAATTATGAATATTCTTTCCACAGGACAATAAATAACAATAATAATAATAATAATAATAACGCACACACTCAACATAGCCCCGCACTAGGGAAACCCTGTGTTGCGGGTGCCATGGACACACACATAGACAACCACAAATTACACCCAAACTCATGAGAGAAATCAATGTAGGCTATGCAAATATTTCTCCCGGCCCGGGAATCGAACCTGGGAGCTCCGCGTGGCAGCCGTTCCGCATGGTAACCGTTCGGCCACAGAGGCAGTTAAAGCAGGCAATAAATAAAGGTTTTTCGAAAGGATCTGGGGGTCTACTCTCGATCTCCGTCCGACATCCGTCCGAAACATTTACTGCCAAATAAGCAATACTTGACCAAATGAAAAGACGCGTGATGCGAATGAAGCTTCATACTGGACACTTGTCTTTTAATTTTGTCGAATATTACTTATTTGACAGTAATTGTTTCGAACGGATGTCGGACGGAGATCGAGAGTTGCCCCCGTTTTGAGTCCCATACTATACAACATAATATACACTCATGATTTAGATAGGTGTTAAGGTGATGGAGTTTCTATTTTGCAATATGCTGACGATGTTCTTTTATATATTGAATCTAATGGAAGTGACCAAGCTGTAAATGTACTATCAAATAAATTGTTGGTTAGAATCGAATGGTTTAGAGTGATCTGCTAGTAAAAGCTCCATTGTGTTTTTCTCAAGGCGTAAAGTCCACCCTGCAATAAATGTTTCTTTTAATAATAACATAATCCCAGTTGTTGGCGAGGTTAAATACCTTGGTATTCTTTTTGATTGTAAAATGAATGGATCTCCTCATGATTATGTTGTTAATAAATGTGAAAAGGTTCTCAACATGCTTAGATGTTTATGCTGGGTCTGGTGGGGCAGCCATTCATACTCTTTAAAACTGCTGTATAATGCCCTGATTAGGAGTATAATTGAGTGTATAAGTGGAGTGCGTTGAGCCTCCGCTTGCCCTTCATCGACAGTTTCTAGCTGATAAATTCTTTTTCTGCATTATCCAATTTAATAGTTACCCTTTACTGCAAAAACCAGAGCTATTAAACAATCTAATAAATACCCCGGGTTATTGGTCTCACAAAAGTACTCCTTGCCGTATAAATAGTTATAGAAAGTATCTTACATTACAAGCTCCAACTCATAGTTTTGATATTCACCCACTTTACAGCAGTAATTATTTTGCCCCCTGATGTTTGTTTTGATTTTAGTTTAGTTAACAGACGTTTTGCTAACGCTTCCTTCAACTTTAATGTAGATTAAAGTAGTATTAAAGTAGTTAATTGGCATCCCTACAATCATATTTTCACTGATGCCTCAAAACTAGATAACTCGGCCGTAGGAGTAGGTGTTCTTCATTCTCAATACGATATTATTGAAAAAACAAAACTTCCTCCTCAAACATCTGTTTTCACTGGTGAATGCATAGGTCTTCTTAAGGCAGATGAATACATTCTCTTAGCACAATTACATAAAACAATAATATTTTCTGATTCCAAAAGCACTCTGCCGTCATTATGTAAATTCCCTTTTAGACCAAGTAAAATTTTCCCAATTATTAGTCAAATATGTGAAGCTGTACAACTGCCATTCAAAGGGTCTTTCTGTACTATTTGTGTACCTGGTCACAGTGATATTAGAGGTAACAAGAGAGCCAATATCTTAGCTAAAGATGCAGCAAACAACGGCGATGTAGATTTATATAGAAACTTGCTACACTACCTGCTATTTAACTTAAAGAATCTTGGCAAACTGTGTAGGAAGCAAGCAGTAAATCCATGGGTAGATATTTTCATGATATACAGCCCGATATCCCTGTCAAACCCTGGTTTTCGCAAATATATTTTGAGAAATGTGTTACTTCAATCATTACAAGAATGAGATTAGGACATACTTGTTCATCTGAACATCTTGCTAGACTTAATATAATACCTGATTCAATGTGCGAACAAGACATTGGCAGTCTGAACCATCTTTACCTGTCCAAGATATGACCATGCTTCATTTTTTAAATTTTAAATCTATAATTTCTTTACAAATTCCTTTACCAATGTCTATTCCTTTGTTATTATTGTATAATAATCATTCCTTTATTAATGCATTGGCTCAGTTCATAAGGAAAAATGATATTGAAATTTAGATTAATTATTTATCCACTTATCATTATTTTCAGCGATTACCATCTCATTTCCATTTCCTTCCGTAATTTCCATCCTTCATTGTTCAGATTTACCTATAATATACTACCTACCCTATCCTGTTGATCACCATACCAAAATTCTGTATTTGCTTTTATTTTTATACTACGATTTCCTTGTTTTTAAATTCCTATTAATATCCAAAAACCCACAACAAAGTTCCACAACAACAACTGCGACGACAATGATATCCTGAAGTCTCAAGAAGGAAGAAAATATTGGAAGAATTAACAAAAATTGGCAACTCAATTGAAATTGCATATGACCAAGGACTCCATAGTGCCAGGAAATAAGAAAAAAATTGTAGAGCAGTGGCCAGTTTCTTTTCTAACAAAAAGTTTTCATTTAAAATGTGTGGTAAAAGGTTTTTGCGATTTCTGATATTTCGAGTACTCTTACCATAATAGAGACTATTGATCCTTACCAGAAACCGAATCGAATGGCATAAAAATTGCCTTTTATCTTGCTGACTGTATCGTTTTTTCAAAACATGCGAATGCCAATCAAAGTGTCTTCATAATTCATGAATATTCTAGAACCGTTTTCCTGAAACTACAACTATTAAAGTATCCGGTCTTGCTGCCCCGTCACTAATTTACACCCTATAAACTACGAAGCGTTTTATAATAGGGTGTAATGTAAGTTATTTTATTTTTAGGGTCACTTACAAAATTATCGTAGGATAAGCTCGTATCTTGAAGTGTGTTGCCACAGCTGGAAACCGAGTGCAGTCCACTTTGGCCACTCTGATGGGGGAGTTATATAAAGTCTGCGCCACGTGCGCCCATACCGGCTCCAACCGCCGGCAGTGTGCACACCATGGAGCATAGAACTTCACGAACCACAGCCCCTCGTTGCTGATGTCAATGAATTTGTCACTCAGCTCCAGTACCCTTGATGACAAAACCCCAGACAAGCCTGCACGAGCACAACAATACATACGTACATAATTAATAACACCACCAGTTTAAGCTCAAATAATATTACCAGATCGATAATTATTATACCTGCTAAAAACAAGAAACATGATCCAAGTGAAAAATTCATTGTTCTTTTATTATCCTGTCCCTTGGGATTTAATTGACCAAATGAACTCTACAGCATGACGCTAGACACACAGACGTATCATTGTAACGAACGTGTACTCAGTAGAAATATTTAAGATACACTATATTTTAATAATCTTTTTTTGCAAGAAAAGAAACTGCAACCGTTCGCTTCAATCAGAATTTGACACACGGAGTGTGTAAGGCACAGAACACTATCTATACTCACAAGTAAGGTATCGATGGGCGAGTCGAATAATTAACTCGATTAACCAACTCGAGTTACTCCCCACAACGAGTACGCTCGAGCTACTTTTTTTATGAACTCGAGCTAGAGTAAGCTCGTATCGGTTCGGTACTAGAGATGGGCGTTGAATGAACGAACTAGTCGAATCAACCGTTCACGTCCAATCGAACGTTTCTATGGGTCTACCGTTCTTCGGTTAACTAGTAGAATTCGATGACGGCTAAACGGAGAGTCCACGCGTTAATCAACGCTCTGCGTCACGAGACGACGCGCGAACTCAGTCGAATTATACATAGACTTACACAGACAAACGTTGCCCGTTGTGGCGCAATGCCCTTGAATCTGTCGGCATTAATCTCTATTGCAGTATGTTAAAAGCGTCAATAGCCACGCTCATGTTAAACATTGGAAATAAATTAATTTCTAAAACAATAGTTCATATTCTCAAAAGTTACTTTAGTTGATTCAGTTAAACTCGTCTCACGAACGAAAACCAACTTAAGTTGAATGATCGACTAGTCGACGAATTTAACTAGTTGACCGACTAGTTGATCGTCGACGATGAACGGTTGCGTTTCGTTAACGGAAAACGCGTCGACGACCCATCTCTATTCGGTACCCGCCCCGCGCCGACCCGTATACTTCATTCATAGAGACGCATTCTAGTATGATTTCAAGCACTAGAAATCATACCCAAACCCTGACTTGAGCATTGAGTACAGTTCGGCAATACGATTGATTCGCACTAGCGTTTTTTCAACGGGCGTTAAAAAAACGTTGAAGTGAGACAAATTGATATCCACGTGTTTATTCACACGAAGACGGTTTTAACACGCGCATTTTTATCAAGCACTGTCGGATTTTCGACGTTGAGCGTTGGACGTTAAACTGAATTGAGCAAACTAAACTACGTGTTTTTGTTCTGACGGGGAGTTAAAAAAATGCCGGCTCAGCAGTCAGTTCGCACATTCGCACGTGTAGTTGTCTTGCGCGCCATGTGCAATGACGAGGGTACTTGTGGGGCTCACGATGCAGGCATCGAATGTGCTTATCAACATTCGGTAATAATTACAAAAGTTATAGGGATAAAGCCTCAAAACTTCCAGCGACACTTTTACACTTTTAAATATCTTAGATAATTTTACCCCAATATGATTTTTTTTCCTTTTCTGCCTTCTCGTAACACAAATGGCTATTGCCAATCATTTTGAATTCATAATTTACGTGCACACCGCAACGAGTTTGATTCACAATGTTTTTTTAACGTTCATATGAACACAAATATTCGGAACGGTAAAAAAACACCAGCGCTTTTAACGCTACGCTTTATAAGCGCTCTTTCGAATGACGCCTAAAAGGGTGTGAGTAGCGATGCACGACTTTGAATGTTAATAATTCTAGTTATTCGAATAGGCAAATCATTCCCCTAAGTCTAAATACAAGCACAATCATTCGACTCGAGTAGAATGTTTACGCTAATGCCCCTACCATTAGATGGATGCACGAGTCGAATGATTATTAGGTTGGAAATATTCGGAACCTCACAGGTAATTCATCATGTCCAAATCACATCAAAACCGCCCTGTCCCCGTCACATTCACGGTATTTACCATATGTCAGAGAGGGCTAGGTGATTTCGAGCAGAAATGCTTCATGGAATCTGTGGATTAATAATACTATGAATGACCATTAGCATCATTCGAATACGAAAATTAAATGGGTCGTTTTAAAATATATGTCACGAAATTGTCAATAAATTGTTTCGTCAAGACCTTAGACTCAGGACTTTGTCGTTGAGTTTCATCAGGACCAAAGGATGGAAAAACCAGTAGTCTAACAGGGCATGTCTTTTATTCGTAAAAATTATGCACTGTTTTTAATACCTTGTTTTATGTTTTATTTAAAAAAAAAACAATAAAATAATTATGTTTGTAAACTTAACCACTTACAGAAATATTTAAGTAAGAAGAAATTAATAAAGGAAAAAGAATGGCACTTTTTTACTAAAGGGAAATTAATAAAAAAATTAACATCAAAAAGTGTCTTATTCATTGAATGATACGAACTCTTAAGGTTCGTTTGATAGTTGTAACAATTCTTTGTTTCATTATACAATCTTTTGGTACTATGTCAATGTTGTCACGTTTTGGCTTTGTAAATTTAAAATGACCCTTTTGGAGGACAGGTTTGTAATAATTAATCTCATAATGGCACTTTTTTAATAAAGGAAAATTAATAAAAATAAATATTGTCTTCCTCATTGAATAGTATACATACTCTATAAGTTCGTTTGATATTTGTAACAATTCGTTAAGTTTCATTATACAATCTTTCGGTACGTCAAGAGCACGTCAAGCTTAACACTTAAGATTTATAAGAACCTTACAGGATGGAAAAAAATAAAAGAACAAATAAGTGCATACAAAGTGTCAAGGTTGACGTGATCTTGACTGTAATTTGAGCCGTTCTTATGGTAAGCGGCATAGAGTTGGATTTCAATCTATGTTAATATCCACACGTTTTGGCTAAGTAAATTTCAAATTACCGTTTTAGAGGACGGTTTTGTAATAATTAATCTCACAACTTTCATTAGCGTTGTCAATTTGTTGATTAACACCTATGTAATATTTCCAGGTTTTCATTGAGAAGTATCTGGGGGACAACTCCCGTTCTCCGTCCGAAACAATTATTGTCAAATAAGTAATACTCGACCGAAAGAAAAACGAGATTTAAAATGATTTCACAATAGTATTTTAACTGCCTCCGTAGCCGAACGGATACCATGCCGGATTGCCACGCAGAGGTCTCAGGTTCGATTCCCGGGCCGGGAGAAATAGTTGTATGGCCTACAATTATTTCTCTCGTGAGTTTGGGTGTAATTTGTGGTTGTCTATGTGTGTGTCCATGGCACCCGCGACACAGGGTTTCCCTAGTGCGGGGCTATGTTGAGTGTGTGCGTTATTTATTTAATAGCGGAAAAAACCCTTTTTAATGGCTCCATCGTTTTCTTTCAGTAATTTTAACTTTTGACAGGTGTCAACGACAAATATGGAAAATTAGGACAAATATTGGAAAAATATCTGGAAAAATATAATTTTTTTGAAAATGCAAACTCGAGCCCGAGCGAGTGTATGGCAGCTCGGGCTTGGGTGTCTCTTCCTCGCCTTGCATATCCTGCACGATTACTCTGTCTAGACGTATCCGTTGACTGTAGGAATTAAATTGGTTAGATAATGCTATATATGACACTCAACAAGGAAAAAAATACTAATAATTTATGAAAAGGCTGTATGGTAGAACCTTTGCCTACCCAACCAAATGTGAGTGAGAAGAAAACTAAAAAAAAATATCTTGACGTTTTACTGTCAACATAACATATAACCTCACAATTTCCTAACCTTATAGATTCTACAAATTACAATTCTGTATCGTAAAACTTTCACTTTTGATATAACGTCATTCACCGCATTCCATGACGGTGCCGCTGCTTCGCGTCATAGGTAATTCATTAGCATTGCGGACTGCAAACAGTACACATTTCGGTCGCCATTATAAGTTATTACGTAGCGAATCCCGTTATTCGGAGTGGGGGCCCAGACGCGCGCGGGGGGCTCGTATCGGCGCGGTTGGAGCGCGAGTTCACTCTGTCACTCGGTCATTACGGTATTTCTCTGCTGCGCGTCCCACATTTACGATCTTGAAAGAAAAAGTGACAATGCCCGAAAGCAAACAGTTTCAGCGGCTTCCAAAAAATGTCATACCCAAACACTATGAGCTCCAATTAGTTCCTAATTTGGAAAAATTCACGTTTACGGGGAAAACGGCAGTGAAAGTATCGGTAAGAGGAAATTTCATCATATCGTTGCGAATATCTCGTTTCCATGTGACGCGCTAAAGTCGCATTCACTTTCAGGTTGTGAACACATCTAACGAAATAGTGGTGAACGCTTTGGACTTAGATTTGAAGAATGTGAAGCTTTTGTATAACGATGGGCGGTCGGAAGCTGCAAAGATTCCGTCGGAGGTGCAACTTAATACGGGCGATGAGACTGCTACCATCAAGTTTCAGCAGCCGCTGCCGGTCGGGGAGGCGACACTGCTTTGCGAGTTTACTGGCGAGATTAACGACAAGATGAAGGGCCTCTACCGTAGCAAGTACGTTACGCCTAGTGGAGAGGAACGATACGCTGCCGTCACTCAATTCGAGGCGACAGACGCGCGCCGTTGTTTCCCGTGCTGGGATGAGCCTGCCATTAAAGCCACCTTTGACATATCACTGGAAGTGCCAGCAGATCGAGTAGCACTCTCCAACATGCCTGTTAAAGATGAGAAGATCAGTGGTGCCAAGAGATTTGTGAAATTTGATACGACTCCAGTGATGTCCACCTATTTAGTTGCTGTAGTAGTTGGAGAATATGATTATGTTGAGAAGAAGTCTCGAGATGGGGTATTAGTTCGTGTTTATACTCCAGTCGGGAAGAGCAAACAGGGTTTGTTTGCTCTGGAAGTGGCTGCTAAAGTGCTGCCTTATTACAAAGAGTACTTTGATATTGCCTATCCTCTGCCCAAAATTGATTTGATCGCTATAGCAGACTTTTCTGCAGGAGCAATGGAAAACTGGGGATTGGTAACTTATAGAGAAACTTGTTTGCTTGTTGATGAAGAGCATACATCAGCTGTGAGGAGGCAGTGGATAGCTCTTGTGGTTGGTCATGAGTTGGCTCACCAATGGTTTGGGAACCTAGTCACTATGGAATGGTGGACTCATCTCTGGCTCAATGAGGGTTATGCATCATTTGTAGAATTTCTTTGTGTCAACCATCTCTTCCCTGAGTATGATATTTGGACCCAATTTGTGACTGAAACCTACATCAGGTATGTTTATGGACTATACAATACATTCATTAATTCTATTACTCAAAATGTCTATAACACCTCAAAAAAAGTCATAATTGTATAGTATGATCATGCAACATATTTAATTTGCAACTCATGCATTGTTTTTGAGTATGACAAGAAAACATTTTTGGCACTTTGCCATGTGTGAGTAAACTTTTCCAAAGTAGAAAGTCATGCACATGCATAATGCAATCTTATAAAAAAGTGCATTGAATTCAATTTCCTACAGTAATAGTTCCACATGAAGATGTTATGTTTTGTTTGATAGTTACATATATTTGCTGATGGTGAAAAATATTTCAATACCTCTCACATAAGTTGTTGTAGACAAAATACCATTTTTTGCTTTTTAACTTAAATATATTCTTTTTTATATGTACTTGGTACTTGGTGTAACGAGCTGGTGTCTGCTACTCGACGTCAAGGCGCCTATTTTGCATGTGGTAAAAGTATTTGTATTTGTATTTTTTTATATGTATTATGGGTGCCATATTTAAAAGTATAAAAATCACTTAGTAATTTTTTAATTTCAAACATGGACAAACATGTATTATTTTATATGTATTATGGGTGCCATATTTAAAAGTATAAAAATCACTTAGTGATTTTTTTTAATTTCAAACATGGAAGCTATTACATACATAAAATGGATATTTATATATTATTTAAGTTAAATAGCAAAATATGGTATTTTGACTTACAACAACTTACGTGAGAGGTATTGATTTTGCCAGCACATATTTTTTGTACATTGCTGGGTGTTTTGAAATTGCATTGTTTACATAAAATGCTAATAAAGTACAACAGCATAATATGTAATAACTCAGCATGTATACACAAGAGTAAATTTCTTAAGTTTTATTATTCATATTTTTATAAACTGTAGTTATGAACTGTTTTACAAAGACCAATTTTGAAGGTTCACATTTTGTGCTACCTTGTGCATTTTGAAGTGTTGTGTTCAACCGTGTCATGTGCATTGCAGGCAAATTTTTAATTGTGAAGTGGTGATGCAAATATTGATTTTTAACACCAATGCTTAGCACAAATTTGTTATATTTTTTAAGTTCAGCAATATAGTGGATATATAAATAAAGTCTACCTTCTTAGCCAAAATTATGTACATATTTCAGGGCTCTAGAGTTAGATTGCTTGAAAAACTCTCATCCCATAGAAGTGCCTGTAGGTCACCCATCAGAGATAGATGAAATATTTGATGATATTTCTTACAACAAGGGAGCCTCTGTCATCCGCATGTTGCACAAATACATTGGAGATGATGACTTCCGTAAAGGAATGAATATTTATCTTACTAGACATCAGGTAAGACTCATAGTTTGTTGCTTCAGTGCATCTTTAAACGAGAAACTCAGTAAAATTTTTCTTCTATACAAATGCAGAAGAAAAAATATAAAAGGAAAACATTATTTGATATTTTGTTAGTTTGTTCCTAACATCAGACATCTCAAAGTCTGTCTGACTGATAATTATTACCTAAGAGTGAAAGTTTTTTGAAAAACAAGAATGTCTAATTTCGTCTATGTCTTATAATACGTCATAGACAAAATTACATAATAAGAAATGTACATTGATTTAGTATAATTTATGTTATATGTTACCAGCAATGTATATAACCCGGTATTCTATAGAATGCTGAACATGCATTATGCAATGTATAAAATAGTAAGTGCATTATATGTGTTAACAAGAATATTTTATGCTCGGCCAAGGTGTTACAATAGTTCATCTTGTAAGAATAAGTAGCTAATTAGAAAAATTGGTATTTAAATTACAAGCAACGTTTGTTTGAGAAAATCGTTACTTTTTGAACAGAATATTATATCTAGTAGCAAAAAAAATTGATACACTAAAATATGCTTGCTACTCAAATGAAACTTAACATACTGTTCAACACATTAAGTAAAACTGTTATAATTAATGATTATCTGATATCTGTCAGTAAATCCAATAATTCTTGGATTTACTATAAAAATTTAAACTCCTTTAAACCAAGCACCCATTAAACTTTTAGGTACATTAGTTTTACTTTGTTTGTTTAAAGCACAGCATTAAATATTTAGCTCTTACCATAATTGCGACCCAGCTCGGAAACGCTAACCAATTCGGTTCTGGCAGCATTTTCATATCCTAACCCATAAGAACCCTAAACGAGCAAACATAAAGATGCAAGAACTTGATATTAAGACACCAAAACTAATCCAAGTTTTACTAGGGACCTCTACAGAGTACAAAAGCAGAGGTTTTCTTTCTTATTTTTGATGTAATATTATGTTATTAATATATATTTTTTTATATTTTTATTCTAATATATATTTTATTTAACTTCCTCCATGGTCGATTGAACGGTTACTATGTCACACTGCCATCGCAGAGGTTCCGGGTTCGATTCCCGGGCCGGGAGAAGTGTTTGTATGGTCTACATTTATTTCTTTCGTGAGTTTGGGTGTAATTTGTGGTTGTCTATGTATGTGTCCATGGCACCCGCGATATAGGGTTTCCCTAGTGCGGGGTTATAGCGTGTGCGCGTTATTATTATATTTGTATTCACAGCAAGCCAGTTTATGTATTCAAGTATATTGCCATATACGTCATGTTTCAATTGTTACAATTACAATATAATTTTTATTGTATATTAATAACCAACTTGATACGCCTTATCTGCTTGACAAAAATAATAGCAGAATAAATATGTAACCGGCGTCTGTAAATGTGTATAATAACATGCTATGAATGTATTTGACTACATTGAAAATTACAATTGCATTAAATAATATGAGGTTGTTTTGCAATAATGCTCCTGAAAATACTTTATGTGGCTTAAGAACTTACATAAAGAATTCCATCACAAGTGTTTTAACAAAACACTTGTAGTAGAATAGAATTTGTATAATAGTCAAAATATAGTGAGGAACATGTTCCCTATCGACTTTCTATACCTACCACAACCACATCCCAGTGATAGCACTTGGCTTATTTGTCTTACACGTACTTGAAGAACATTCGCTATCTTCATTTGATTGAAGTAATTTCTTGTAGATTTATTTTTGCTTCTCCTCGATTGATGATTTTATAAAGTTGTCACATTGTATGAGTAGTGTTCATTGTTTGTGTTTCTTTTTAGTATAAGAACACTTATACCGAGGACCTGTGGGCGGCGCTTGAGGAAGCTTCGAACAAGCCGGTCGGTGCTGTAATGTCAACGTGGACTAAACAGATGGGCTTTCCTGTTGTCGAGGTGAGCTCTTTTCTGTACCCAATAATTTATTTTCAAACTTTTCTGTGATGTAATTTTATCAAAGTGCTGAAAAAAATATTCCATTTTCTGAGCTAATGTTAGCATTACTGTGTTCCGGTATTGAAGGGTAAGGATGCTGGTGAAATTACAGGCACATGGGACTCGTCAACTTATGTCTCAGGATGACGGGCGCAGTGGCAGTGCCCCTCAGATCTTTGTAATTTAAAGCTCTGAGTGGCACTGCAACTGTTATTGACAGGTGTGTAGCTTACCATGAGGCGCACGACTTGTTTGTACCGTCAATTAATATTATAATTTTGTTTTGTTTACTTATTTTTTTATATGTTTATTAAGGTCACACTCACAGCAAGCACAGTGCGCATTTCTTTTCCTATCTGATATACATTGACAGTTACAAGTGTTCACAGCATTCTCGAGAGTTACAGCTGATTTAAAAACATATGTCATGTTTGAGTACCTACTACATTTATAAACCATTTTATGTATACTTTATGTGAAATACGTATCATACATAAGAAGTTTAAGTCATTGTCCAAAGTGGGTTGCAAATTCACAAATTGTTTAAGTTTGGAAACCTCGATTGGTGTAGGTTAAAACCATGGATATTTCTATTAAAACCAACGATCTTAAGTAATCTACAAAGACTAAGAAAAGGATATGATTGAATAATAGCTATGGCCTCTATTCCATGGGAAATGACTGCTTCTAATAATTATAATAAATGTATTTTATTGTCTAAATATCAAAACAAATTAGATGATTTAGACATATCACATTATATGCAAAGATATTGTTGAAAATAGTAAGTTATTTTCAACAATATCTTTGCATTCTGCTGGCAGTGGATTGTCTAAATATACAAGTGTAGTCGAGTGTTACGCGAAGTATATAAAGTATAATTAGCCATCCGCCTTAAGTGTTCTGTTAATTTACCAATGACGTCATTATGAACAGGTTGGAACTGATAATAAATGTTTAACAGGCGATTGTTTGATAATTTAAAGCCAACTCACTATTGTTTGCAATTTTAGTATTGGATACTAATGTGAATTGTTTCCATTGTAGGTACAATCAGAACAAAAGGGCGTCAACCGCGTGCTTACGCTGACCCAGCAAAAGTTCTGTGCAGATGGCACTCAAGGCGATGAGACTTTGTGGATGATTCCTATAACTATTTCCACGCAAGAACAGCCTAATAAGGTAAGATTTAATGAAAAAAGCACTACAGTACTAAAAGAGTGGATGGACGAATAACCGCCATTTATAAAACTTTTGAGTAGACACAAAAAATGGATTACTAGAAATAATTATATGACAGACATACCTTTACTGTGTAACTAAAAAAATGTCCATAAAGTATATTTTAAGCTGTAATTATCCGATATTGGGCTTGGAGAGTATGAAAGGAACTTCGTCCAAAAACGGAGTTACGCGGCGGCGGACGAGTCTTGTGTAGTTTAGCAGCTGAGGCTGCTACTGGACGGACTGCATGCGCGTAGTCGATAATATATGTACAACTGCATGCAGTCGACACTGATTTCAAACGGTTACCGCCGTGCGCCTATTTCAGGAGTTTAGTGTATTTGTTGATGTCGAAGTGGAAGATGTTACTTGTAGTTTATCACTGTATTCACAATATTTACGATTCCAAACCCTGACTTTATTTTTATTGAGGAAACAAACACATCACTATCCAAATCCTCAATTTTATTTCCCAAAAAATCTACGTCCGCAATCTGCGACTGCAAGTACTCTGCGGTGGAATTTGCGATCAAAAATATGTAACCAAAAGTGCCATTGTAAAAAAATATATTTTAAGAATTCTGCAAATGATATAAATTCCCCGAGAAAATGTGTAAACTATTATGTTTTTGTTTTACCATTAAGTTGAGATTAGATACTTTAAGTAATCGTTTCCTTTGGCAGTTGATATTAAAGCTCAAGTATAATTGAGACACAAAAAAAGCATATTTCACTCTCAAGAATGTCAACAGCTAGAAGTCTCGACTGCATGCAGTTGATCACGACTGCACGCATTAACTGCAGACGTTATCCTTCGTTCATCTGGTGGCAGCCTAACATACGCACATGACGACTAACATAGTATTATCTCAAAATTGGTTTAAGTCATATTAATATTAGCTATTTAATTTCAAAGTGACAGTGTTGTCCTGTCACTTTGAAATTAAATCGTATTTGGGAGATAAATTATTAATATATCGCAATTTTGAGATAAAATATAACGCAATTTTTGAGATAATATTATGTTAGTTGTCAAGTACGATATTTGCTAATAAATAAAATTGATATAGGTACATAATGCAATACTCGTGATATGACGTACAACAACACAGGATCGTAGATAAATATTGATTTGTTGTTATATATTATTCAGGCTGCATATATGACACAAAATTTTTATCTTATCAATTTAATCATAGCGACATTTCCAGCTGGTATGAATATTGTGTCAAAAGTTTGCTAGCATTGAGCTAGTTTTTGTATTTCCTGTAAAGATAAACAATAAGAGATGTTACCTTGAGTGGTATCACGAGAAAAGATGAGACACTAGTAATACCGGAAATATATCACTGTTTCGAATAACGGTGTCCTTAGGTTATCTTTAACATCTCGTGCCGAAGCGCTACGTGTATATGATGCTGACAAGGTTGCTTTCACCTTCATAAAGTCTTATCTCACACTGTATATTTGTACTATCCTGACAACTAAAATTGCTTCCCAAGAATATGTAACAAACCTAACACCTAAGTATCGGCAACTGATAGTTATAATAACCCTGTTTTTGATCAGGACGACAGCAATGCAACATGTCAATGTAAACAAATTGAAAACGATGGTGAACGTCATGAGAACAAATCGTCCACAATTGAAAAGGTACTGTCTCCAAACGTAGTGACTATCTGAGAAAATAACATGAAAATAATTTACCCATGAGCTTACTATTGTTAACGTTAATTGGACGTGTATGAACTAGTGTTAATTTATTGTTATTATATTAATCCAAGAAAATTAAGGTGTCCTATTGAGAATATGTTATGGTTTGAACAGTCCTTAATATACTGAAATAAAGTTGAAATTTATTTAAACTATATGCTTATAATAATATAGTAAATACATATAGAATGTGAGAAGTTATTTTATAAAGTGTTATGTAGACGTAGCAAATTATACGTGTAACGTCGTTTACAATTTCATTATCTGCATTATAATACAATTCAGAATGTTTTTATAAATAATGGTAATTTTCAAACAATAATAATTAAATGTGACAGTACCTGACAATTACACCTATTTTGTCGTCTCATTCGCATTCCTCAACATATATCACGAGCTTCGTTTTTTTATTTTGTTTTGGAGAATTTTCAGTCCTTTTCTGATTAAGGATGATTTGTTACCAGAGACATTATAATTTGTAGTCAGTTTGTTTCAATCGACATTACGCATTGTGGACGACCCACCTAGTATTCCACGCCGGAAACCACAAATTCCTTTTGCAGAGATTGTTCAGCATATGGATTTTTGTACACAGATTGCCTACTCTACTGTTCTGGAGAAGAGGACTCAGGAAGTTGTACTGGAGAATGTCAGCGAGGACTCCTGGGTGAAGCTCAACCCTGGCACTGTGAGTAGTTTATAATGAGTAATTTAATTGATATAAAGGGTGACTGACAAGTGGATTTGTGATTTGCCTGTGCTACGGAGGTGGACTAGGTGAACAAGCATTCAAAGCACGCAGTACTCAGTTACAAAAATATTACGTTTAATGATGAATTCATTCCATAACTACATACGTGTTTCAAGAGAGAGCAAGCAGATCATTCTGTCGGTTTGACGCTACATTTTATCACGATCTATATAATATGTGCCATTGTATTTGGAATCTTGTCATGTTGAGGAATTTTAACATGTATTTTTTTTACTTATAATACGAAATTTGTGATCAAAAGTCAATACTAACAATTGAGGGGCAAAATGAAATAGGTTAATTTTTACTAATCTTAATTTTCAAGACCATGTAAGAGAAATTCCTACCACAGACTGATCTAATAGTCAATTGTAAAATTTCGAAGTAACAAAAATTAAATTAATTTTATGCTCAATATGTAACCGAATATCGTATTTTTTTTAATAAAGGCAAGAACAGGTCCGGTGCTTGGCGGTTAGCAGCACGCCTACGTATAAGGGCGCGTTCCCACTATGTCGTAACGACAGATAGTTTGCAGTTTACAGTGTCGTGGCTTGTATATTTAAATGAAGTTTTTGACATATAGAACGACACGATTAACTGTCGTTCACGATTTTTTTATCGTTACGACGACAAACTGTCGTGGCAATGGGAAGAGTTTAGAACGACAGTCGTCCGACGATAAATAAAACGTCACGATAAAAACATGACGACAGATAGTCGCAACTACTATTGTCGTCACGATTTATTTATCGTCTCCCGTACCCTTGGCTTGCTTTGCAGTTGCGCATAGCGTTGGGTCGTAGCCAGAGATGGTCTAAACCCATTCATGCCCGAAATCGAGGACAAAACCTATTTACAACTAAATATTTGTAGTGAATTGAGTTTTGTTCAAATTTAATTATACATATTATTACAAAATATTAAATTCTTAAATAGTGCCTAAATTGTCTCTCATCACTTTTCAGTTCATCTATAAACGTTTAACATAATCCTAACGGAATTCTTTTTAATAACATTGCATGTACCCAAAACTTTTTTCTTCGTTTGCTTCCTCTTCCGCCTTTTAAAAAAGTATACATTATTATAATTTCATCTTCATCCATTTCACACGGGAGCGAAAACACACTATTGGCTTCCAAAAGAACATAGGAACAATTGCAGTGCATCAAACAACTCTGTCGTGCAAACGACAAGGCGGCTACCGTGAAACGAGAAATTGTCGTCACGATCTAGTGGGAACAGCTAGACTCGACAGTCGTTCAACGATAAAATAATCGTCCACGACACAGCCACGACAGATAGTCGTGATATGGGAACAGGCTAGCGCGACAGTCGTCCAACGATAAATAAAACGTCACGACATAATGGGAACGTGCCCTAACAGTTGCATTGCCACTCGGAGCTGTAAATCGCAAAGATCAGAGGGGCACCGCTAGTGCATCCGTCGCCCTTATACATGAAATTGATAAGTCCCGTGTGCCCGTACATTTGAGAGAGCACCATTATTACCTCTATCTCAACTGGTTTAAAGTGAGGATGAGATCGAGGACGTAGCATGCACACCTATATGCCTATTCACTCTCGCTTTGAAAAGATCCAAGTTATAGCGTTCGGGGAACAAGTCTGCAGCCTGGGAATTCCACTCCAAACGCTTCGTGTGAATCCTGGGAATATCCACAACATAGGGGTGGAACCCCAGCCCACGTCTAGTCCCCAGATGATGGAAAGGGGAATCCGGAATCAAATTATACAATTCCATCGCACTCTCCGTGATATATCCTGGAAAATACCGATAAGCAGGCAACTCTACGGCGACGTTCAAGGCTCTGCAGCTTCGCCTCTATTAATTCCGAGTCCCCTATAAGCCTCTTGACACGCTTGTCTATTGAACCCAAGGTAGCCAGTTGGTATTTAGCAGAGCCATCCCATAAGTGGCAGTACGTGTACTCCATACACGACCGGACTTGTGCTGTGGGTACAGCTGAAGCAACTGCCCCAGTGTGAAGTAACGCCTCACCTTGGAAAGCATGCCCTCATTTTTGGCCATTGGAGTTCAATGTATCGGCCGAAGTTCAGATGGGACGACAGGTCCATTCCAAGTAGGTGAAGACGGTCGGCTATCGGTATGGATATATCACGAAAAGTCGAATTCAGGTGAAAAGGACTAGTTTGTGGAGAAAAGTCACGCCTGCGTTTTGGTAGCATTAAATTTGACAAGATTGGCATTGCCCAAATCGGCGACTGCCTAAGTGTCAAATTCAAACGACTAACCATGGACTCTCGATAAAACTGCATTTATTCTCCACTGACCCTTGCATTGGTCAAGTCTCTGTCTACAACTGTGCTGTCATCAACATACCCAAAAGCACCTGGAATTAACATATTTATATACAGCAGAAAGAGGGTTGCGGACAGTACAGGACCCTGAGGCATCCGGCGGCTATCGCCCGATGTTCGGAAGAAATAAGTATGGTGACTGTACTTCTCTGGACGAAGTTTTTCACTAAGAGCTTTACTGTTACAAAAGTAAGACTTGTAGTTACTGACAGGCGTGTCGCTTACCATAAAGCGCACGATTTGTTTGTCCTATCACGTAGTATCATAAAAAAGTCGTAATTTTTTTTATACATAAAAAGTGCTCATTTGGTCTCCATCTCATCCGATGGAAAGTGACGACGAGGTCGACGATGACGACTATGTAACACGTGGGTACACCTAAATAATGCCTTTTAAATGGATTTTAAGACGTGACCAAGGTGCTTCAAATAATTTTATTCATTCTCGCCTTGAAAAGGCCCAAATTATCGCGTTCGGGGAATAAGTTTGCAGGCAGCGAATTTCAATCCTTAGTCGTTCACTATATAAATGAGGAAGCGAAACGCTTCGTGCGAATCCTTGGCATATCCACAACATAGAACCACAGCCTACGTCTAGTCCCCCGTTGATGGAAAGAGGAACACGGAATTAAATTATGCCATTCCATCGCAAACTTCGTGATCTAGTAGTAGCAGTAGGGCTCATTGTGAAAGAATTCGTCCAGGGAAGTACTGCCACCATACCTGTTTCTGCCTCCAAGCAGTAGTGCTGGTGAAATTACAAGCACATTTATTTATTTATTTATTCACTAACAAAAAAAAGACACATTAATTTAAAAACAACAACAAAACAAAATCAAAATCAACCATAATTAACGATAAAAATTTAAAACAAAACATATCGTTACTAATCTAAACTTAAATTATTATTGTCAGTAAAATCCTTCCATTCAGTCATCAGTCTCGCTATCCCTGTCACAAACAGATCACACTGCGGTGATGCTGCGAGTACGGAGTTGAGGAGTGTAGTCGCACGGGGAAGGGGCGTCGGTACTGTTCAGTGCGTGAAGGCACAGTTGCTAACAAGGGCACATCACGCCGCCTGGTACAGTAGTCATTTGGTACTTTGAATTGTCAACTTATGTCTTAGTGTCAGGCCCTGTGGCGGTGCCCCTCAGATCTTTGTGATTTAAAGTTTTTTGCGTTCCACCAAGTCGTACGAACTATGGCCAGAACGAGATCGTTTCACGCCTTACAACAACGTGCAACAAGTCTTTCATACATTGACATTTTCGCGAATACTATGCATTTGTTTAAGCGGCATACTAGAAGAGTAATTTGTCCACCATAGCTGTTACCAAATTTTCTGTTGTTAAATATAACATAAAAAAATTATGTAGCTTTGTACTATTTGATATCTATCATCATTTTAATTTTTAATTTGGAATGTATTTTGCTGCAATTTTACAAATATTATTAGAAGTAATTTTTTTTTTCTTTTAAAATTTTTAATTTTTATTATTGTTACTTTTTGAATTTACATTAGCATTCAATGAACCCTAAACTCACTATGTCACGTCATGCCATTTGTTCAGTGATATGCTATAATTGGCAACACTTATGGGTCATGTAAATTAGTTTTTAAGTTCTACAATGTATGCTGTTGGTGTAGCTTCATAAATAAATAAAGCTTTGAGGGCAATTGTAATGGACAGGCGTGTCGCTTACTATCAGGCGCACGACTTGTTCGTCTCGTCGCTTAGTCATTATACAAAGAAACGTAGAATACCGATAAGTAGGCAACTTTACGGCGGTGTATATTGTAGACGAGCCCTGTACCCGGCCTGGGGCGTGTGGTCAGGTTTAGATTTCGGGGAGTGCTTATGCTCCTCGGTAGCACAGCGGTTAGTACTATAATGGAAACATAGCTTGGGTTTGCGTAGAGGTACTTTTTAAATATAAAACGATGATTATATTCATAAATAAAGATATTCAAGCGTGTATTCAATTTCGAAGCCTGTTCCAGAACTCCTAGATGTCCGTTTTAACATCAACCCTCTATTATTTATACATTTCTAAATACAAACCTAACCTGCATGTATTACAGTACTAAGGGCGCTTGATGAGATGGTTCCGGGTTCGATTCCCGAATTGGACCGATTTAAGATATATCAGTTTTTTTTTCGGCCATTTACGGTATAAATATATTTTTTCCACCATATCGGCAAGTATGCGTTCTATTTCTATCAGTGAGTTAAGGGCGCGTTCAAATTAGCCGTGCCGTGCGGCTGCAGCGTTAACAGCGGCTAATTTGAACGCGCCCTAAAAGTTGTAGCTTTATGTTTGTATATAATAGTGGTATGTTATTTATGTTACGACTTCAGCGAAACAAGAGATGTGAATATTAACAATCAAATTGTCGATTTCACGGCGATTAGATTAGTGTAAAGAAAACCAACCCTGAATGAAAACTGAATTATTTATGTTTTGTATATATGTAATTGTGTGAGTTGAAAGAGGATGTGGACAAACCCCCCTTTAATATAATATAAAGAAAAAAATTAAAAATCATGTAGTTACAAATGCTCATACAAAAATCTAGTAGGCGTTTTTGATGACAACAAAGATTCAGGTTTTCATCGCTAAATAAATGCTTTTCCAGTAACCGGTTTAATCTTGGTTTACACGTTACGAGTTCATCAGCGTGCAAGTAGCATTTGTCTCCTTGCACAATCAAGATGGTGACGACTGACCTTCTGCTGCGAGGTATAAGAGTTGTAGCAAATATGTTATAATGGCTGAAGTACAAATTCTTGAAAAGGAAAAAAACAAAGCAATAGAAAATTTTGAACCATAATATGGATTTTAAGAGGTGACCAACTAGGTGCTTCAAAAAAATTTAGTCGTGAAGAGGAAGATAAAAACACGTTTAAATCCTCATAGTGCCTCATAGTTCATTCCAAGTTTTCTTAGTAGGCGCCATTTGTTTTTATAAAATTAAAACAGAACTGCGCTCGAGTCCACTTTGATCGGATACCGACGCGACGCCCGAGTTCACTCGGATCACATCTTTACATGCTATAAGTAGCGTATGTCATAGAGAGTACTCATATAGTAACTGTAACTGCCTCTGTGGCCGAATGGTTACCATAACAGACTGCGAAGAGGTCCCGGGTTCGATTCCCGTGTCGGGAGAAATATTCGTATACCCTACATTTCAATGTCTCGTGAGTTTGGGTGTAATTTGTGGTTGTCTACGTGTGTGTCCGTAGCCTCAGTGATACAAGGTTTCCCTAGTGTGGCACTATGAGTGTGTGTGTGTGTAAAAAAAAAGTGAAAAACCGGCTTTAAATGTCCTGATTCGTCCTGAGTTAACATGCTCAAATCAATACGTGTGTATTGTGTAAAATGCGGTACCTCGCTTCCTCATGACTTACAACAAACGCATATTCACACGCAATTAAGCTGGCCCATGTAGCCGGGCCATTAATAACAGTAAATTTTTGTGACGAACCCACAGTCCTTTGTGAAAAATGAGCCCATTTGGGTTTTGCCAGAATTATTACACATCTCGGTTCTTAGTTTATCTTGCAATTAATGATCTGTTACATAATAACTGTTGACCTTTCCGAACAGGTGGGATACTATCGCACCCGTTATCCGCCGCTGATGCTATCGCAGCTGGTCACTGCCATCCGTGACGCGACGTTGCCGCCGCTCGACCGACTCGGCTTACTGGACGACTGTTTCGCGCTTGTACAGGCTGGACATACTTATACTGCTGAGGTTAATTTCTGTTATCAGATTCTGTGAATTTTAAGTTTTATTGTATTCATTTATAAAGAACCTAGTATTGACACACAGACTGACATACTGATGTGAAGAACTGTTACTAAAGGCTAGATAACTTTTTAAACGTCTTTGAACTCTAAAGTCCAAATTTTATAGATAATAAACATACAACGTAACATAAAAGGTAATAGCATAGTAAGAGAACAAAATTAACAATTTTTTAAATTAAATTATTTATTGAATTGATATTCAATTATTTTTTTATGAAATTATACCACTAGTTTCTTATAATTATTAATGAAAAAATTCCTTCGATCCGGCCAGATTTAAACCGACGTCTTCTAGCAAACCGTGCCAGACTCTATGCCAACTAAGCCACGGAACAAAACAGCGGACCTCACGAATTTTTCTATATTGTGCTTGTTGTCGGATCTTATTTGGTTTTATTATTTAAATTTGTATTGCAAGGAAGTAATAATTGAATTACTACTATTACAGTCTTTAAAACTGATGGAAGCATTCAGTAACGAATCCAACTTCACTGTATGGTCGTCCATATCCAACTGCATGTCCAAGTTGACGGCTATATTTTCCCATACCGCATTGGACAAGCCGCTTAAGAATTACGGGCGTAAGCTGTTTAGTAATGTTACCAAGCGTCTTGGCTGGGATGCTGAAGAAAAGGAGAGTCATCTTGATACATTGCTAAGGAGCCTGACCCTTAACAAAATGATTGGATTTGAGGACCCTGAAACGATAAAGGAAGCTAAAATCCGGTAAGATTTTATTGTCAATGAAGTCTTTGTAATTTGTTTACATTTGAAGTACTTAAGTTATTTGGGTAGAGGAGGAAAACATTGTATTATTAAATGATGGTGAGAAATGAAGCGAAACAACGCGTTAAAATTTCCACGCGCAATCACTGTCAAACATGACAAGTTGAAACTTATTGCAATTTATAAGCATAAAACGCTGATAAAACTACAAACGCACGTGTGTAATTTCAGTGACGTATTTTCCTTTTCAATGCAATTGAGTAAATTATTATTAATATATATATTTACCAATTTTGTACAATTCCTTAGCATACCATGAGCTAATTTAATTGTTATATTTCCTAGTTTCGAAAGACACATATCGGGGCAAAGCACTCTACCCGCCGACCTACGATCAGCATGCTACCGCGCAGTGCTAGCCGACGCGGACGAAGCCACTTTCAAACGGTTTCTTGAGTTGTACCGCGCCGCAGACCTGCACGAAGAAAAGGATCGTATCAGCCGAGCTCTTGGTGCTGTCAAAAACGTTGGGTTGCTTGAAAAAGTGCTCAATTTTGCTATTTCAGTGAGTAAAACCAACGAACGATATCAGTCTATTCTGACTACCTCTAAACAAAACAAACAAAACCTCTCTAGACCAGCAAACTCAACCTGCGATCTGCAAGCATATTCCACGAGTCTCGCAGCTATTACCATGGCATAATACATAATTCTATGAACACGCACTATGTGCGAGGTCAAGTTAAGAGAAAAGATACGTACACTTTAAGACGATAATAAGGAATTGTTTAAGACGTTAGTAAGGAACTGTTTAAGACGTTAATAAGGAACTCTTCTAGTGATCGCGTCTCTCTTACTGGATCCCATAGCCTAAGTTAAACAATAGTATAATAAGATAAGATTGATAACTTCATACAAACGTAGCAGCGCACCCGCCGTGAGTCGTGTACGGACGCACACATTTGCATAATCTCGCGGTGCACTCGCAATGCACAGCGCGGGTCGCACGCGTCATTCATCATAGAATTGAAGCGTTCGCTCGGCGTTTAAAAATTACATAAAATAATAGACGTGTTTATTATTGTTTTGCGGTTGTTTGAACAAGTGTGCCTCAAATTCAGAATGTTCAGCATTTAATTTCTATTCATAACCATTAACGAGATACCAAACCGCGATCCTGGTGTAAAAATAGCAATACGTACTGCATTTAACAAAAGTTATTTCCATATAGTACAAGAATTTTTTTTATATTTTTTTTGCAATACTAAGTGACGGGACGAACAAGACGTGCGCCTGATGGAAAGCTACACGCCTGTCCATAACAGTTGCAGTGCTACTCGGAGCTTTGAATCACAAAGCTCTGAGAGGCACTACCACTGCGCCCGACACCGTGAGACATAAGTTGATAAGTCCCATGTGCCTGTAATTTCACCGGCATTCTTACACTTCGAAACCGGAACGCAGTAATGCTCACATTACCGCTTGGCGGCAGAAATAGGTAAGGTTCCCTGAACGAACTATCACAAGGCGCTCTACTGCTAATAAAAATATGGTGGTGAACACCTTAATTTCTTCAAATTATGTTGGCAACTTGTAGGTACACATAAAATAATAATATGACAACCCTACGCTCCAAGAAAATTGTAGGCATTTTCGCACCGAACAGGCGGGAGTTGTTCTAATTATCTTATTTTACTATAGTTAAACCCTCCTAATATCGAAATATTCGCTGTCAAAATCGTAATACACTGATGCGTAACGAATTTCGACTAATATGATTATTTTAAATCGAAATACATAACGTATACTGAACACTATCAAAGGCTTGTCCGACACGCTTCAGAACGTTGTTTTATATATATATATATATATATATATATATACCCGATTTACATTAAAACATAATAATTTTACATTTTTTTTCAGTGATACGTCATTGACCACTTGAAGGACCTACACAAACTACAGTGTCTGTTGTTTGCAGGACGAAGTGCGTGCTCAAGACACGGTTTTCGTGATCGTGTCGGTGGCGGTGAGCCGCAACGGGCGCGACCTTGCTTGGCAGTTCTTTAAAGACCATTGGCAGGAGTTCATGGACCGCTATCAGGCAAACTTTCCACCATAATGCATCTTAGTTTAAAAATCCCAGTCTTTATGACGAGGCCTTTCTATTAAAACCTGTGTTTTCTACTGACACATTAATGTGGTATGATCGATCCTGTGGTATAAGTGGTAGTATAATTGAGCTTAAAGAAAATAAATTGCGATTGTGTAAAGTATTAAAAGTAAAAAACCAACCTTAAAAAGCATTCATCCCTTAGTTAGCCACCCTTAGAGGTGGAATATTTTCTTCAAATTTAAATGGAACCACTACAGAAGTACCCTTGTCCAACAAAAAAAGAGTCATCAACTTCGGTCGCCGGAGTCATCGCGTGGCATACATAAAAAAAAAACATACAGTCGAATTGAGAACCTGCTCCTTTTTTTGAAGTTTGTTAAAAATAGATAATATAAAAAGTTATGTTCATAACTTGTTTAGATTAAACATTAATGTTTGGATTGGGGCATGCAAAATCTTTTGCATATAGGACTATGACAAACCACTTCGAACGCGACGAAGCCTTATGAATCCGTAGCTAAGATAGTTAGCTAGCTCACTGTTTAAATCTTGATTTTTTTACAATATCAAGTGACGGGACGAATAAGTCGTGTGCGTGATGGTAAGCTACACGTCTGTTGATAACAGTTGCAGAGCCACTCAGAGCTTTAAATTGTTAAATCGCAAAGACCCGAGGGGCATTGCCACTGCGCCTGTCACCCTGAGACATAAGTTGACAAGTTCCATGTACAAGTGCCTGTAATTTCACCACGCTCACATTAAACATAGACCAACACCGCCGTACTCTCAAATGAATCGGTTTTCAAAATTGGCGGATTACAGCGATTGCAATAAAGCTTCACTCTAGTACTCAGAAAGACACTGAAGTACACGTCTTTACTTTACCTTATGCGCTTTTGCCACTTACTTACTTACTTACTTTTTGTTACTTGCGTTTCTAGAAGTGAACTAAGGCTCAATATTGCGGCGGAACGGTATGGAAGCGAATTTTTGTAACGATATTGTGCATAGCGTAATGATGGTCAATAACGTAATTAGATACGAGCCAAAAATCACGCGCGTCTTCCGCGGAATTCTCGCGCATGCTTGAGAATGCTCACGCATTCCGCAGCTGCCGTCGGCGACGCCTGGCGAATCAGACAGGCGCAGTGTAATGTCAAACGTCGACGAAATATTACAGCCTCAAGGCGCGGTCGCTGGAATGTTCGGACCGCCCGCTCCTTCTGGCGCAGCGAGGCGAAATTGACGTTTCCATTCCATTCCGTTCCGCCGCAATGTAATTTGAGCCTAGGTCTACCAAATTGATTTAAAAATTCCTTTGCTGATGATTATTACACACTTGCGACACAAGTAACTACATAAGTGTGTATTGTCGCACCTGTCTACCAGTAGGTTAGGCCGATTACTATTCTCCACTTGTACAACTTTCGGTTATTAAATTCGCAAATGTCCTTGTATGGACCCTCGTCTAATCTAGCTACTTTTGATCTTATGCCTACTACGTAACTAACTGAACCATTATTCGCAGGGTGGGTTCCTCTTATCCCGGTTGGTGAAATCGACGACTGAGAATTTCGCATCAGAATCAAGCGCGCAGGAGATCGAGGAGTTCTTCCGCACACACCCATCGCCGGGCACCGAGCGCTCCGTGCAGCAAGCTTTGGAGACCGTGCGCCTTAACGCCGCCTGGCTACGTCGCGACCTCGCCTCCACCACGACCTATTTGCAGCCCTATCATTGATGTCACCCACCGGTGAGTCTTGTTAGTGCCGCATCTACCAAAATTCAACCATGTATTTCATGGCTTTTCATTCAGAGGTTCGGAAAAATTTTAGTGCAAAAGTATAGAACTATAACGACTGGGTAGATTTCCTTCAATATTGTAAAGCGGTGGCGGAAGAACGTAGGTGGAATCATATCATGCAACGTATTATTCCACGTATGTTTCCTCACGTAGACATAAACGTGTAAACCGATACATCGTAGTTTTTTTTAGAATAAAGTATCGTTTATTACAACCATATACAGTTGTTATGTATAAACTTGTTATATATTATGTATAAATTGTTATATATGTGTGTATAAACATAAATACAGTTGTTATGAGTAAATAATAGTATCACATGAACTCTGCCCTGACAGGGTATAGCAAATTGGACTTAAATCTAGTTTGTTAATTATAACAAGTGTAATATTAATATTTGCTATAGAAATGTATGATTGAATTAGGTATTAAATACAAATATAGGCTACACATCGAGATAAATTTTTTAGAGATAACTATACTCCATGAATTCTGAGACTTATCTTTTTTTACAAGAAATTATTAAAGGTTATATGTCATGACGACAATGTTAAAAGCTGTATTTGTTCACGTGTACAATTCATTGTTTACAGGACCAAATGACACAAGACTGAAACTACAACGAAATCCACTGTTATGTTTCATCCGGAGTTGGTGTAGCTATCGGCTACTTTTACGAGCTTTATTTATTTTCAATGACATTCTTATTGTAAATTTATACGGGATATATTGTATTATAATTTACTCTTCATATTTATGACACTACACAGTGCATTTTTGAGTCCCGTCGGGACACTGAAGGTCATTAAAATCTCAATGAGTACAGAGTGCAACAACGGTAAAATTGTTTAGTAGTTTGCTCGGTACCGTTAAACTGTGATGTTTTTAAAACCTAGTTTCTCTACACAGTTACATTTAGGAGTCGATGTTGTTACAAATTATTTAGCCTTGTAGTTTTACCCTCGGAACTCCGTGCCCTCCTTATTCCACAAGGGCGCGTTATTACTTTGCTAAAGTATATTATAGTGCTTACGATTCGAAGAAGCTATAAAGTACAGGCCTATTGTGTAAATGTGTATAAATATTATTATTAATTTATGTTAGATAATATTACGAGTGAAGTAATTTTGGTGCTGAGTGCATTAATTTTTGTTTTCATTTAAAAGGGTATAATGTCTCTTTCTGTAAGCTTGCTGACACTTAACTGTTTCGTCGTAAAATATCTAACGTTTCAAAACTGCAATAATATATTGCGATTGCTTCATGCAAGTCGAGTCAAAATTGTGATTGGTCTGTAATGTGAAGTTACCATCATTAATAGTGTCTTTTGTTGTCATCGCCCATTTGTTGTAAGACTGTGTTATCGGAATAAATTGTACAAAAAGTATTTTGTTGTTTTTCTCCAACTTTTGGGCTTTTCTGACTCTTAACACATTCAGTGCCTATCGAGGTCGCCTTTGCCGCAACTGAACGATACATGGGTCCCGGTCTCGATTTGGTTTTGATCACAAGCTGTTTTATAGGTGACACTTAGTTAATGACTCTTAAACATAATTAAAATCGCTGTGAATCTCTTCAGCCTGAAAAAATTTCAACCGTTATTGTTATTTCATAAGTTCTCGATAAATAAAACTAAATAATAAAACAGTACATCTATATTGCACTATAACATCTCACTTAGTATTGTACAATGGGGTGTCGAAATTGGACTATTATAAATACATAATACTAGAACACAGACATTACAAACTTTGCCAAATATTACCTAGCGGCGGGTGCATTCACATATATCGGATCGGAAAATTAACACAGTTCTTTTAACATTCCTTTGGGATGCTACTGAGCTGTTTTCTCTGTAGCTATTAGTATTAACTTAGAGTGCCTTCAACTCTTGTACAACAACTACAGAGAAAGAACAAATATATTACTTGAAAGGATCTCGAAGGAACTACAGGGAACATCTCACATAAATTACACAAATTAAATATTACACCAATAAAATATTTGCTAAAATTATCCGACAGGAAAGAAGGTCCATAGTTTTGATTTAATAAGCCCATACAATGGCGAACATGTCGGCTGGCATAGGTAATAGTTTCTTATACGATTACTGTTGTTTCCCATGAAGCGATAAAAAGGAGTCTTATCTTGCACAGTAAACAGAAAAGTAGCAATTTACGTGAACATGAAAGAAAACTATTTCTCATTAGCATTTTTAAATAACTATATAATAAGTATCATACGTACGTACACATACCCTACATAATTTGACATGTTCGCCATTGAACAAGCTTCTTAGAAGCTGTACAAAAATATTTGAGGTATTTATAATACACACTTTATAAGCTTAGCAATGAGCAAATACAACTCACCACGAAAAAGTAAGTCACAAATATGAAAATAAGAAATTCGTAAGTCTTAACAGTGTATTGCTTCATTTACAACCACTTGCAGCAATGGAGAAGTCAGATCTCTTTAACAATATTAAATTTATAATTACACATTAATATTACACTTCTCGACGATTTATTATTATTCTATATACAAAAAATTGGAACTCCTTATATCATCCATGGTTTCGCGAAATATAAAATTAAGTGGTTCCGAGCTCCGACAAAATTGACAAATTGTGTTATTTCAATGCATTAGGTATACACCACCGATGATATAATACATTCTAGAGTGAAAGGCAACTGGAAACCAATACAATGTTTAACTTTAATACTTACAAATTTATTTATTACCTTAATTAGGTAGTTAGTAATATCCATACAATATCCAAGGAAATTATCAGAATATGACAAACAACATTCTTCAAAAATATTCATACAAGTTACTGTAATACGAAAGAAAGGGTTAGACCATCACGGGACAAACGTTAGTGACCCTTAAGTTTATGGTTATAGGACTAATTGTTAAAGGAAATGATTCAATCACAAGACAACAAACAAAAATTTATAATACGTTGGCAAATTTCTTTTCGACTCTGAAATGAAAGAGCTACATCTCTGACGTCACTGTTCGTGTTCACAGTAGAAGATATTATTTCTTTGAAATTCCGCTATATGACAAGTATCAAGTGTGATTTGTCAGCTTCAAAGTTCAATACTAAGAGTCTTCCAATGATCGCGAATCACTTTACAATATCTTACAAATAGTAGGTCTACAAGGCAATATACTCTTGGTTGCTTTTATTGTACAAATGTAGGTATTCCCCCTACAAACAGATTATAGGCCCTGAGTGTTTCCACTAAGGCTTTTTGTGCTTTAAAATTTTATTATTTGTACCTCTATTATGAGTTAACGGTGTTGATAGTTGTTAGCGCTCAAATATTTTTTTTAATGTCCAATTGTGAAACGCTCCTGGCGGTCACAAGAGGAACTAATATTTGTTTGCAAATATTTTAAGAGGCCTCTAGCGCTAGCTAGCTCTACTTTAGCTATAGACATAACTCATGCTTGAGGTACCATTCTATTTCTATTTAATATGAAATTTTTCAGCTGCCTGTTTTCTATCTTAGGACTCTAGTGACTATTCATAAGCGTGAAGAATTCTTAATTCTATATAGGGTAAATAAAGCAAACAAGAGAATGGAAATCATACAATTCTGTTACTTAATTAGAAGAAAGAAAAAGCCAACGTGACAAGCAACTTTCACGCTACATACGTACCATGGCACCAGGCTGTTTCAATTTTATTTTAGATTGTATCAGAAGCCAAGTTAAATCTGCGACAGTAGGTATACTAACTGAAGCTAAATTTACGTTGTTATAACCGTATAACGGAAATTGCTGACCACTTTGTCTTTTTCAAAATCAATTAACCACACGCAAACGCTCAATACTCCTTTCGGACGGTTTTCCGACAAATTAAAACAATATTTAAAATTAGCTGTCGATTGTAAAAAAATCATATAAATGAATAAAAAAATCGTATATCATTACGTAAAAAACATCCAAATCTTGACTAGAAATATCGACTGATTGATTTTAGTTTCATATTTATTATGAATTAATGAAGTTATGTGAAATATGATTGTCATTTATATTCATCGTATATAACCAGAAATAGAGACGAAATAAGGGCCATACATTCCTGGTAACTCATCAGTGATAAATCACTTATAAATATCAACTCTCGTTTGCACTGAAATTACAAATTAGAAAGCTGAAATAGTACAGCGCCAACCACTGACCTGTGTGTACGTCTCCGTATATTCCAAAAATATTCTGTATTTACTGTAATAAAGATAATATCTCTAACAATGGCGTGCTGTTAAATATGTAATTTTGCAATTTTAGTGCATTATAGCAAAGCTCAAGTTAACTGGTCGATTTGAAGTGAAACAATTGACGACACCCGTCAGTTGTTTCGAATTCGGGCTGGCCAATCGGAGCGCAGTTGTCACAGTAAATATGGCAGAATAGTTTCAAACAAATTAAATGACATTTCGTCTCTTATTTCTGGTTATATACTCGATGTTTATATTGAACGAATAGAACATGAGACATTACGACGTCATACTGAAAGATGAGAAGTGATATCTAAATGGCATGTAAGCAATACACAATACTGCATGTTCAGAAAATAATGTTATCAGAAAGTGAATGTTAAATCTTACAATGGAGCTGTAATGAATAGAAGATGTAACACGGCTTAGGAGAAATAAATATTGAGCTACCGTACAAAATAATACCTTAGAATAAGATAATCAGATGGACTAGACAGCAACATTCCATTGTATATAGATGGAAAAAAAATACAAAATATAGACTTAGAAAACGTTAAATGACAAACACCACAAATAATATAAAACTTTTCACTTTGACTCAGATGTTATCTACATTTAAGCCTTTAAGGGCCAACACAAATCCGGTGTTGAAGAGGGTTTTATGCCCGCCAGCCCACACTGGGATATCCTTGACGACACCACGACTTTCCGCTAGCGCATCGTAGAGTCCGCTGGAATGCAAAGGTTTCCGCCGACATGCCACCGGTCGCTTGTATTAGATTCCGTTCCACTAGCGACTACGCGGTCGAAGTCAATGAAATGTATACCTTAATTCAATTATTGTAACATAAAATATACACTGATAAATTTAAAGTCCTCTGCCTTTCCATCCGCCGGTTTGCGCTGGCACTAAGTGACATCGATTCTGACAAACAACAACCAACCTAACATGTTTGCCAATGAATGGGCTCTCTATCATCATGATATTGGTATAATTATTGGCGCCGTTAGTACTAGCATGTCAGCGCTGGTAAAGCATTGGCAATGGCATAGTGAAATATTTTTTTATGCCGGGTCAGCGCTGCGTGAAAACGTGCAGAGAATAAAGCGGCTGTTTTCTGTACTAGTGACTCTCTCCCGCTTAGCGCTGATGATGGTAATATAAAAACAAAAACTCAATCGTATTTTCTATATCATCCTTGAAGCTGCGCCACTTATAACATCCATAGTTCCGGGTATTATTCGAGAGGTCTCAGTAGAGTTTTGGAATTGTCGAGGAATTCTCGAAATTATGGAAATTCAACTTATTTAATCAGGGTAACGGAAGTAACAACGGGTAATCTTTTCAGATCAAGAAATGCCCCTTTATTTTTCCTCCTTGTATTTAATACTTCAAAGGTTGCAAGGTTTGGCCACGAGATCAATGCCACTTGAACATACGTTCCTCGTACGGTTAAAGTAACTAGCTACGACAAGTAGCACCAACACTTTCAAGAGTTTTTGAGCAGTCAAGCACTTTTGCGAGTATTGGTTTGGGATCTATTTTAAATTGGAACTAATTATAGTGTGGCCACCTCTGACACAACTAAAAAGGATATAAATTCATGGGTAGCAAGATGGTGGATATGCATGCAAGACATGACTTACTAGACTAGAGAAAAAGGTGCAAAAAAGATTGTTCGTTTTTTGTAATTTTCAGGATAGCAAGATACAAGGTACATTTAACTCACTTTGCACATTACATATTAAAGAAGTCAATCCAGTCATAATAATTGACTTTGCAAAATAAGTTATATCAATTGAAAAACGAATTTCGTTTGTCTTGGTAACAGCCGAAATATTCTTATCGTAAAGAAATTACATTACGGCTGATAAGGGGGAGTGAAAGAAAAATATATGTTGCGCCGAACCCACCTAGCGTGGGATAAGGACAGGTAGAAGAAGAATGAAATTACAAAACACTGAACGATAGTTCTCGTTTTGCATATCATCTCATAGCTCAGGTCGTATAAATTATAAATGCACCATAGCTAAAAAATGTTCAATTTTCCGACGGCTCATAGTACTTACATTCTGAAAGAAGACAGCGATGAAGAAGACCGTGACCAACATGCTAATGATTACGAGTTGAAATAGGGACACATTCGCAAGAAAATGGCGGCAGGATCCAAATAGGTCGTACCACGGAATGTAGGTTGGAAGATGATGATGAGGATTTTAAGGTGTCGATAACATGCAAGCTGTCATTTGAGACCAGTATTAGTTCCCTTAGATAATGTTGTGACAAAATATGACTGGAATGTTTTAAATGCTTGCTTGGTAAAGTTGATATTGGCCGAAAGTCAAGGCTGTTTTACCCAATACCGTAGGGCCTTAGAAGTGGTACATATTTATCATCGTGGTCCATTTGTAATGGGCAAAAAAGGGTACCAGTAAGTTATTGCATTACAAAATGTTGAACTGAAATCAGCATTGACTTACAATTATATGGACGTCGGGTCCGCGCTAAAAAGTGTCCGAACTTATAGGGCGTTAAAATCGTATACAGAGCGTCATCCACGCTTTAGTCTTCGTTCGTTCGACTGACAGCGAAGCAAGCAAAATTAGACAGTACTGCGATGACATTACAATTTAAATTCAACGTTTTAGATTTTTCATATTCCTTTACATGTCACTACGTTTAAATAGGTTGACTTGGGACATTTTTTTCGTGGTTTTTGTATTAGACCCGTCGTCCATTTATTTGTAAGTCAATGGAAATCAGCATAATATTAGCACAAATTTTTAAAACTATTAAAAGATGTGGCCTATTTGCACATTCAAAAACATCTGAGTTTTTGCGGGAAAAACAAAAGAATCAGATGAGGCGCGTCAAATTTAAATGGCAAGTAAGATTTCTTTAAAATAAATTGACGAATGTTTGAACAATGTTATACTTCACAAGCAAAAGGAATACTGGATACAAAAGTTGAAAGACAAATTTGGAAGAATACTAAAAATAAAACAAATTTATTTTTTATGACATCAAGCGACAGGCTGAATAAGTCGTGCCGCCTGTTCATAAGCAACACAACTACCCTTATGGGCGACTAATTAATTATTATTAGTTACAGTGCCATTCTAAGCATTTAAACCGCAAAGATCTGAGTAGCACTGCCACTGCGCCAGTTACCCTGAGACATAAAGTCCCAAGTGCCTGTAATTTCACCAGCACCCTCGCCCTTCTAAACCGAAACGCAGTAATGCTCACATTACTCCTTGGCGGCAGCAATAAGTAAGATGACAGTACTTCCCTGGACGAATCTTTCACAAGTTCAACTGCGACTACATGCAACTACTACTGCTATTTTCACAGTATTACGGTTAATTGTGTTTGTCCGAACCCACATCATTATGCTACACAACACAATACAAAATTATACTACCAAGAATTACGGAAAATTCACACAATTTAATTTGATAAAATCATAATTACACATTTGATTGATTTTGAAAATAACAGCGATGCTAAGCACTTTAAAATGTTGAAGAGTGCAATAATTAGCAATGTATAAATCTATACATGGTCTTATATTATAGTCTTAACACAGACGCTGTTCCCGAAACAACATTTCAAATGATTTGAGCAAATAGTATAAGGTTTTTTAATTAGTCAAAAGTAAAAAATAATTTAATTGTAACCCTAACGCCGTACCTACCGAAATACAGCAGTGTAATATCGGAGTATCTCATTGTTTCCAGAGATCCATCTTATTTGGTCATAGAGAATAACTGTATGACAAAATTGTGATTTCCGATTGATACGAATTTAAAATACATCGGAATCCCGCGGCTGAAATTATGAATTTTTTATTAAATTTACATATATTTTTAATTAATTAACCTAAAGAAAGATCAGCCACCGAATTTCGGTACAATTTCTTACAATCGGAGATCACTATTAAATCACAAAGTTGGACCATATAAAGTGTCTCTACGGGTGTTCTTTTGTATACAAGGCTCTTTCTTAAATGACAATATCCTGTACCTTATCTTTTTGCCCTATTTAAACTAATACAAAAACGATATCGATAAGTGCTGTACTAATTAAAACAAGTTCAAGTTTTTAACAAAATATTTTTAAAAAATCCAAACAACTTTTCAATGAAGCTTGCCTCTATCGTCTAAACCAACATGCAACAAGTGGCATCCTATCTCTAAGATCTACCATCACCTCTACAGTATCGACGTAATACAATAACATTCAAGAAAGTACTGACAAAAATGTACTTTATTCTTTCATGATGATAATGGGGTGATTTCAACGAAAATTTTAAAGAATACTGAATAGTTATTTTTTATGTTTGAAAATAAATGAAAAAGGTATTAAATTTTCCCTAATCGCAGAGGATAAGTACCACGGAAATCCAACGCAATCATAGAGGCACTAAGAATCTTTATCCTATACACCGATGACGAATGGACACGTCTTTGTTTCGGATGGTAAGGAAACACCTTTGACATCATAATGTCTATAGTTTGCGATAGCCATTCGAGTAGGATCATCAATATGGTTTGTATACAATGATAAAGTAGTAACACTTTAAATAAAGAACAAAACAGCAGCTGTCAAAGGTAGAAAAGAAATACCTCATTCAATGATGACACAACGTGGCAGATGTTCGTGTAAATAGTCGAAGAGCTCTGGTGATGCGCCGGGACAGTTGGTCAGCTCTAGTTCTCTTAACTGTCGTAGTTGTATAAGGCTTGATAGCCCCCCGGACGTCAATAAGGGACAACCTAGGAAAACCAAGATTTGAAATTGAAAGAGCAAGTTAATTTGGCACATGTACTGTTCAAAATGAAACCCAAAAATTAGGTACTTACTAAATTAATTTAAGTTTAAATAATATAATATAATAATTATAACGCACACAGTTAAAACTCAGAACCATGTATTGGGGGTGCCTTGGACATACACATAGACAATCACACATTACACTCAAACTCACAATAGAAATAAACGTAGGCCATACAAATATTTCTCCCGGCCCGGGAATCAAACTCGGGATCTCTGCGTGACAGTCCAGCATGATAACCGATCGGCCACGAAGGCAGTTTTTATATTTATTAACTCTTTTATTGCAAATACTATGTACACCGTAATTGTCATATTTAGCGGGTGTTTACCGTATGTTGAATGTTTATTAAATGCTGTAAAATGTATGATGTATTCAATAAATATATTTTTTTAGTGTAGTCATTATTATGAACTACTCACACTTGACCAAATGATTCATTACATTAGACAACATCACATACGTTGCTCTGATCACAAAGTAAGTAGCTAAAGTACTTGTGTTATGGAAAACGGAAACAACGACGGTAATATAGAAAAGTTAGTGTCTACACTGATCCGGCCGGGGATCGAACCCGGGACCTCTGAGATGGCGACACCATGAAAACCTGTGTGCAAGCCACTCGACCACGGAGGCCGTCAGATAAATAAAGATGACATGACATTGCAAACAGTATTAACTTTGGACATCAAGCGACTGTAGCCACGTTGAGGCAACAGTCGCACGTTCTTTATTATTGATAGAAAGATCGAACAAACACAAAGAAAAATTCATGCGACCAGCCTGGACTCTAACCAGCGACTGTTGCCTCAACTCAAATGAAACTGCATGTCAAAAGGGGTCATAATAATTGTCTTCTTTACATACATGTAAAGTCTGCAATCCGTACTGGACCAACGCACCTTGTCTTAAAGTCTCTTTTACAGGAAACTCGTAGAACTTATTTGGCTTCATGGTGGTAATAGGATACATCGAGTAGCTCAGTAACCATAAAATAAAAAGAAAAAACTCACCAGCTAAGGACAATAGCTGTAAAGAGCGCATTCCACACAAATGTTGCACACCGAAGTCGCAAAGTTGCGAGCACCAGCGCAGGAATAACGCCACCAGGGATTGCATCGTACTGATGTATCCTACTCCTATGTCCGTGATGCGTACGCAACTGTGGAAGCGAGATATCGCAGTTTATGGTTTTTGTAAGTGGTACGAATGTTAACTGGCACAATGAGCCGATTCTCGACAACATGCAAATTCATATTTTTATTATTATTTTAATAACTAATGAAATAAAAAGACAATTTAATCGTCATCATCAGCTTATCGCAGTCCACTGCTGGACATAGGCTACTCCCAATTCGTACCATTTCGCCCGGTCGTCAGTATGTTGCATCCTTCAGCTGCCAGCAGCCTGTCGCAGGTCGTCACTCCATCACGAGGCCAGAGGGCGTCCTACACTACGTTTGCCAAGTTGTGGTATCTACTCAAGAACTTGTTTCCCCCATCGGTTATCGGTTCTTCGACAAACTTACTCTAGCAGTTATGTCGACGACCTTTGTTCTCTGTCAGATAATCTGATTTCGAATTTTATTAATTCGAATTCACAGAAATTCCGTGTACAGCTCGTTCCATAGATTACTGAGCGACTTTTACCTGGTGGAATATTCAATATAATAATAGTCCATTTAATGAAACTAACTAATCAGGTAGTCTAATTATCGAATCAGGTTTTCGCGATGGTTTTGATATCAAACAAACTAACGTTTCGGGCCCTATACATCTCCATGGTTTGCCGATTACAGACAGATTGCAATGTTTGAACAAAAAAAATATATTTACGCGAATTGGATGCGAAAAAATTGTTTCATTTCCTATTGGTAGGCTTCGTGATAGATTACTTTCTTGATTTCCTTGACTAGTGAAATAAAATAATAAAAAAAATAGGAACGCTCACTATAATTTTATAGTACGAGTATCGATAACAGAATATTTTTATGGAAAAGCGTGTGTACAACTACTGATTATCTCACCGGTCAAGAGTCAGCTCCTCCAGATGATTGAGATCGCAGGCGATATACTCCAGAGCGTTGTCAGTTACGCGTGGACACCAGCTCAAGTCGAGACTCCGTAAGCGAGGAAGGTTCTCTGCTAACAACTCCACGCCTTCGTCTGTTACTTTACTGCACCCGCTTAGTGATAACACTGTCAGGTTTGGTAGGGCGTGCACTGTTACGAAAAAAATTAGAAATCAATTACCTCCTGAGCTATGTGTTTATTTACCAATGTCATAGGCGGGCAGAGATAACATATGTGTCTGGTGGTAAGCGCCAAGTCTGTCAGCAGTTGCAGTGCCACTCAGCGCTTTTTATTACAAAGATCTGAGGGGCACTGCCACTGCGCCCGACACCCTGAGACATAGGTAGATATGTCCCATGTGCCTGTAATTTCACCAGGTACCCTTAGCCTACGAAACCGAAACGCAGTAATGTTCACAATAATAATAATAAAATTTGCCACACAAACTAAGAAATTCCCTGCATTATGACTCATAATTTATGAGTACCAGAGCAACAGAAATCTCGTCGGTACACTCAGCCCAGAATCAGTTTAGATATGTGCATTTCCTGAATTGAGCCTACCGGCAATTGCACTCAGGACTTCCTCGTCTAGCACCCACAGTGCAAATTGGAACATTGGGCCACCGAGGTCGCCAAAAGGTTTTTTAAAAAGACTTGCCGACTAATTTTTTTAATATCAAGTGATGGGACGAACAAGTCGGGCACGTGATGGTAAGGTACACGCCTGTCCGTAGCAGTTGCAGTGCCACTCAGAGCTTTAAATCGCAAGATTTGAGGGGCACTGCCACTGGGCCCGACGTCCTGAGACATAAGTTGAGAACTTAGTGTCTGTAATTTCACCAGCACCCTTACCCTTCAAAACCGAAACACAGTAATAATAATAATAATAATAATTTATTGATCAAAGAAAAATGAAATACAATGGCATTACAAGGCACAACATAAAAAGAAACATAATGCTGACATTACTGCTTGGCGGCCGAAATAGGCAAGGTGGCAGTACTTCTCTGGACGAACTCTTTCACAAGGAGCTCTACTTTTACGAAGCTACTACTTTCTACGTCTGCACCTTACTAGTATACATTTTTGACCGTCTCCTTAATACTCGTCTATTTAGAATAGTTCTGATTAATTTGTACATGTTTTTCTTATAAGAATAATATATAAAATATTGTGCAATGGACTAAATAAATCGATTGCCATTATTAAGCGTGATTTTTCCAGTCAACTTGTAAATAATTATCATTCTTAACGAGTAGATGGCCGGTATGAATATTATTCTTGTCCAGCCATTCGGCGCATACCGGTCAGTATCAGTGGTATAAAAGGTAAAAAACAAATATATTATAAACACTTTTCTTGGGGTTTGGCACACAAATTAAAAACCTACATTATGAAGAACTACCTAATCTATCTAATTCTTTGTACCGTGTAATGCATAAACCATTTTCTAGAACGAAGAGATGTGTAGGCAAGAACATGCACGCTCTGCGAACTATGATCAAACGTTGACCTAAATACAATGTCACAAAGCGTCAAAGCGATACTTGAAATTAATTGGGCGTCGTCGACTGACGTGTTTCGTACTTGAGTAGTCGACAAAGGAAATATACAGGGTATATTATTAGGCTATGGACGAACATCTCTTCCAGATGGATAGGCATCATTCAACCTATAATTTATTATGTTGTATGCATCGAGTATATAACCAGAAGAGACGAAATGTTATTTAATTTGTTTGAAAACTATTCTGCCAAATCATTACTATGATATCCGTGCTCCGATTGGCCAGCCCGAATTCGAAATATACATAATTTCATTAAGAAAGAAGATATTTATGATATTAACCTTAGAACTAAGTCCAAACTCATGGTACCACGATTTCGTTTAACTAAGATAAACGATTCTTTTATGGAGAACTGTATACGTTTTTACAATAAGATTCCGGAGAATATATTAAGATTATCATTTCCTAAGTTTAAAACTTACATTAAAAGTATTTTAATTGAAGTCATATCACAAAATTGAAGAGTATGTTTTAGATAAAGAAGTATGGAAACACAACAAGAGTCTAGATTCCACACAATTGTGATTCAAAATGTATTCCATAGCATTTACGTTTATTTGAAAAGAGCCATCCCTAGAGTTTCTTGCTCGTTTTTCTCAGAGAGGTCAGTGTCAGAGTGATTCCATTGTTTTGTACTTAGATGGTTTGCTGTTATTCCCACACCACCGAATGGAACAGCCTCCTTTGTTAGAGATATTACAATAAATACATGGAATATACGGAGACGTACCCACAGGTCAGTTGTTGGTACTGTACTACTTCAGTTTTCTAATTTGTGATTTCAGCGCAAACGAGAGTTCATATTTAAAAGTTATATAAGGCCCATTTGCCTGACGAGTTGCCAGAGATGGATGGCCCTTATTTCGTCTCTATTTCTGGTTATAATAATATACTCGACGGTTGTATGTAACACACTGTACATAATTAATTTAAACCATACATCCATTACATACACATATTAATTTGCAGAGTATCTACAATACTTCAAACAAATAGTCGCTACGACGATATCGAGTTGCGTAAATCGTACAAAAAACAGGACACTCATCTTCCTGAAGATTTTCGCGCAATCTCAGGAATTCCTGCAGCTACCGTCGCGTCTCAAGTTTTGTACGTTACAAAGTCGATATAAAGTTCATTATGCTATGTACCATTTTGTTTCAATAATATTATTAATATTATTAATAAGTTTTTTGCTGTTATTTGCTATATTTTATTTATATCACACATAAAATTAGTTGAGCTGTCAGTTCCTATGTTAATGATTTTACAATATGTCTGCAATACAGTTCAGTGGATTCTTCATAGCACTAATGAGACTCAAGACTAGGATATACATTAATTGACATAAACACTAGTGTATTGTTAAAATCTTATTAAACCAAAAAATTATACAGAGTATTTCTTATTCTTACCAATATTAACGACACCATGGTTAGTGAGTTCCCAACAGCTATGAAGACGTAACACGCTCAGAGACGCGCTTTGCTTTGGCGAGAAGAACCCGAGAGCAGCGTCGGTCACGTGGTAAGCTTGAAGAGAGAACTCGTAAAGAGATGGCAAAAGTTGAGCTACTGCACCCACCTACGAAAAAATAAGATCCCTCAGGGCGATTCTCTACTATGCGGCATCATGGAATTCAAATTGGATGTTGGATGTCGATTACAGTTAAGTATAGATTTCTGAATGCAGAATTCGAGTTGTGGAGAAACGCATTTATATCGTGAGGCATAAGTAGGATAATAAATTCAGACAATCACAAGTGATCCGCTCCAGTACTGTGGTATACAAATGTCTAAGTCTTTGATTTGCCTAAAACTGTAGATGGAAATCTGTAATTGGCTGTATATTTTTATTAAAATGTTGATATTACTGGTTTTCCATTAATAAATAAGTCAACTCTGAAACAAGTACCATCTTAACTCAGCTGGTCGTTATTATTATTAATATTTACATAAATATAACAACAGGTATATAATTAAATATTAATAAATTAAGAGAGAGTTGGCATCGGAATGAGGAATAACAATAATAATAAAATATTCTGATATTGATAAGTCCAGAACGTAATATTATTCATGATAAATACTTACAGCCTCGTCAGCTATATTAATGCAGTCAGTAAGCGTGAGTGAGACAATTCGTGGAGTTAGACATGCCCACAAACCAGCCTCTGTTATTTCATTGCATCCAGTTAATTCTAGCTCAAACAGAACCTAAAAAGTCAATAAGAATTTGGTTTAAATTTATAGAATGTGACATAAGAAGTATCCATGTTATTGAGGTTAAAAGAAAACTGACCTGTAAGTGATCCAGAATAGCTTCCAACCCTCGATCAGTTATCGTGCATCCTTTTAAGCTTAGAGCATGTATATGGTGAATAGACATAGGAAACTGCCTAATAAATTCATTAATATCATCATCAGTCGCCGAGACTAGCACCACCCCGCGGATACCCCTTCTAACTAGCGAATTGTAGAACCTCAGCATGCAGCAGCCGGTGGCGGAGCGCAGCTCGCGACAGTCGAGCACCGCCACCAGGCCGCTCCACCAGCGCGGCGACGAGTACAGCTGGTCGCGCCACTTGGTGCACACCTGCGCGAGCGTCCGCCTTTCGCTTGCCGTGAAGTACAGGAAGAACTTGTCCAGGAACCTCTCTTCAAGTACGAACTGGCCCCAGACGAGCGGGCGCGGAGAGGGTCGCCGACGGCGAGGGACTCGCGGGGCGGCGGCGGGGGAGGCGGGCCCGCAGAGTGCGTTGGCAACGCGCTCCACTACGCCAGGCGAGCGTTTGCGGCCGCGCAGTCCCAGGCCGGTGATGCGGCGCGACAGTTCGGCCGACGCACGCTCCACCACGCCTTGTGCCGACACTGACGACATTTTCACCTTTACGCGACGGATGGTCTCGGCGCCGCGCCCGCCGCCCCCACCCGCGCCTTGTTCACAACCTGCCACGGCGCTGCGAATTGATGAATGTATGGATGATTACCAGCGATCGGAGTAGACTAGAATTTTTTTACCTAAACTTCAAGGAACATAGACAGAAAATGGAGACTGCCTTACGATAATATTTTTTAGAATTCGAAAAATCACTTATGTACGGACAACGGCACATCAGACTTCACATTTTTGTGCGAAAATCGCCTCCAGTGCAACGGAACAAGATACGTCAATGTGTAGCAGATGTGCTGGCGCGTGTACATTAAAAATTGATGTTATTTGGGATAGGCAAGTAGACTAAATTTATCAGTAATTTTCAGGTAAGTTTAAATGAATGAATAAAAATGAATAAAATTGATCAAAATTTTTTAGTGCTGATTGACTCTAACAATGAAATGATTCTTTCATGAAGGAATAATTATTACATTGTATGGAACGAAGAAATCGAGACATCAGAAGTTGGTCAAATTTAATAAAATGATTCTACATACAAAATGAATAAATTTTTTTTTAATGCTGACTAATTGTCGTATTGCAGAACTCTACTCAATGCTCAAGTCAGGATCTGAGTATGATTTCAAGCACTGGAAATACGACTCTAATGGCAGGGACTTGAGTATGATATTGAGTGCTTTAAACCATACTCAAATCCTGACTTGAGTATTGAGTAGAGTACTGGAATACGGCCCTCAGTTTCTTAAAAATGAATCTTAATATATTTAAGAGATTTCCGCAATCCTGAAAAGATCCAGGACCTAAAAAATATTGTAGTAAGGCAGTCTCCTTTTCTGTCTCTAGAAAAACTCTATCTATTTATATACATATTCATTTCACATACATTGCTATTCCGATCACTGATGATTACTGCTAGTTGGTAAGCAGACAAAGTTCCTCCAAAAACATTTATTTATTTCAACTATTACAAATATATAATCATTAAATGCAAAGCATTAACAATACTTTTCTAACTGATGAAAACATTACAAAGAAACATATAAAATAGTAAAAGAAATTATAAGATTTCATTCTGAATATGTTTTAAGGAAATAAACAAAAACAAATGAGATTTCTAGAACAAAACTTAATATGTAATTACTGTAACGTTGTAAGTAAAATAAGATTTTAAACATAAAGGAGTAAAATATGTTTAATGAAATTATAATTAAAATGTATGTAGTGAAACCAATTTTATTTAGTCTATTACATATGAATAGTATACATTTTTTTATAGTCTAATTTGTAATGTTACTAAAATAAAGGCTATTCTTATTTCTCTGTTTAGAAAAGGAAATATAAGGAACGACTATGTGGCAGGAGCAGCTATTTTCTGCAACTTTAAAATATATTTTTCAAGGGCTCCTCAAAGTTTGATTTTGTTGAACCAGATTTCCTATTACTATAAGTTAGATCCATTTGTTACGCCTGCGCTATTTATTGACTGATAAAATATACACATATATATTTTCATTTCTCAGCCACATTATATTTTATACATTTTTGACAGCATATGTGAGTGTGGAGGTTAGAAGGAAATTTCTTTCCGATATCCCATGTAGGTGTGCTAGTCGGTTATACTGTTATCTTACACTAAAAATTTAGGCTATAACAAAAATATACAAAAATTAGAAGAAAAAATAAGTAAAGAAATCCAGCAAGGTTTAAGAAAACAATGCAAGTGTAAAAAGAAAATGTGTAAGTAGTATTACAATAATTTATACCACTAGATCCATGAAAAAAAAAACCTAACCATATTTAATTCAGAAATTTCAGTGTTTCTTACGAAATATTGTCGACAAACTAAAAAAATCGATGCTTATCCATACAAACCTAAATATTTTTCGCAGCTCTTGAAAACACCATTGTAATGAATAAGTTAGCACTAGAACATTTTAATATCACTACTTCATTGTTATTTTGCATGTAAACCTTAAAAATAAATTTATTTTGCTAAAGAAATTAGAAAAACCTCGCGTTGCTTGTCTGCTAATCAGAATAAATCGACCTAATTTAAATTTCCTACTTTGATGACGTCTGTTGGCTTGTGTGTAGTTTCGTGCTTACACAAAATCAACTTTCGCAGAACGAAACAACGAATACACTTTCGTAATATACCTGGCATTTTTATTTAGCCGGATAATCTTTGTTTTCAATGCGCAAATCCTATGCAGATGTCACCTTGAGTACTGCACAATCGATCGATTTTAAATTTATGATGACAAGTTTGTAAACTATATTTACATTGTCTTTGGTTACTCATTCAATCAATCGGCGCCGAACAGAAATAACCTTAAAATTGTTTTATGATTTGTGACTGTTCATTTTGAAGTTATATAGTTTAGTTGTGAAATAGTGAAATTAATTAATAATATTTTTGTATAACAGTTGTAATCGCAAGACAATCATTTTGCACATTCCTTGAAAATGGAATTCGTTGATGCTATACCCGTTGCTTTCAAGGAAATTACTCCAAATCACAATATTTCAGAGAAATGGAAAGAAATCGTTTTAAACACAGGTAAATTTCTTTCATTTGATCATTCATTTTCAGCTTTTCACAAGCATAACAAAATGCTTGTGAAAAGCTGAAAATGAGCTTGAGCTTAGAGTATGGAAAAAAAATAATTTAACTCTAGGGATTGCTCTTTTCAAATAAACTTAATGCTATGGAATACACTTTGAATCAAATTTGTGTGGATTCTGGAGCCGTGTCGTCTTTCCATACATCTTTATCTAACACGTAGTCTTCAATTTTGTAATATGATTTTTCGATCAAAATATTTTTAATGTAGTTTTTAAACTGAGGAAATGATAAACTTAATATATGCTCCAGAATCTTATTGTAAAAACGTACAGTTCCCCATAAAAGAGTTGTTTACCTTGGTTAAACGAAATCATGGTACCATGAGTTTGGACTTAGCTCTAAGGTTAATATTATGGATGTCTTCTTATTGAAATTATGTATATTGTTACGGGCATATAAAATATTTGAGTAAATGTACTGTGATGCCACAGTCATGATACCAGTCTCCTTAAACTTTTCTCTGAGAGAAACCCGAGAGCCTAGACGGTACACAGAACTTGGTACTTGGTGCAACGGGCTGGTATCAACTAATTGCTTGTACACAGAACTAATTGCTCGTTTTTGCAATATAAACATGGTTTGAATATCTGCTGCTTTACCCCACATGAGAATCTCATAGGACATTATACTGTGGAAGTAACTATAGTAAACTAGTCTAGCAGTACTAACATCAGTATGGTCACGTATTCTGTGGACTACGTATGCAGCAGAGCTTAATCTGCTAGCCAGGGAAGATATATGTGGAAACCATTGAAGTTTACTATCTAAGGTCACTCCCAAGAAGACTGCTTTATTAACAAGGCCTAAATTTTCTCCGTTTATTTCTATGTTTGGACTAATTTTACGTTAGTTAATTCAAATTTGACATATTTTGTCTTCTTGGCATTAAGCAACAAATTGTTAGCATTAAACTAATAACTACCTTAGAGAGTTTCACGACCATAACATAGTTCCCCTGCCAATTACCTATTTCTTTTTGTGACAGGTGGTACACACAGCACTCTGCAAGACATCAAATTGCCTCAAAAAGCCGGCGGGTATTGGTACAGAGAATCACAGAAGGCTAATACTAGAAATAGATTAATTTATTGGTAAGGAATTATCCACAAAGACCCTTAATTTTAGATAAGTATGGAATCTGTTGATGTTTATACTTTGTAGGCAAACAACGTCAGATGCAATTGAGTTATCAGAGGCGTCACTCGACGTCAACCTCTCGGGAGCCAACTTACGATGCAAAGTCGCACCTGGGACACCTCCACTCAATAACATGACTGTATATGAGAGAACAGCAAATCAGGAAATGATCATTCTTGCTGCCACAGTATCATCTGTGCATAGATTAGTATTTCCACACCCTGAAGTTTTAGACAAGAAGGTAAATCGCCAACCACATCTTTGCTAGTGTGTTGTCCTAGTAACTACCTTTCAATTTACATTGCTTGTTATATTTAGCTAATTATCAGTTAAAAACAAACTTTTTAAACAATACACTTTGAATGGTCTACTAAGAGTCTTATCACACTGGCAATTTGTGAGCAATTTGAAAGAGAACAGAAACTTAGGAAATAATTGTTTTGGCAGCCACAGTATCATCTGTGCATAGATTAGTATAGTGTACTAAAATTAATTTTCCTTTAGTCGAAGCTCATGTATTTTGTTAAAAAAGTACATAAAAGAGTTAGCAATTTTGCCGCACCTTTAGGCGCTGCGCAGATGGTGCAACTTTGATCATCGAGTTTCGGCAACTGGCAACCCGCAACTAGCTGTTTATGACATTTTTCATGTAACTTTAAGAAACCGCGCAGACCTAGCAACTTCAGTTGAGAGTTTCGGCAATCGACTACAGTTTTTGATTGCCGAAATCCGTGATTAAATAAATTCTTAATTACCGCAACTTGCAAATTTGTACTTGTTGTCTCCAGTTGCCAGTTTCCGCAATCGGCAACTGCAACTGCAACTTGTGAAGCAACTTCACTCCCTTTCCCGTCCCCCGCAGCGTCAGTCTTGACTGTGGATTTCGAAAGTTTATTTAAAATTGCGGCAATCGGCAACTTGGCCTCTTAGTTGCTACAACTGGCAACCGTTAATGGAAACTTGTAAAAAGTTGCCAGTTGCAGTCAACTAAAGTTGCTCCATCTGCGGAGCGCCGTACTTATAAAGCCGCAAGTACATGCAGACGGATTATTTTTTTCTACATAGAAAATGATTGAAACTATACTGTAAGTAACCCACGCACATTACATTTTCGTATATTTTGAGATAAAAAATAAAATGTATATTTCTACATACAAAAAAAAATATTGTTATTTTCTCTGAAACTATCAACTTTTCAAAAAAATATTCAAGAATAAAAGTTGTTAGTAATGTTATTATCTATCATATAAAACAAAATTTGCTTGGTACTCCACAAGTTATTCCTATGTCCAAGAATTGTCAATTATTATTTAATCATGGGAACAATTTTAGGAATACAGAGCTGATTTTTTTCATATGATAAATAATAACATTCCTGATAACTTTTATTCTTATGTAATTTCTATTTTAATGTAGCTGATTGTTACAGAGAAAAAAAATTTAGTTTTTTTTGTTTGGATAAGTAAACATTTTATTTTTTATCTCGAAATGTAGGAAAATGTAATGTGTGTGGTTTATTTACAGTATAGGTCCAATTATTCTCCATCAAGAAAAAAATAATCTATCTGCAGGTTCTTGCGGCTTTACGAGTAAAAAGGTGTCAACATTTTAGATTTGTTATTTATTTTTGAACACTATATACTAGTTTCTACTTAACTTTCGTGTTATTGTTATAACACCATTGACTTACAAATAAATGGACGACGGGTCTAATACAAAAACCACGAAAAAAATGTCCCAAGTCAACCTATTCGAAATTTAAATTGTTATGTCATCGCAGTATCGCGCTGTCCGTAGAACAAATGAAGACTAAAGCGGAGTGTCGCGCTCTGTATACGATTTTAGCGCCTTACAAGTGCGGACACTTCAATGTATAACACTCTCTAAATTACACTAAAATTAATTTTTCTTTAGTCGAAGCTCATGTATTTTGTTAATAAAGTATGTAAAAGAGTTAGCAATTTTGCCACACCTTTACTTACAAAGCCGCAAGTATATGCTGACGGATTATTTTTTTCTACGTAGAAAATGATTAAAACTGTACTGTAAGTAACCCACGTTACATTTTCGTATATTTTGAGAAAAAAAAAATGTGTATTCCTGTGTGTGCAAAAATAAAAAATTTTTTTTTTTCGAAACTATCAACTTCTCAAGAAATTATAAAAAAAGTAAAAAAAAAAATGTTAGGAATGTTATTATCTATCATATAAAAAAAATTGGCTCGATACTCCACAAGTTATTCCTATGTCCAAAAATTATCAATTTGGGCGCACTGTGCGGCGTGGCGATGATGGTGTGTTCGCTGCGCGCTCGCAGCGTTGTCACTGCGAACTCGCGGCGGGCCCGCTGCGCTCTCGTCTCGCTTTAAAACCAAAGTGAAATCTCCAGTGTGATAAGGCTCTAACAATGTTTAAAACTCTCAAATCTCCAGTGTAATAAGACTCTAAGAATGTCTAAAACTTAACATTGACCTTTATACCCAGGCCACATTTGGATCAATGAGCACAACTTCTCCCTCAATATTCCAAGAAACCAGTGCCATAAACAACCCTAATAATTACTATATTCTCAACCAATATGCAACACCAAGTAAGTAGAATATATTTGAAAGTGTCATTTTATCAATCACAATTTTCCACCTTGGAAACTAAGTTCATAAAAAGTGTTACTTTCCATTTTAAGAATTCCACTTCCAACATGTTTCTATAGATTATTTGAAAGTTGTTTCTTGTCTATACCTTTTTGTGTAATATGGCACTAAACTTTATGAGAAATTACCTTATTAAGTTATTCCGTACTATTCAGTGCATATATTCTACTTATTACTACAAAATTATTATTTTCAACAGCCACAGGAGTAGCACACACATGTGCATCAATGCTTCGGGATAATGGTGAAGCGGTGTTCGCACTTGCGTTTGGCCATGGCGGTGAAGGCGGTTTGTTGCTAGTTAAGCTACCAGTTGCCGGTGCTGCAGTCACTACTCTATTGAAGAGGGAGTCTACTGTACCTAGATTCTTGTCTGGCATTACTGGAGCTTTGAGGTAAAAGGGCTCATAACAACACATTTGTGATAAAGTTTCTAATAATCAGATTATACTTACTTGACTGCAGCAAGATACTTTCAGTTATACTTATGGTTATGCTTACATCATCTCCAATTTTTATTTTAATATTACTAGAAGGCACTGTGTATTATAGTGTACAGTGTAGACTTGGGCTGATCGGTCCTTAGCAGGAGCGATACTACTTAGTTCAATCGGTCAACAGAACTATGTCGGCCTTCTAGTTCATTTAGTTCATCTAGTTCCTTAGTTTTGTCTTTGCTCAGACATTGAACGAACGCTCCAAACTAGTAATTTTATTCACATGAACTACCACGGACTTCTAGTATTATGAGGTCAATACTACACTGTACTAAATATTTAAAAATACAATTTGTATGGAATCGATACTATTTGATTTTCTTTCTTATTTTACAGGTTTAAAGACTGACATTGTAACTAAATATCCTTTTTTTTTTACAAAATAATAGAATTTTAATTAAATTTTTATTGAATTGATATTCAATTATTTTTTGTGAAATTACTCCACTAGTTTGTTATAATTATTAATACAAAGATCGAACACTCAGAAAAAATTCCTTCGATCCGGTCGGATTCGAACCGACGTCTTCTTGCATACCGTGCCAGACGCTATACCAACTAAGCCACGGAACGAACCAATGGACCTCACGAATTCTTCTATGTGCTTGCGTCGTGTCTTTGTACTTGGTCTTTCAACGACTCAGGCCAGGACTGGTAGCTGTAAAGGTACTAACTGGCTGATATTTTCTGAGTGTTTTTTCTGAGTGTTCGATCTTTGTATTAATAATAATAGAATTTTAGTTCGAATGGTGTGTTTAAAAATCAATATTTAGGTACAACTATTTTTTAATACTCATACACGTAGGTTGATATTATACGTACAGATACCTACCAAAAAATATTACTTTTTTGCAGGCTTGTATATATATATACATAATGTAGATACGTATTAGAGACTAAGGGTCGTATTCCAGAACTCTACTCAATCAAAGTCAGGATTTGAGCAGATTTGAGTATGATTTCAAGCACTGGGAATACGACCCTAATTGGAAGGACTTGAGTATGATTTTCAGTGCTCACTGCAATGCTCAAGTCAGGATTGCACTGGAAACACAAGCACTGGAAATACGACCCTAATTAAGCCATTAGGGTCGTATTTCCAGTGCTTGAAATCGTACTCAGATCGTGATTTGAGCATTGAGTAGAGTTCTGGATTACGACCCGAACGAGTCAATCGTGCGTCTCACTCGAACTTGTACTAAAAATAGTGAAAGGTCGCTATTTGTCCCGCTTGCACCGTTCCTACTGTATAAAAGACAGGTGGACTATACAGTTCCTAGTTTGTACTGAACTAAAAAGAACGATGAACTATTAAAACCGTGCAAGACGAACTAGTTCATGTCGATCAGTGTAGGGAATATGTTCCTAATAGTTCGTAGTTCATGAATTATACAAGCCTAGTACAGTGTGTAAATAATGTGTTTAATGGTCTGAACACAAAGATCACAGACCATATTCTAAATCACAGTTGGTTATGTTAATCTGTGAGCCACATCTCTTTCGCAATTGGTTTTATTTTTCAGGGGGAAGACAGATGGTGTTGAAACATATGGTGTAGTACTCACAAATACTATGACTGTTGCGGTATGTGGGGACACATGTCTACGAGGCTGGGCGCTGGACGAGGGTGGTGCCCCAACCGCCGTCTCGCCGCCATTATCACAGACACTTGTTAGGCCGAAACCACCACGTAAATTATTCATTTTTACTCATTAAATTTCAAGTTAAAAAAAGATTTGGAAGGAATTTTTCCAAATTAATCTGGGTTTTGTGAGAATGTTTTGGAAATAACGACGTCAGAAGTCGAGCGATTTGATTGATGCTTTTCGTTGTAATTGTAAATTTCCAAGATTTTATTTACTAATATAATATGACTAAGCTATCTCTTTTATATGCAATAAAAAATTGCTCATCTTTTGTATAATTCATATTTCTTTTGTATTCGTTAGGTGCAATAATGAATATAAATATTAAAAGTTAGATTTTTTTATAGCCATACCTGTTGCGCTCAATTACGTTGTGTCTCAATTACTGCATTTTTTAAAATCAACAAAATTAGATTTCGTTTATTGATTTTTGTTCCAGCACATGGCCATATGCTTCAAAAGACAGCAGGCACAGACGGTAGTGTAATTCTGGTCGCATACCTGTCCTTTCCCAATGAGTGCGAATTCGTTGTTATGAAGATGCATGGCAGCGGTGCAGGTGTTGTTAAATTCGCACATATTTGCCGCATTTTTGGACCACAGGTATTGTATTGTAGCTTTTGACCGGTGAGAGCTTATCGTTTTTTTCTGATTTCCTTATAAATAACCTTAAGATATTCTGTTTATTCCAGTTGGATCTGCTAGATTACAAAATTGGTTATGGAGATGGAAACAATGTAGTTTGGGCACTTTGGAGCCAGCCTGACGGAGAAACTATTATAACAAGTAAGTGTTAGGGTCGCCTCAAATTGCCACAGGACGACGCGACGCCGCGATGCATTAAAACGAGCAATGTAACATAAATTTTGTTTTTTACAAGATAAGGTTACAATTCTTTAAGCAAAAAAATATTATATATATTAATTATTATTATACAATATATTATAAAATAAAATTCAATATAATATGACACATACATGAAGGGGAAAAAACAGAAGAACTTATGCACTTCAAATTGCGTTAAATGCGTTCAAACGTGATAAATCAACGCTGTATTTGGGCGCGTAAATCTCTATATCTTGTTTCAAAGTTGCGCAATTCCTGCGTAGCCTAGGACAACGCTAGTAAACTACGCGTATTCACCTACAGGCAGCGCTCTAGGCCCTGAGGTGTCGTGGCGAGCAGTGTGCGGTCGCGAACCGCCACCGCCACTGCTACATTACTCCACTCACCAACAATACCGCGATCGGCTTATGGCACCTGGACTCTTCCCTCCTGCTGTACTGAACAAGGCTCTGGTGGTAAGTAATGTACTCCACAGAAATAAACTGTAATTGGTTAAAACGATACCGTGAAATGCTACAAGAAGAAATAGCCATAAGGTTGTTTACATTGAAAAGTAAATAATGTTGTAAAAAAACAAGACAATCTTTTTTTTTTTAAACATTATTTTACATTACAAAGTTCGATCGTTCAAAGTATGCATTAATTGTAGAACACAAGCACAAATAAAAAGAGCAAGACTAGTTGGTGTGTTTGTTTAAAGAATGGATTATTTATGATTTTGTCTGAAAGTAGCCCTTAGTATCCAAATTTTAAATAGTGTTCCTTAAGGAACTTTTTATTAGCTTGTTAATAATAATATTGTTAAGCTTGGTGGATTACTTATGACACTCCAGTAACACGACGCGAAAGTTTTCGCGCGGCCGCCGCGTAACCCAAAGACAAGCCAGACTCGCCCGCGCGCCCGTGACGCTCGTTTAAGTTAGAACGTAAAAATTAAATGAATAGAGCATGTTTTGCCGTGACAGTTAGATGTACGGGGTCGCTGTGCGGCGAGCGTGAGCGCGATGAAATTCGTGTGGAATAAACGCACCCTTATTGTAAACTAAAACTTATATGAAAATTTTACGATTAATATAAATAAATGTGAACTATGTTTATGCAGATATACCGTCGTACATGGGGCACCGAGACAGGTGCAAATGTGACTACTGGTGTGGATGGCGACTTGGGCGAGGCGTGTATAAGCGCAGTTCAGTCGCGCATCTGCCACTTGGCTGCGCGTGCGCAGGCGTCTGATCACTCGCATCTTATGCACAAGTGAGTTTAGATTCTTTATTTTTAAATTCATTGGTTTTTATTACTAATTTTAATTTTATTATTTAACACAATCACTATTGTGTTTAATATGTAGTCAATTTAAACTTTAATAGGTACGATGATGTTCACAGCCCTAAAAAAAGGATTAAAAACCCTGAATAAAAAGGATTAAAAATTTTATTGAACTGATATTCAATTATTTTATGTGAAATTACTTCACTAGTTTGTTATAATTATTAATATAAATATAGTACACCCAGAAAAAATCTTTCGATCTGGCCGGATTCGAACCGACGTCTTCTAGCATACCGCGCCAGACGCTATACCAACTAAGCCACGGAACGAACCTGTGGAGCTCACGAATTTCTCTATGTGCTTGAGTCGTATCTTTGCATTTGGTTTTTCAATGACTTTTTAGTCGTAGCGCCATCTATAAGAAATCTATGATATTTCTTCACGGTATGGTAACCGTTATGCTATGGAGACAGTTTGAACAGTTTTTCTTTGGGAGAAGCTTGGAGATTGAGGTGGGAAACTATGGGGTTGAGAGGTTGTAGAAGAACATGGGGTAGCTGCAGGAGATTGAGCTGTCATAGGGCGAGTGCTGTCAGCAAAAGACTTACGAACAGTCCGGAATCTAAGGGATGCCTCTGAGTACGGGAGGTTTTCTGTTAACATTATAAGTTTAATTGATTTCTGTCTAGCTTGTTCAGGGCAGGAGGGATCCGTGGCCATAGAGCCACAGCAATAGAAGCACGTTGGATGGGAGGTATTACAAGTATCTCCTGCATGTGGTTGGCTACAACTGAAACACCTTGGTTTTGAACGACACTGGGCTTTTACATGACCAAAGCGACAGCAGTTATTGCATTGTATAGTTGGTAATGTATAGATCTCCACAGGAAGGGATGTGTGGTAACAGAAGACTCGTTCAGGAAACTCTTTGCCAAGGAAAGAGACCATTACTGTATGGAAGGGGATCCAATGTGGTTTGTTCTCTACATATTTTTTTTTGTTAAGACGTCTGGCCTTAATGGCTTGGGAGCCGTTAGGGCATTCGATGGACTTGACCAGTTCTTCCATAGTCTAGTCTATCGGAATGTTTCTGACAATACCATTTCTTATCAGGTTAAATGCGGGGATCACTGCCTTGTATGAAATCTTGGTGACGAGAGAATTTTCAAAGAATTCGTTGGCAAATACTGCACTTAGAAAAGCAACTAAAACCCGATTGCGCCCTGTAGCTTTTATACCGTCTTTCGCAATCCCGTGTATGCCACCTTTACTTAGAAACTGGGCAAACTTTAATAATTATTAGACCAGTTGAGGGTTTGGACTCCTCTCTCGATACGTGTATAGTCCACGTATCGAGAGAGGAGTCCCTTATCTTTATATTTTAATCTTAAGCCATCATAAAATTCGGGTAAGCTATATGTTTGTTGGGCAGACGCATTTGGGGGAACGTTTGTAGAACGTTTCGGAGGTTGCTCCTATGTGGTTTGGGGGGAGGATGATTGATTACTGGCACGTTTTTTGGGTGTAGATGTCTCATTCTCGATGGGAGACTGGTCGAAATCCATTCGACAATCCGGGTCTATTGAACCCTCATCAGAGATCCCGCCTCCCCCATCAGGGGGATTAACGTCGTCCATCACCAGTTAGTATCTAAATTTACCTGGACAAACGCAACAGCAGCACCACAAAATAAACAAGAAAAGCGACTAATTTTACTCAGAAAGTTCAATTAAAATTTCAACACGTGTATGCTGACAGGAGCCAGACGCTGACCGTCCACGCAATAATTCGAGTTATTGTTGAATAGCGTATACTTATAGTTACATATGTATCTATATTTTTGGGTGTTTCTTTTTAATAGGGCTACGCAATGAGTGTATGTAGTAGTTCATTGTAATTCGTAGGTAATTAAAATAGCAACCCTTAGCGTTCATGTGTTTGTTTACATACTTTCGTATCGCGACGGGCAGCTTAAAATGTAAAATTACTTTAAAAGCTATGGTTATTTTATGTGTAGAATAAGTTATCCTGTGAAATGACGTGAACTATAAGTGTTGTGCTTAAATGTCGCCAAGCGCCTTTTTAACGGGAAAATAATTTTTTGTTAAAGTGTTTTTTGTTTTTTCAAAAAGTTAAAGCTTCGGCTTTACCAAGAAAAATTTTCACGCCTCGCCACTACTAGCTGGGGCTGGTAGCTGTAAAGGTATCTAACTGAGTGACGAAATATCATAGATTTCTCATAGATGGCGCTACGACTAAAAAGTCGCCGAAAAAACAAATACAAAGATACAACGCAAGCACATAGAAAAATCCGTGAGGTCCGTTGGTTCGTTCCGTGGCTTAGTTGGTATAGCGTCTGGCACGGTATGCTAAAAGACGTCGGTTCGAATCCGGCCGGATCGAAGGATTTTTTTCTGAGTTGGATATTTATATTAATAATTATAAAAAAAAATACTTATAATTTGCAGATTAGGTTACATTTGGTTTATTGATAGAAAAAAAAACATAGCGAGTGATCCCTATCAGAAGTGCTGGTCGGAAACCTCTTTGGAACCGATTACGTAGTCCAAGAAATAGATGAGAAGTAGACTAAGATCTAGATTAAGTGGTCTTGCGTATTTCTTACCTAGTCCTTAGTTGAAATTCTGACACAGCTCTGGCTAAATAATAATATTTTCAGATGCTGGTCGGACTTATATAGCTGGTGTATGCAATACATGGAGGGATTGCAAAAACCTTTAGGCCTTATGGTTTCCAAACATGTAAGTAGAAAAAATTGAAAATTATAGTGCTAATTTCGAGTCAAAGTCAAGGTTAAAGATTATTTAATCCATAGGTAAAATAAATTTACACTTGAAAACGTCACATTTAAGCTACTGCTCGTTCACTACGCTGACCTCCCTGAGAAGAACGAGCAAGAAACTCTAGGGATTGCTCTTTTCAAATAAACTTAAATGCTATGGAATACATTTTGAATCAAATTTGTGTGGATTCTGGAGCCATGTCGTCTTTCCATACATCTTTATCTAACACGTAGTCTTCAATTTTGTAATATGAGTTTTCGATCAAAATATTTTTAATGTAGTTTTTAAAATGATAAACTTAATATATGCTCCAGAATCTTATTGTAAAAACGTATACAGTTCCCCATAAAAGAGTTGTTTACCTTGGTTAAACGAAATCGACAGACAAATACCTACTCAAACTGATTTGTACCATTATTTTGCTACCTAAGGGTTCGGATATGGATAGTGGCTGGTGGTGTGCCGTCGTTCGCCGCGCTGGGATCTCGTTAATAAGAGAGCTGGAGCCTTTGGAGAGGTTAATGCTTTCGCCGGAATCTACCTCGCTTGGAATATTAGGTAATGTTTTCGATTTCAGTGCCTCTTTATGCTAAGTAACCGTTGTCGCTATCAACCGCGTAAAATATATAGAAAATGTTGGCCGAGGCGTGTGTAATGGCGCCTTCAAATTAGACGTTTGACATTACAGTGGCATCACTGTGACGCTGCAGCCGCGCCGCTACTCCAAGTCAAATTCAAAAATTCATTTATTCCATAGATAAAATTTTTACACTTCAAAACGTCATTTTTAAGTTACTGTTCGTTCACTGCGCTGACCTCACTGAGAAGAACGAGCAAGAAACTTTAGGGATTGCACATTTCAAATAACCTTAAATGCTATGGAATACACTTTGAATCTAATTATGTGGAATCTAGACTCATGTTGTCTTTCCATACATCTTTATCTAACACATAACTTTTAAATTTTGTGATATGACTTTTCAATTAAAATACTTTTAATGTAAGTTTTAAACTTAAGAAATGATAATCTTAATAGATGCTCTGGTTACTTATTGTAAAAACGTATACAATTCCCCATAAAATAATCGGTTCCTTAGTTAAACGAAATCTTGGTACAAGTTAGTTTGGTTATTAGTTTGGTCTTAGTTCTAAGTTTAATATTTTGGATATCTTCTTTCTTAATTAAATTATGTATATTTTTACGGGCATACAAAATATTTGAGTAAATGTCCTGTGATGCCACAGTCATGATACCCGTCTCCTTATACTTTTCTTTGAAAGAAACCCGAGAACTAATTTTCATACAATGTTTAGAAGCACAGTTGCAGCGTCACTGTCGTGTCACGCGCGTACCAGTTTTGCTGTCACAATTACTGAACCAATAATATAACTTATATAATTATAACTTTTTTATAAAAAAACCGATCTCAAAAGTTCGTCGAATTACGTCTATTTACTAGGTTTTATTGAAATCGGTTACCGAAAAGTGCGCGAAACTGGATTCATCCCCTAGTTTGCCACCTATAGAGGTGGAATATTTTCTTCAAATTTAAATGGGACCAATACTGAGGCACCCTTTTTCCAACAAAAAAGAATCATCAAAATCGGTTCAGAAATTCCGGAATAATCGCCTAACATACACACACAAATACAGTCGATTTGAGAACCTCCTTTTTTAAGTCGGTTAAAAATTACTGGAGCGCTACAGACGCGCGGTTACAAGCGTCTAATTTGAAGGTACCCTAAGCGCAGTACAATCGCAAATACCAACAATGTATTCAAAATGTTACTTCCGTTAGGGGCGCTGTACATATTCCCAATTAAAATCGTCAAACTGTTATTGTAAAGTCATGGTTGAGGTACAACAGGTCGAGCCAAGAATTTTAAAAAACAATATAAATATTGTTAATTGCAGACAAGAATAAATACATAACAAAAAAACACGAAAAGATAGGTACAGCATGCGGCCTTATTGATAAATAGCAGTCTCTTCCAGGCAAATTAAAGTAACGTAAATGAAATAATTGTTTATTTATTAAAGTATTTTTTATTTATCAGAGCCTGCGAAGTGATTACAGGTTATTAAAAATTACCCTTTATAAAAACTTGGTGATGTTTCTTCAAATTTCATCATATTTTCTGGTAAAAAAAAGTTTTTGAATAAATACTCACGGGATATTTTTATCATTTACATTGGTCACTTTGGTTCCCAGACGAAGCAAGCAAATTTTTAAATTCTTTGAATGCAGTATTACTTCCTTTTAAAAGTAAAATAATGTCTCCTTGAAGCTAAATATTGGATCTACAATATTTAAAGTACTTTCCTTCCATTCCCCATATCCGTGTGACGCTCTGTGTATAAATACATGTGGCCTATTAGTGTACTGCCTTTTCTTTCCAAAATTCTGGAAAAGGCAGTATATCATCAGCTTCTATGTCATGTAGATAAGAACAATATCCTCCCTTCTCTTCAGTCGGGTTTCCGAAGGGGTCGTGACACGGTTACTGCTTTGCTGGGCGTAACGGACAATATACTAGTGGCACAGGACGCTGGCCGTGGTATAATTCTTTCTCTTTTGGACTTCTCTCGAGCTTTTGACAGCATTTGTGTTCTTCTTTTGCTTTCAAAATTAGTCTACTACGGACTGGACTCACAGGCGGTACAGTGGTTCGGTGATTATCTTAGTGACCGACACCAGTCTGTGAGACTCAAAAAACGCGACCGCATTGGCATGGTCTCCGATTCGCAACCTGTTCATCGTGGAGTTCCTCAGGGTTCCAAACTAGGTCCTCTTCTATTTATTATATACAGTGCTGATTTGATCCAAGTAGTAAAACGCAGTAAATTCGATATATACGCTGACGATGTTCAGTTATATATCTCTGAAGTGGCTGAGAGAATATCACATGCGTTACAGCTGCTCAACGAAGACCTAAACGCTATAGCTGAATGGTCAGTGAGAAACGCGCTTGTACTAAACCCTAATAAGTCGAAGTTTATGGTACTTGGATCAATGGTTCAAATTAAGAAAATTTTAAATAAGTCACCAGTAGTTAGTATTCTAGGTCAAATTATTTCCCTGATTCACGAAGCTAGAAATCTAGGTGTTCTGTTAGACAGCGAACTACGTTTCGAAAGACACTTAGAGAATCTTGTAAGGAGCTGTTTCTATAGATTGAAAGTCTTGTATAAAATTAGAAACTTATTATCCGAGAGAGTGAAGATCACTGTATGCGAGTCACTGGTGTTACCTCGTCTCAATTACGCAGATCTTGTTTATGGCCCTCGACTATTATACAAAACAAGTCGCTTAATACAACGCGTGCAGAATGCATGTTTGTAGATTTATTTTTGATGTTCCGCCTAAGAGTCATATCACGCCTTTTCTAAACAATGCCTGTATACTCAATATGGAATCTCGCAGACAGTTATATCTCGGGTCTTTAATGTTTGATATTGTTAAATTCAAAAATCCCGAATATCTTTTTTTAAAATTACAATTTCGCCACTTTTATAAACTACACGACCATAAGCCCAAATCATTACGCACCCCGCTAAGCGTGCTGCGACATCGAACTGCAGCGTTCAGTTTTCGCTACCACGCAACAAGGTGTTGGAATAATATCCCACCACCTTTAAGGCTTCTAAAATCTAAATGCACTTTCAAGGCAAAGGTAAAGGCACTTCTTCTAGACTCTCAAAAAAGGGTATTCCACAGCGCTTTGCTTAGGTAGCGAAAATTGCATACATATTTTTTTGCATATATACATTGTGTAATAGCAACATACCTATTTATAATTAAATTGACTTTTATATAACAAAAACATATATTTCTATTTATAATTTGGTTATATTATTAATATAGTTAAATCATCAAAAATATTATTTATTATGCGTATATATTATCTTCCGTATTTATTTAGTTTCGAAATTATTATTTCTTTAATTTATACAACATGAAAATGGCGTCAGCTAGCTGGTTATCGTATCTGCTAAATCCTCTGGGTTATAGCTGAAAATCAGTGGTTTGCTCCTGAGTAAACCACTGATCCGACACTGAGCTATGACCTTTTTGCACTGCTACAGCATACATAACTCGGCAGTGCTGCGACTCTGATGGTTTTTTTTGTTGTTTTACATATTTTTCTGTTATGTATTATGTATGTGTGTCTTTAGATCCGAAAAAACGTTTTATCTATTTATCTATATGATATATACGCGTATGATGTATGGTTGTCATGTTTGAAACTTTAATTCCATTATCTCTTATAGGCTCAGAAACAGGCGAACTATCAAGTGACGCAGTTCGCGTAGTAGTGGCAGGAGCTCAGTGGGAGCGGTCAACGACACTGGCGGGGGCTGCAGAACTAGAGCGGCGGTTGTTCGCCGCTGCTGCACCGCAGCATCGCTTGCTGCCACGACTGCTGCATCTGCTCATGGCTCCGCAGCCGACCAACCAATCGCATGCGCAATCCGTACGTATATGTTGGCGATACAAATATTTTTCCCAGCCCGGGAATCGAACTCGGGACCTCTGCGTAGCAAACCAGCATGGTGACCGAGGTTCGGCCACCGAGGCAGTTCTTCCCGGTCCGGGAATCGAAAGGGATGAATATCACAGTAGTAAATATAATAAATATTCAGTTAAAATAAATATTACTTATAAGAATATGTTTATTTGTGTTAAGGTTAATTATTTGTTCTTTTTTTAACTTTCTCAGACGTTAACCCCGCAGCAAATTGACGAGCTGACGTCGATCTTAGAACCAATCAAAGACCTTCAGAATGCCGTTCTAGAACTTAACGACGCTTTGAGGCTTGATGTTCCTGATATCGATATTTCAAAAAGTAAGTTTTGTGATATTAAACTTTCATAATAAATGGTTATTATGTATCTTCAAAGCCTTGGTAGAAATGCGTGTAAGGGTATTTACAAAAAGGGGTATATATTAATTAAATAGTAATATAAATGTAATAATGTGCCCCACAACCACACCAATTATTTGGTTCCTAACTAGGGAAGTCCCTGTAATATGAGCACCAGAGGAATGGAGCTCATTCTGGGGCACTATCCGGACCACCTGAAACAATTTAAAAAATTAAGTTAAAATGAGCTACTGTCCACCACACTGGCCCAATGTGAGTCGGGAACTTCATATCTCTTCAAAGAGTTTCGTCAACGCCGAGCAGGTTTCATCACAATGTTTTAGTAAACTAAACTGCACATTATTTAAAAGTCTGCATTTTATCCAATAGAAATGTCGTTTTGACGAGAAACTTTTTGTCGTAAGGGAAAATGTTCCTTATGACATTTCAAAATTCGATGTCAACAAAATGATCACCTTCATATCAACCGTGGAAAATTGTTATGTCATAAAGAACATTTTGTCGTAAGCAACATGTTTCCTTAACGATAAAATGTTATTTACGACGTTTTCAATTTCTACCGTCGTTGTGCCCCTCAATAGGAATCGAACCCAGGATATTCTGGACGTAGGAGGCAAGCCTTCTCTCAACTAGTCTACCTTCCTATGGAAAAAATAAATATTGGAATGTGTTATGTTTCATGTAAATAATAATAAATAGTTAGCCTATATAAGTCCTATTGCTGACCGCAGGCCTCCTCTCACAATGTTCCCATGCGGGCTCAAGTGGATTAGGTTCATTTCATTTCAACTTCACACACATCATTAAATTGCTTTGCAGATGTGTGCATTTTTCCAAACGATGTTTTCCTTCGCCGAATATGTGATGGTAAATTTCAAATTAAATTTTGCACATAAATTCCGAAAAATTTAGAAGTTCATACCCGGATTCGAACCCACGACCCTCTGCTTGAAAGGCAGCAGGTAAAACCATTAGGCTCCCGCGACCCATTTTTCTAAATGCATAATATGTGTGACGGAAACGCAATAAGTATAATATGTAAGTGTAATACGTAAATTCAACAACACAGGTGATGAAGAAGAAACCAATGAATATGATAACTTGTTTGCTAGCGACTTGGGAGTCTCCGTGGTCACTGAAGCGATACGGCAAATGGCGGAAATGAGGTCAGTGTACTAAAATATTGTGAATTTATTTAAAAATACCATAATTTTGTTTTATAAGCCAATCTTCCGTTCATTAAAAATTTATGCGTCTTTTCTTTTTTTTTTTACTTTTTTTTTCTACATGTAAAAAGTTTCTTAATATTAGGGGTTAAAGTATGAAATTGCCGTTTTATTGCAATAGGTTCTTTGAATTTTCATAGAATCTTCATGGTTTGAGGTTTTCGAATGAAACTTTTTTCAAATGGTTTCTGTGATTTTTTTTTTTTTAAATTTGAAACATTTGAATATCGACTTTCAATTGTTTTTGTTATTCAATTTAGACAAGAAAGATGGATACTGCGAAAATTCGAGTGATTTTTGAATACGAGTTCCGACGCGGAACTAACGCGGCAGAAACAGCCCGCAATATCAATGCTGCGTTTGGAGAGGGGTACTAATGAACGCACCGTGCGATTTTGGTTTAAACGCTTTCGTGATGGAAATTTCGACTTAAAGAACGAGCCACGAGGAAGACCGCCCACACAGGTGAATAACGATGAATTAAGAGAGATAGTAGAAGCCGATCCTAGTCAAACTACCCAGGAATTAGCGGCATGGTTTAACGTTACCTTACCCACAATATTGACTCACTTGCGTCAAATCAATAAAATAAAAAAATACGAAAAATGGGTGCCTCATGATTTGACTGATCTGCAGAAAGAAATGCGTGTTGAAACTTGTGTTGCCTTGTTGAACCGGTACAGAAATGAAGGAATATTGGATCGAATTGTAACATGTGATGAAAAGTGGATTCTTTATGATAACCGGAAAAGAAAAATGCAATGGCTGACCCCAGGTCAAATGCCACAACAGTGTCCTAAAGCAAAACTTACCAATAAAAAGGTAATGGTAACTGTTTGGTGGTCTCAGCATGGTGTTATTCACTATAGTTTTCTCCGATCTGGTCAAGCAATAACGGCAGATGTCTATTGTGCCGAACTCCGAACCATGTTGACAAAACTAGCAGTAAAACAGCCCCGACTCATGAATCGATCTTCACCATTATTGCTCCACGACAACGCGAGACCTCACACAGCACGAGAAACCATTTTGACCCTTCAGGAACTGCAGTTAGAAACCATTCGTCATCCTCCGTATTCACCAGACCTTGCTCCAACGGACTACTATTTTTTTCGTGATTTGGACAATTATCTACGTGACAAGAAGTTTTCTTCCCAGGAGGCAGTACAAAATGCTTTCACACAGTTTGTGCAGTCTAGATCGTCGGAGTTCTATCGCAAAGGCATTAATAACCTTCCCATTAGATGGCAGCAATGTATAGATAATAATGGCAACTATTCTGATTAAATAAATTGGTTAAAAATTTAAAAAATAAACAATTTAGATTTTCAGTACAAATCGGCAATTTCATACTTTAACCCCTATTAATTGTGTTTTATGTATGGTGTTAGTGAGTGAGTGTATAGTAGGACATATTTGAAATGTTCGAATCCACCTGAGAGGTTATCTTTTAAACAATCACAACCACTTAAGAACTCTAGAATGATAAGAAGGAAAAAGAAATATTTCGTATAAATTATGTTTCAATATACCAATTGTATGTATATGTGCTATCTAAGCTTAATTGTCGCCTAATTTAACAGATCTAAACTAATATTAAATCTTCAGTCCTTGGTTTACGAATAAGAAATAAAGATGCATTGACCTTAAATTTTGTTTAGTTTGCACGAGTCGATCACATTAGATAAGATAATATTTTTTGTTTACAATAGAATAGAAAACATTTATTGCAACGCCACAACATAAAAATACACCAAAAAGAAAGAAAATTAAAAAAAGGCAAAATAAAAAATAAAATTTTGATTTATTGTAAAATCTAAAATCTAAAAAATTATAATTTGATTGTAAAATTAGATATTTTAAATAATATCAAATTTTAAACAGTCAACGCAACTTGAATGCTAATGCCACAGCCGAGATTAGGCAGTGACACTGGTTTACAGTGGGTCCTGTTTCTACGTAGATCTCGCGTAGTTCGAGGAGCATTAGCAGCTTTGGGTGCAGCAAGAGGCGCAGGAGACGTACCGGGCGCAGGTCATTGCGCTGTACATTGGCAAGCCTATAGGGCACTGCTGTGGCTACGAGCTGCTACGCTTCATCGCCCGTAAGTATACTAACTCCCATAAGTCCCAAGTCTTCAACAGTTGAGTAATGTGCTGCCAGATTGACCAATACCAAATACACAAAAAAGAAAACCGATCAATAATAAAACAAGATAGACATTAAAGTTGATCTATATTATATATTTTGACGACCTCGGTGGCCCAAGGATTTGTGAGTGCTGGAAGTCCCGAGTTCAATTATCAATTTAGGAAATAATTTCAAAATTAGTTCTGGTACGAGTGTTCCGGTTAATACGACGGAGTTAATTCCATTGCTTTTGTACACATAATCATCCCTGGTAATCCCCTAGTTCTAGACCAGGTAATTGGTGTGGTTGTCTGGCACGTTATTTATTATTATTATATCTGAATTTGGCGTTAACTCGCCATATAGTATAATAAAACCAAAACAGGTATTCTGTCAAAGCCATGTCGAGGGTATGCATTGTCTTCGCAGAGAAAACATAGAAATAAATTCATTTATAAATAATTAAAAAACCTGTTCCACATTATGTTGCAATAATATTATTAGGAACACAGTCAAAATCTAAGTTGCCATTAAAATGGAAAAAATATTCCACAGTGCAGCAGGAACAGCGGAAGCTTTTCGTTTAAAACTCAGCGCCCTAGGCGCTGAAGCGAGCGCTTTAAGCGGAGCTGAAAGCACGTTGCGCGCGGGGGGGCTGGTGCACGAGTATGCGCGTGCTGCGGGGGGGCGACGGGCACGAGCGCACTTAGCCGCTGCCAGAGCGCCTACGCACTGGCACCAGGCCATGCCTCTGATGGCTTATCATCTCGCGCATCAATTGTATCCTTTTTCAAAGAGTTATGGAAAACACGGCTAACTTAGGTAGGTCTGCGACCTGCTTCCTTTTTTTAGAATACTAAGCGATGGGACGAACAAATCGTGCTTTTCTGTGAGCTGTAAACCAGCCACACGACATAAAATAATTGTATAGATATTTAAGACATATTGCATTAAGTACGCTCCCATTTGCCTAACTAATTTTGTTAACAAATATGAAAAACAATGAAGAACTTTCTATTCTATTCTATTCTGCCTTTAATTTCACCGGAACCCTTACTTTTCAAAACCGGAATGCAGTACGTGAGCATTACTGTAGTGGCGGCAGAAATAAGTAAGGCGGCAGTACTTCCTGTGACGAACTCATTCCCATGGGCGAATTCTGATGACGACATTTTTGCAAATCAGTTTGTATGCGTTGATATACAGGATGATAAAAACATCACTGACCATTTTAAAGGAGCATAATGTATAATGGAAATAAAAAATACATGTTCGGTTTTTTTAAATACTTGACAAATAAATAAGTTATGACGTCTCAAAGTTTTCCGGCAAATTGTGTATTGACAATCATCTCTATCAATATTATTATATTGACACCCGACAATAATAGACGGATGTTGCCATAGCAACAATCTGTGGGCGCGATGATGAGGCTTCGGATTCGATGCCCGGTAGAACCCGGTAAATTAATTGCTGTGGTTGTTTGGTATTTTAATTTATTTGTTTGTAATAAATTGAATTGCAATTTTTCCTCCATACTTTCTAAAGGCTTAGGATCGTCAACATACAGAAATTTTTGTTAAAACAGAACGATATTGTTACATCGCAAGTAGGTACTACCATATTCACGCGTATTTAAAAATTTGCAACCAACTTTTGTACAATTATCGATCGTAATCATCGTCATTATCTGCTGCAATGCTGAACATAGGCCTCTCCCAAAGAGTATGAAAATGAAAATGAAAAATCACTTCATGCAGTCAGCAATACTTCAATAATTGCTCAAAATTCCATCCATTCACATTGTAGTCCACAATACAGTCTAGCGCATGTAATAATGCTCCTCCATAATTTCCGAGCACGTTTTAAAGCGTCAAATGGATGACTTAAGTTTGTCACGGCTTTGGGCTTCGTTCATATACACTCAGCGTTTAACTTCGCCTCACAAAAAATCTCATGGAGTAAGATCAGGTGACCTGTGAGGCCAAGAGACGCTCTTCACAGCATAGAGGCTTCGAGCTTCGTGAAGATTGCAACCACTTTCGATATAAACACTAACCATCTCGTAATACTCCCGATGGGAATACATTGTTACGCAACGACGACTGCAAATCGTATGCGTTTGCGACGACGACATTTTAAAAAAGCAAAATATTTTTTTATTATTATTTTATTTCACTAATGTGTTGTATTACTAATTATTATGCATAGGAAAAAATATAATGTATATAAGTATATAAGCACATAAATAAATTGTTTTTAGGCTAAGTGACGTTATCGGCTTAATTGACCAACTATTAATTGCAGCTTTACAGATCGATTGAAGCAGTTGGTTCCATACGTTTACAAAACTATCGACTTGGCATTATGTGAGCGACTGGGTCTCTCTAATTTCGGCTCTCTCATTCATTCGCCTGGTCCGTGTTTAAAGGAACGCCATGAAAATTTACATATACAAGAGTGTCTTTTTTTTAATGGGACAGTATGCGGAAATACAAAACCATTGAAGATACAAGGAATCTGTCTTAGGAACCCATTGACTTACAAATAAATGGACGACGGGTCTAATACAAAAACCACGAAAAAAATGCCCCAGGTCAACCTATTTAAACGTAGTGACATGTAAAGGAATATGAAAAAGCTAAAACGTTGAATTTAAATTGTAATGTCATTGCAGTACTGCCCAATTTTTCTTGCAACAATTGAAAGGCGCAAAAAAACACCATATTCAGCATCTACTGGAAACTTACCACAATGCACCATATGTAGCTTCTAGTGAAAACTACTTGACCACAGGTATAATGGAGTAGCCTTTATTATTTATAAATGAATTTTATACGTAAATGTTGAATTTTATACAATGCCATTTATTACGAGCTAGGGTGACTGACTTTTTTTCTTGAGTTTCGAGAATTCTCGTACCCGATTTCTCGAGTTATTCGAGATTTTTTTTAAAAACCGTAAAAAATCAGCTCAATCAACTATAAAACTAAATGTGAACTTTTAGAAAGTTTTTTTGGCCTGGGTGTTCTGAGTTATGCCCCGGAATAAATTCCATCGTTTGTGGTCCCAGGTTCGATTCCCAGTAGAACCAATTTGGGAAATGAACTTTTGTAAATTGGTTCTGCTCTGGGATTCTATTGCTCTGATACTCATGGGCAGTATGTACAGAGAGTTCCCTAGTTTCAGATCAGGTGATTGTCTTACAATAGAATACCCAGATCAGAACCATTTAAAAAAGCTAATTTGTTAAATTGGTCCTACCGGTATCGAACCCGGGAACTTCTCATCCAGTGCCCACAGTGCACAAACCGTTAGACTATCAAGGTTGTACTATTTGTATTATTATGCATTGTTTGCAAGTAAAAGCTACAAATTGCTTAAACTTAAAAAAAATCCTATTTAATTTGCACTGTCAGTCTGCTTCAATTACCTTCTTTGTTTCTTAAGTTGGTATATTTTGTCATTCATCCAACTTTTGATTTTTAATGCATTTTGGCGGTGTAAAATGTTCTCTGTTAATCTTGTCACTTTCTTCTTAAGTTAAAGCTATGTTTCCTGGATAAATTCCTGTATTCTCTCCTTTCTATGCACAGTTCACTCATTGATGTAATCACATACCAAAGCTTTAATGTTATGGTCTTTTATCAAGCTTGCATCAGCTCTGGTTTCCTTCATTTTCTTAACCCGTTCGTGCATAGTTCTGAAATTATACTGCACTCAAAAACGTCACCACTTTTCTATATGCCGTAGTGCTTACATTGATTCAATATAATTATTACGGTTTATCACTGACGACGGTTGATTCCGTCAACAGGCATAGTCGTACTGCTCATAGTTCTTGCAAATGTTTCTTGTGCATGAAAAAGTACGGCTATGACGGTAGTAGGGTATTTGCCGTTGTGAGATAATTACAAAATTAAAATGCGCGATATTGATTGCGCAAGAGAAACGCTTTTCAAAATAAACACTTAGGTACTAATTAATATATAATAACGCACACACTCAACATTGCCCAGCATTAGGGAAACCCTGTGTCGCGGGTGCCATAGACAACCACAAATTACACCCAAACTCACGAGAGAAATAAATGTAGGCCATACACATATTTCTCCCGAAAAACCTAAAAAAATACTTTCGGGATTATGGAAGTTCATGCAAACGTTATTTCGGGCAAATGTATTTTCGGTCTTCTGATTCGTAACCGCGAGCCGTAGAAAGAGTACAACAATATTTGAAAGTATTACTAACATGTATTAAAAAATATTTTAATAATAACATTAGCATCAAAGCGACTCTATGAAATTTTTGTTCTAAATATTTCAAACGATTTCAAACAATTGAAATTGACGTGATGGGTCTCGTTCAGTCATTTATGCAAGCAATGAGTCGGAAAGAGACAGTTAGCTATTTGATTATTTTGATTGCTTTTGTAATTTATATTTACGATTAATTTAAATATAAATTAAATACTATTATATACTAGTGCATAAAATAACACTTTTAAATGATAACTATGATAACACAATGTAGTACTTACTGAAAATATGATATACCATCCTGTTTTTTCAGTTTAGTTGAGTAATTTTTACACGGTTTTACCACACAATACGGCATCATTGACAAGCGCGCTGTCAGTCGAACAAACGAAGACTAAAGCGTGATTGACGCTCTATATACGATTTTATCGCCCTGTAAGTTCGGACACTTTTTAGCGCGGACCCGACGTCCATTTATTTGTAAGTCAATGTAGGAACCATTAAGTATTTTTTGTGAAAACAATTTTGGCATAGTCAATTGTTTTGTCGAGCTGGAGTTGTCCATAAAAATTAATAAAATTGATCAAAATTTTTATAATGCTAATCAGGCTCACCGTATTGGACGAAAAAATCGTGACAGCCGAATTTGTCAAATTTCATAAAATATTTTTCATACTATTTTTAATTTAATTTGTTTCTAATGCTAATAGACTCAGTTTCTTATAAGTATGATTTCATTGTATGAGAAGAAAAAAATTGATACAACAGAAGTTAGTCAAATTAAAAAAAAACACTCTGTATAATGAATATAAAGTGAATCAAATCAAAAAAAAAAAAAAATCAAAAATTCATAAAGCATTCTATAGATATACTCGTTTCTTATCTTATCGATGGCATACACTGTAATGCTTGCCATTATGGGTGAAAGGACTTGCCAATCAGCATAAGGTACTTGGAGATTGTTGCCCATGGTGCGCTAGATGTACAGGAAAGGTAAGGTACGTCGTGCGAGGAGGCTTTTGTTCGCTCCACATATAGACTCGTAACACGCTTAACATCAGTGCCTCTACGACTTTAATCAAATCAAATAATTTATTGCTTTAAATGTGGTAAGTAGGTACAATACTAGATGGTAATGTTTACAGAATAATATATCACACATTTAGCCATTTCTGACATGCAATATATAAAATAAGGGTCAATGCAACATGCTGTGTAATGACTAATATAAGCATGGTAAATTAAAAAGCTGTGTCTCTAATTAATTACATTTTACTTTATACATAGATATAATAATTTAAAAAAATTGTTTTTTTACATAATACTGTATCACTTAAAACCTTTTCTTAAATTATTAGTCAAATTATGAAATTACAAATATGAAAATAGCAATATAATCTAATTATTCAAAATTTCAATTACACTGTAATATGTTTTTTCTTTCAACCACTGTTTTAATAAACACTTAAACCTATTTAGTGGTTGTGATTTTAGTGAATCTGGCAAACTTTTATAAACTTTGAAACACATTGACTTACTATTTTTTTGGTACAATGCCGTTCGTGGTGTTGAGTCCATAACCAGTCTGTTTTGGTGTCTAAGAAATTGGTCTTGGTTATCTTTCGCTTTCTTGAACAAACCTTCATGCGTTCTTACAAAAGTACATAACTCATATATGTACATACTCGGGAGAGACATAATTCCTAATTTTTTAAACAAAGGTCTACGTGATTGATCTGGTGGTGCCCCACACATCGCTCGCACACATCTTTTCTGTGTTATAAAAGTCAGCATCAGTACTGTTTCCCCACAACAACAAACCATATCTGAGGTTTGACTCGACATAGCCGTAATAGGCTGTACTTACAAGTAGGGTTTGAGGTATTGCAGTTCTTCTAAGTTTACTCATCATATAGACATAACTATTTATTTTGTTACAAACTTTATTTATGTGACACTTCCTGTTGCAGTGATCATCTAATTGAAGTCCAAGAAAACGCGTTTCATTTAGTTCTTTTAATTTGTCTCCTTCGTGGTGTATATTAAGTTTATGTTTAACACCACCGCGATTTGTAAATTCTATATAATTAGTTTTGTCAATATGTATATTCAAATTATTTGATTTTAGCCATTTTGTTATTGATTTTATTGCGTCATTTAAATTTAATTCATTATTATCAATGTCATTGATTTTGTCGAGTGGTATAATTACTGAAATGTCATCTGCAAACAGAATGCAATCATAGTTCGTCACGTTAGGAAGAATATGAATAAAAGAGTTCCCAGAATACTCCCTTGGGGTACTCCATATCTATTGATTTTATATTTTGATCTATATGTCTCAATAATAGAGTCTGTACCAATATTTACAATCTCTACACACTGTTTCTCTTCCCTTTTAAGTATGAATTCATCCATTCTAGTGATTGGCCTCTGATTCCGTAATTTTCCAATTTATTTAGTAATATTTTATATATTGTGCTCTACAAAGTCGAATGCTTTGGTCATGTCGAAAAATATACCTATTGTTTATTTTACTGTTATAGTTGTCGATAACGACCGCGCAAATAACTTCACAGTTTTGTATGGCAAATTATACAGAGCGCCCCTAGCGGTCACAAGAAGAAACAACATTTTGTATACAAACATTTTACGCAGTCACTGTCAATAACTGTCACTGTAATCTTATAGTAGAGGTGAAAGTGTAGTGTAGTAGTATTTTACATTAATAAAAAAACACAGCTCTGCTATACTTTGATAGATAATGAGCACAAATGATCTATTCCTGTCAGTAATCGGACTGATCTAACCCACAACAATAGAACCTGAAACTTCCTGAACCGCGAATCAGATGGGCAGTAAGCGGCGGTTTCGAGTTCGGCTGGTGGCTGGCCAGTGTCAACCAGCCGCGCCTCGTACAGAACTACGTTTCCATGCTGGAACCTTGGTGTGAATGGAATGCTTGCTCACGTACGTTTCCTCCTGTTATTTTATTGCTGACGACGAAATTCTACCTCTCTTTATATCCCTCCTGAAGAAGCAAACAGCAGTATGGTGATGGTCAATCCGTCAGCTTATCGTGGTGATAATGTGTCATTTTTAACCAACTTCAAAAAAAGGAGAACGTTCTTATTAACTGTATTTTTGTGTATGTATGTTACGCGATAACTCCGGCTTTTGTGAACCGATTTTGATGATTCTTTTTTGTTGGAAAGGGAGTACCTATTTAAATTTGAAGAATATATTCCACCTCGTGGCAAATTTGGGGATGAATGACTTTTGAGGTCGGTTTTTTAGTACCCTGTGATTATTTTAATCTTAATTCCGAACTTTTTTCATTGCCAACACCGTCCTATTGCTGGCATATGGTCCTATATACATGTTTATTTGGAACATCAACAGATTACACAAGTACATTTAAAAATGAAAACATTGAGTAAGGCCTTCTTAATTCTTCATTTAATAAGGCTAAGCAAATAAAGGTGTCCACAATTCTTCCCCGTTATTGCCATTTTATTCCATCCAATGTTCTATCCATCTTCACTTCGCTATCCGCCATCGCTTTCTGTTCTCATCTTTCGGTATTCAAGTCAATTCAGCTCCCGAGATTTTTTGCGGTTCTGCCTATGCGACACCATTGACTCCACGGCAGTCGCTACAAATGCGGGCTCTTGGGGCCTCGGTGACGAACTTGCCATAACATTTATTAAAATGTTGTATTGGGGCTATAACATTTTTACTTAATATAAAATCGCACCCTTGTTGGTGTAATAAGGCCACATCTGTAAGATGACAACTTTTCATTAGAGAGGCTTAAAGATTCTATGAACTAAGTGAGTTGATAACTTTTTATGCTTATTTTATTGGATAAGGTACAGCACGGATTACAGATCAGAATATACATCAACAAAATATTCTAACTAAAACTTAAATAGGAATGTTATAAAATTTCACACTTACATAATTGTTTCACGTACCTCGTATTATTTTTATACCGGTTGCGACTGGTTGGTCTTCCTCTCCACAATCCCGGGAGTATCACTCCCTTAACTGTGCCTCCACCAGGAGGCACTGTTAAGGAGAGTGAATCTGAACCGGACAAGCCGGATATACCAATACTGGCTTGTCTGGTTCAGATTTAATCTGGTTGGGTGTGGTGCCAATGAGTTGAGTGTGTGCGTATGAGTAATAATAATTTATTACTTAATAAAGATTGTTCAACAGGTCAGTTTATCCTGGGTTTATCATTACTGGACTTAGAAGACGCGGAGAACGCGTATACCGCATTTTGCAAAGCCGCAAAGGGCGTTAGCACGGAACCTTTTCTACGGCAGTTAGTGGCCGCTCCAGATGCCCGGTTAACGCAACATCAGGCCCTTGTTCTATATTATATGAAGGTAAGTTACTTGCTGTTTAGAAAGGAACTACCAAATAGCAATCCAAACCAAAAATGTCTTCAACCCCTTTCTCAAAAAAGTGTATGTTTAAACTATATACTATATACTGTTGAGATCCCGTTGTCACCGGTTTACTTAGCTCAGAATTATTATTCAAAGTAACAAACTCAACTTCAAAATAATTTTTATTTCATGAGTAAGCAAATTATAGTTCAAGCCGTCAAGCCATTGATTAAACTATTCATTCGTGAGGCAGATTCCCTTCAGAAGAATTCTTTAGAAACTTTAGGGGTTGGCTCTTTGTAAATAAACATTTGTACATATTTATCATTTACAATATTTATGTATTTAAATATAAATAAGGTTGAGGTCTCAACGGTGATCACTACAGTTGTTGGATATTAAAAAAAATTGATCACCGTTAAAGTAAAAAGCTATTCAGGGTCTACAGATTGATTATAATAATAATTTACTTTATTTCGGAAAATATCCACATTGTCTTAGTTAAGTAATCCTTACAAACTATATTAGTAATACCATGGACCAACAATTCAAGAGGGCCGCTAATATTTTTTTTATAATATCAAGTGACGGGACGAACAAGTCGTGCGCCTGATGTTAAGCTACACGCCTAGCCATATATTTATTTTATTTTGTTTAGGATTAGCGCCATCTAGCCATACTAGCAAGCGTTAATTTATAAATTAGTTTCACCAAAATACCATCTATTGACACCATTGACTTACAATTATAAGTCAGTGATTGACACGCATATTTATCAAAGTTTAGAAAATAATACATCGTCAATATTTGAATATTGCAAGAAAAATTTATTAGTTTTATTTCATATTAAAGATGAATTGGATGAATTGGCCAAACATCGTGACATTCAATAAACTTAAAAATTACAACCACACCATGGTTGTCTGGCACATTATTATTTAGACATTTTTATTTTATTATAAGGTCATAAAGTTGTTTGAAATACATGACGCCGGAGCGTGTGTGGTGCGTCTTGCTGAAACCGCTATTAGCATCGCTGACAAGGACGATCCGAATTTGGTAAGTATACGTATAAAAATATAATCGCGTAGTAATACAGTAATTTGAGCCACCTTACATTGTCAGTGTTCAATGCTCTAAGCATAGAAATTGTTTGATTGATCAAAAACTATTATATATGAAATTGATACTCTAAAGGTCATTTCCATTGTCCTTGTTGAAAATTTGAATTTGTAAAAATAATCCTCGGATTTACAAATATTTCTTCGATGATAACAATATTCTTGATTAACTAAATTATTTTTAAATTATTATATATATATAATAATTATTTTATATATATTATTGATAACAATATTATAGCCCTTTAAATCTAAATATAAACCCGGGAGTATACTGCCGTCGGAACGAAAAAAGGCACGACTGCTGTATAAAGTACGCATAGTTGTGCCTTTTTTCGTTACGAGAGCAGTATAATAAGCTTGCACCATGGAAATGTTTTTAAATTACGGAATGCTTGTGATAATATTTTTTTTTCATTCGTGAATCTCACTACCTAATAAAAAAAATAAAAAAAATTACTACTACTTTTATTCTACATGTAAATCTACATAATATATAATCCATCGGATCATTTATGGCAATTTGAAATAGCTGTTCTATTGTATAGACAAGATTAAAAAATCAATAGTTACAAATCGTGCATACTATGACTTTTAATGAGTAATATGCGCGTGCGCAGGCGATGTTCCAGTGGCTTGTGTTCAAATGGCACCTAGCAGGTGGCCGGATAGAGCGCGCGCTGTCTGCCGCCGCCGCCAGCCCTGCACCACACGCCCGGCAGGCTGCTGCCGCCACACTACTCACTACTCTTGGTAATTATTATATAATCTTATAATTCATATTTACATAAATATTTAACAATTCAGACCGATAACTTTTGGTTATGACAAATTAATCACTTTTTTATTTAAAATAACCGACCTCAAAATTTCGTGGCATTATATCTATTTGCCAAGTTTTATTGAAATCGGTTACTGGAAAGTGCGCGAAACCGGATTCATCCCCTAGTTGCCGCCCTAAGAGATGGAATATTTTCTTCAAGTGTAAATGGGACCAAAACTGATGTGCCCTCTTGGTACTTTATGGTCAAGACACATCGACGACGATCGGCAACCTGGCCCGTACTAATAGCACGAATGTGGCTTGCAGTACCTATTTTTTCTCATCTGGTTTTCGAGTGCGATCACATTATAAATAGTTTTTTTTGCATTGACAAACAGCCGATCGCCGTTTATGCATTCAAAAATTCGTAGACATTGTCCATTGGTGAATTTTGTTTTATTGCGTTGGTAAAGTAAATCTTTAAGAAGCTAACGTTTCGGGCTCTTTACAGGTCCCATGGTTACGGTTGAGTGACCATGGGACCTGTAAAGGACCCGAAACGTTGGTTTTTTTGAATAAACAAATATCCGCGATTTAAATCCGGAGCAATAGTTTCATTTCCTATGTGAAACAATCGCGAAAACTGTATAAAGTAAATAAATATTTGTTAAAGAGTTAATTTTCCATAAAACAGCACAGCGCAAGCAACTAGGTGCGCTGGTATCGTGCGGTGCACTAGCAAATGACGCAGAACGTGCGGCGGCGGCTCGAGCCAAGCTACACGATGCGCATACACATAATCCGTACTACGACTTCCTCTATGCGCTGCACATTTCCAGACATCATTATAGAAAAGGTTAGTGAATTATCGTAATTTAAAGACGACACATGTGTACACGTTTATTGTGGTGTATTGTTGAAATTGTTTAAATACGGTAAAACGTAGTGATGCAACGGAAACAGATGCTAAAAGTAAATCTTAGGGCGCGTTCCCTCTATGTCGTATCGTTTTATTTATCGTTGGACGACAGTCGCGTCTAGCCTGTTCCCATATCACGACTATCTGTCGTGATTGTGTCGTGAACGTTTATTTTATCATTGACTGACTGTCGTGTCTAGTTGTTCCCACTAGATCGTGACGACAATTTATCGGTTCACGGCAGCCGCCTTGTCGTTTGCACGACTATCTGTCGCATCGTTAATTTGTTTGAAAACTATTTTGCCATATCATTACTGTGACAACTGCGCTCCGATTGACCAACCCGAATTCGAAACAATTGACGAGTATCGTCAATTGTTTCACTTCAAATCAACATTGAGCTTTGCTATAATGGACGAAAATTGCAAAATTACATATTTAATAGTTAATTACCGATGAAATTTGATTCTGTTTGTCCTGTAATTAGATGTTTTGGTGTTTTTCCCCACACCACCGAATGGAACAGCACGCCATTGTTAGATAGATATATTATCTTTATTACAATAAATGCAGAACATTTTTGGAATATACGGAGACGTACACACAGGTCAGTTGTTGGCGCTGTACTATTTCAGCTTTGTAATTACAGTGCAAACGAGAGTTGATATTTATAAGTATTTATCACTGATGATTTACCAGGAATGTATGCCCTTATTATGTAGGCCCTTATTTCGTCTCTATTTCTGGTTATATACTCGATGAGCTGTCGTCACAACATAATGGACACGCTCCCTTAGTGGAAGCAGAAGTGTTAATATTATAAAGGTATCGACTGCCCGTGTTTTTGGTTTCATAATATAGGTTTTTGATCATGAACTAAATTAATAAAATTCCCAATAGTTGTATTGTAATGAAGTAAAAATTTGCCCTATTTCGATAGTAAAAGGAACCCTAATTTCCGAACGTTTTAGCACAGTTAGCCAACAGTTGAATAACAAGTGTTGATAATCCTGTTGATATTTTGGCTATCATAAGCGTTCATTGATACACGACAGGCAACGGCGCTGAATTACAATCTCCTGTATAAATCTTAGCGGCAGCAGTGATGTACGAGCGCGCCGCCCGCTGCGCTGCAGAACGTACGACGGGCGCCGACCGTATGCGCCGGCGCTGGCTGGCTGCTGCACTTACCTGCCTGCGCCTTGCCAAGCCCGACCACGCCTTCCTCGCAAGACCCGCGCAAAATAGTTTACAGGTACAAATACGTACAAATATAGAAAATTACATGGGTCCTGTAATTTTCTATATTTGTTTCTAATTTATTTTGCATGGACGCCGATTTTATTTTATTTATTTTTTAAATACATTTGCTATGGAAATTTAAAGAAAGACAGAAATATTAATAAGGAAACCAATATTTCGATTTTCCTGCACCTTCAATCCAACCTTCTTATATTTTGAACTCATTGGGAAAACTTAAAAATTAAAAATGCTCTAAAACGTTTAATCTACGAATGTAATGGAATCGAATATACGTCATATATTTTGGTGACGTACGTGCAAATTGAGACTTTTGTATACATACATTTTAGGTGATCGGTCCAGAAGAATTGGCCGCAGAACTACGAGAAGAAGATCCAGATTCCATGGATCCTGTACAACAGGCGTTGCTCAGTAAGATAGCATTGGTTTTATCACCCATATAAATTAGTGTTGATAGTGTACCGCCATAACACTAAAAAACAAGAATTTTTATTTATTTATTTAACACACATTTCAATATACATTATCAAATATGCTCAGTATTATACAAAGCATAACTGGCTTACCTCATACATAATTTTTACATACTAAAAAACTAAACTACACTAACAATAAATCTAAAACAATAAGTGGGTATTTCATTAAAAAATTACACTAATTATTACATTGAAGCGCAAAAACGATCGTAGCGGAGTAGAACACAAGCATCCACACATTATTATGTATATATTCTTCAAAGTCCTTACGAGGGTACACGTAAATTTATTTTTCATCACAACGTGCAGGCTGACGACTCACCGCCACCTCGTGCCGAATTGACACCGAAAAAGCATTGGATCTTTTCCTTTTTTTCATTTTTTAATATGGTACACAGATAGCATGGTACATATAAATTCAAAAGAAATTTTGTTTCATTCATACGTAAATCAAAGCCAAAAGTTTTCATGCTCAAAAATAAATGTTTTTCTCAAATACTCAACTCAACATTTTGGAAATATAGTATGAATAAAGAATAACAGTCTTAAGTCTCATTTTCCTTTTTTTTTAACTTCCTTGCAAGTGTAATGAAAAACATTGATGTCAACACAGACGGAACAGCACATATAAATCTTAGGAGCTATTAAAGTATTATGCATTCAGACTTTACATAGACATTCAGAATGTCCCACTGTTCGCAATTGCCTACTTATCGCACTTGTAACACAATGTATTATTACAGAGAATGAAAATATAGACTTCGAAAGCCTATATCCGAGATTGAAAGAAGCGGATCCCGAAACTCTATTGGCGGTGACCAAGAGAGTCCTTAGCACTGACCAGTTTTTACCTCGTTGGTTCGTACTTAGATATATGGTGAGTTTACAAGCTTTTTTTTATAGCGAAAAAACTTCGTATGATTTCATGGCGTAACTTTACTCAAATGTAGTTAAAAAATCTCTGTGGCATAAAGAGTCAATAAACTTATGTGGAGAAATCCAGAGTTTATGGATACCTCACAGACATCTGGGAGATTCGGATCAGAAACAATAAAATAGATCTAAGTAAATTATGTAAAAACACATTTATTGACGACTGCAGTCAAAAGTATAATGTCATCGAAAAAACAATGACATAGAAACATGAAAAGATATTTAATTTTGAATTACAAAGGAACGCACATACTAAAAAGGTTTGCTCTATTAAAAATATTTAACCTCCAACAACTTGACAATATAACAGAGAAACATAAGGCGGATTCGACACGACACGTCAGACAAATATAGTCTGACGTGTTGTGTCGTGACGCGTCAGAACGGTATCGGTTTCATACATTTAATATGGTGAGATTTACGTTACTGTGTCGCAATGTTTTGTGATGGTTTGTGTTGTGTAGCGTCAGAGGCGATCCCGGCCTGCGTCAGGACGGAATAGTTGGGGGGCGGCGGATCGGCTGCGGCACTACAGATCAGACAAGGGTGCACGCGCCAGTGCTGTGTTGTGACCCGTCAGACATTGTGAACGTACGAACTCTCCGAGAGCCACGACGGTATTGTTCCAAAATATCGTCGGAAGGCGTCAGAACACGACATGTAGATGTGAACGCTAACCATCATGTCAGAGCGAGTCACGACACGACACGTCAGACAAATATAAATCATTTAAACTATATTTGTTCCATTTAACATGACAACAGCGGTCATTGACCCGCATAAATTAACAGCGACCGATCGCCGCTGTCTGTAGCTATCTGTGGCTCTAGTGAAAAAAGCCAACTTTACAAGGAAACGCGAAACTTAACGCTATCATATTTAATTTTAACTGTTTCCGCAATGATATTATACTTGTAAACAATAGATGCGCAATCTGCGCCTCCAAACGCGGCCCCATGGCACTGTTGTCCACTGACAACAGTGAAACCAGTCGCCATCTTGAATTCGAGTGAGTGCAAAGTCACCGAGACGTGACAACAAAGTATCAAAAATTGTGAAATATGTAATTAAAATTTGCAATTCTCGGTTCGAAAATGATCATAAAACTACTGAGTTTACTTTCCACAGGTAAGTTTTGCTTTTGTTTGTTTAGATTGTCGTCAATAAAAATAAAAATGAAATAAATTTATTTTAAACATCAATGTTGCCAGTAAATCAATTTTCATTTGCCCATAATATTGGGAGTTAACCCTTTTGAAGTTACTTTTGACCTTGTAGTCAAAAGTGATTCTAATCCAAGTTTATTCGTTGTAACGTTTTAACGTAAAGTGTAACCGTAATAGGTACTATTAATACGTAATACTATTAAAAATGACATTTTGTTTGTTTCCCAGAATACTTAAAGATCGAACGCGCAACGGAGTGGATAAAAATTATACGACTTTTACAAAAAGATACTTTGAGTAACAAAACACAAGGCAATTGTACAACAGGCTAATGAATGATGCACAGTGGCGTTTAATAATTTGTAATAAACTATAGTTAAATGTTTATGTATCAAGTAATTTGTAATACCTACCCCTTTATACATTTTTGTTTTCATTAAATAGAAACAGAAACTTTGTCGGAAGACAGTCTTTTTATCATCTTTATCCAATAAATAAAAAAATACTAGAAAAGCAAAGAGTTCCATAGTTTAGAAAGATGATTACTATCTATCTCCATCGTGTCTCTTTCCACCAGTGAGGCTACAAGAAATTAGGGAAAATCATTTCTAAACCGGTAACACTGGTCGTATCTCTTAATGCACTACTACTATTTCATTTTGACATAATAAGTTTGACATTCGAAAAAATGAGACAAATATATTTTTCTTTGAAATTTCAATCAGTTTCAAAGCTAGTCTTTAAATTTGCAAAGTGGTCCCACATTTTAGACAACTGTTTGTAGGACATTGCGTCTCTAGTATTATTTATGCTCACTGGTTTTTCGCGTCTGCTTGTTGGGATATATTCTGTAGACTTAGCATGAGCACGAAGACAAAAAGTATGTCTTCTCTCAAGCTGTCAGTTTACTCTAAAAAATAACGTCATTTGTACAGATTCGAGGGTACTGAGCTTACTGTTACATTGGGATGACGGTAGACAAAAGTTTATCTAATTTTATCTGTTTGCGCTAATGCTGATGCTGCTAAACTATTTCACAGGAAGTAGACGGAGCAGGGTGTATTCGTGCCCTGCTAAGCGGCGGGCGCGTCGTAGAAGCAGGGTCGGCATGCTGCGAAGCTCTCCGCAGCGCACTTTGTTCTATCCAGCCGTACAGCCCTGCTGCACCGCGAGCTGCGCCACTCGCGCTTGCTGATTTGTTAATAGCTGAGTTACACCATCACTTGCAGCATCCAGCTTCTAAACAAGTTAGATTCATTTGTTTTGCAAATCTAATTTTATAACACTTGTGTAGATATATCGAGTTCTTAAAACTGGAAATTAAACTATTTTTCCGGATTTAAATATATTTGTTCGTATGTTTGTTCCGTATACTAGTCAACCGTGAGTCGTGACAATGGGACCTGGTAAAGGGCCCAAAACGTAGGCTTGTTTGAAAAAACAAATGTACGCGATTTAAATCCGGGAAAAAATAGTTTCATTTCCAACTTGTGTAAATAACTTTTTGTATTAAACTTATAATGACATTTACCATAGAATATGTTTAAGATTGTTAAGAGCACGTACTACCAAAATGTTTCTACAATCTCACCATTCTGCCGCAGTTAGATGAAAGGGAGTAAGTGTCATTTTTGTCAACAATTTTGTTTGGTATACAGCCGTGATCAGCAAGAAAAGGCCGATCTGTCACTATTTTTATTTTTTCCTAGGTGAAGAAGGTATGAATTTACAGCAAGAGAAAAGTAGATTTTTTTTATTTCATTTCTTTAAGCATTATTTTCTCGGTTTTAAGTTTTGTCACAAGCGCCCTTTCAACTAACGGCGGCAGCATTGTAAAGCGCGAGGCACCTAAAGCCAATAATAATAATTATTATTATTCATCCTTCTACCTCTATCATCACCCATTAAGGTGCGCCGTAGAATTCCACTTAATAATAATAATAAATATCTATTTTTGTAACAGATACACAAAGTACGTAGGTAAATCAAGGTAGTCGGTAACGTGGCAGAGGTGCATATTGTATAGAGATTGGTGCCTGAACTAGGTAGATGCGAGAGAGAATGCGTTAGGTAGTCATGTGTCGTTGCCGTCGTCAATGGACAAAATGTGGTTTAATTTATATTGCCGCGGATCGGAATCGAATTTTTCTAACTAGAGCATAATGAATTTTGTCAATTATGTAACATTTAAACTAGATACAAACCAGGTCGCTGAGAATTCTCTCTCAGTCTCGGGAATTCCCGCAGCCACCGTATCGTTGTTTATATGGTACATAATGGACATAAAGTTAGTTGCTATTTACAATGTTTAACTGCCTCTGTGGCCGAACGGTTACCATGCCGGACTGCCACGCAGAGGTCCCAGGTTCGATTCCCGGGTCGGGAGAAATATTTGTATGGCCTACATTTATTTCTCTCGTGAGTTTGGGTGTAATTTGTGGTTGTCTATGTGTGTGTCCATGGCACCCGCGACACAGGGTTTCCCTAGTGCGGGGCTATGTTGAGTGTGTGCGTTATTATTATTATTATTAAATGTAAATTGAGCCTACACTACTGGGCATAGTTGAAGAAATATTATGTGCACCGATGAATGTTATCTCTTGGAACGACTTATCCTTTGTATTATAATAAGGTAATAAAACCGTTAACACTTCTTTTACTTAAATCGTACACGGCTTTACCGATCTTGTTACATCGTACCAGTTATGGGTGTGCTAAATGTTTGTTAATTCAACTGTATGTTTTTTTGTATGTATGTTACGCGATAACTCGGCATTTGTGAACCGATTTTGATGATTCTTTTTTGTTGAAAAGCGGGTACCTCAGTAGTGGTTTTAAATGGGAATTTGAAGAAAATATTCCACCTCCGAGGTGGCAAACTAGAGGATAAATCCTGTTTCGCGCACTTTCCGGTAACTGATTTCAATAAAACTTGGCAAATGGATGTAATTTCACGAACTTTTGTGGTCGGTTTTATTAGTTACTCTATACTGAGATTATTATCTGAATTCTAGTTTTAAATTATTTCTTTACTCTTTTTTTTAACAGTAGATATCGTTTACTTCGTAAAATCTACTGACGATTTTTTTCTTACTAATTCAACAAGTTATTTACGCATAAAGATGATCAACTTTAGAATTATGTACTTGTTTGCACTATAGAGATGGCACGCGCGTTACCGAGACGGTTCACTCTTTTGTTCTGTTGTACTCTACAGATGAAGCGATAAGACGAATCGGTGTCAATAATATTTATAACTAAAGGTAGTGCGAGGTCCCGCTCACTGAGAGCTAGGAAGTCATTGCCAACAACAACGTCTCACGTAGCCGCATACACGCTCCAGTGCGCTCGTATTATTTCGACGAGTCATAATGCCCGTATATATCATAGGCGATAGCCAAAACTCCAAAGTCAGACATTATGAGTGAGAGTCAGAATGGCGGGTGTACCTTAATGGATCCTGTCAAATTTAGTATCAAAAAAATGTACCTAATTTATACTATTTAGTTCCTCTCTTTAAAAAATTTGTACCTCCATCAGAACAAACTTATAGCAATATCAAAGGTACACCCGCCGTATTGACTGTCAATATGGCGGGTGTACCTCGGATTACCAGTGTTTATTTAATAACTATAAAAACTTATTCCCAAAATTTGTACCTTAATAAGAGGCTGTATGGTGGAACCTTTGCCTAGTAACCCAAAAAATGGTGGAAATTTATAAAAAATTACGAAAATATTAACAATTTTCATTTCACTGAAACTTCGTTATGATAGAGGTACAAATTTTTTTAAGAATAAGTACTAAATGGTGCAATTTTGATACATTTTTTTGGTACCAAATATGTCAGGATTCGTTAAGATGCCCACGGCATTCTGAAATCTCAACATATTTTGTCTTATTTCTCAGAAACTAACCAGCAGATCTAGCTGGAGTTTCCTTTACTTCAGAGTACTATTAAGGTACAAATTTTTGGAATAAGAAATTTTTATAGTTATTAAATAAATACTGGTAATCTGAGGTACAGGTGAGACAGTCAATACGGCGGGTGTATCTTTGATATTGCTATAACTTCGTTCTGATGGAGGTTGAAATTTTTTAAACAGAGGTACTAAATAGTACAAATTAGGTTCATTTTTTTTATACCAAATTTGTCAGGATTCGTTAAGGTACACCCGCCATTCTGACTCTCACCATTATGATCATACATTAAATTACAATAAGAAGCGTCGGAACAAACACCAATGAATTACATTTTAACTTGTTCTTTTTAATGCTAAACGGTAGGTTTTTCTGCGTTTCTACGCTAAATCGTCCTTAAAAATAAGTTTCAATAGCACGCATCTGAATACAATACGACAAACCCATTCAATAAGACTAGACGAAATTAGAATTGAAATTTATCGGTTTTTGTTCAGAGGTTCCTGTTTATTAATATTTTTAAAATTTAATTATTCACAGGTTTACTTGTTCTTTGCTTTGCAGTGACATATTAAACCACATTTTCGTTACAGGTGTACGACGAACTAACTCAACTTATCAAAGATTACACGCAAGTTGTAATAAGAACCTCAGACGATATGAAAGTGGCACAACTTAAGCATGCAATTAATGTTAAAAATAATTAATTTCAAACTTTCTTTTCTTTATTAAAACATTTGTTTTTACTAAAAACGCCTTTTATTAAAAAATAAACATTATGACAACAACAATTGAAATAAATACTATTGACCGTCACCTTCCATTTCGCGTCAAATTAATTGTAGCAAACAAACATATTTGAACACAATATTATTGATATAATACCACCTTATTCCCTTTACCTACCCTATATTTAATTTGTTATGAATTGAGCAGCCTTCAGAAAAACTTAAAGTTACTGTCTTCCCTTTCCCTTTTGTATATTTATTTCACTCTACTAACCAAAACCCCGCATCCTGTTGATTACTGATTTGATGCAAAAAGATCTAAATCATTCGTCTTATCTGTTTCACGTGCATATCTACGTTAATGCGATATGCCAATAAATGTTTATTAATTTTGTAATGTATCCTCGCATCGATTTCTGATATTAAAGAGATTAATTAAGTACAGGACGCACTACTATATACATAGATTCAAAGATAATTTTCGAATAATTTTGATTTTTATCGTACGCGTGACGTAAACCTCCATTTGTTCGTAAGTATCTGTTAAATTTCGCAAGTAAATTCAAGTTTGATGACTTTACGTTCGATGTTAGCACTTGTTTTGTATTTGCAAAAACAATATCGTAAATCATATCTATTTGAACATCCGGTCGGTTAGGATTCAACTTACATTAGTTATTTAAAACCAATATAACTGAATTTGCGTAGGAAACTCATTCACCACATTATGCATACAGCGATTACACAATACGTCTTTAGAAATCGTATTACTTGATATTACAATACTATAGAGTGAGTACTACGAATTAGTCATTATGAATATTTTTGGAAGATTTTCTAAATAGAACTTATATACTAATCTTTGACACCCATAAAACAAAGAGATAATAAGCCCTCTTTACACAGTCACTCTATCGCGCGTGATCAGGAGCGTACAGGATTCGCGAAAAATCCTGCACGCGCAACCGTGCGCGATTACTTGTTTGGAGTTTTTCAATTTTGTCGTGTTTGTTTTTGTTACAATCGAAAGAGCGTCCGTGTAAAGGCTAATTAATAGCGCAGGATAGACCGCGTGAAACTGGCGCGTGTTGAAGTGAGCGATGCTGGCGCGTGTTGAAGTGAGCGATGCGCGCGCGTCTGATGACCGCAATCGCGCGATCTTACCCTTTTCTTTCCAAGTTCTTTACACGCGCGCACCATTGCTCCTGCCCTCAGAACGAAAAAAGGCACAACTGCTGTATGAAGTACGCATAGTTGTGCCTTTTTTCGTTACGAGGGCAGTGTATCACGCGCGATAGAGGGTTTGTGTAAAGCTCGCTAATAATACACTTAGTCAATTAATGATAATAGTCCGCATAATTATCCTCTTAATTACTATTATAATTAATGAATTCATTTAATTATATGCCAATGACCAGAGTAGGTTGAACTATTAAGGGTAAATGACCTCAAACGCTATGTATAATATGGATATGACTAGGGATTCTGGTGTTAATTATTTGTGTTGGCTGTTTTTGTTCCCAAGACTCAAAACGTACACTCGCAAATCACAGAACAATTCTTTGTGCATTATTCGAAAATAATAAGATAAATTTGAGTTGACATTTTTAGGAGATAATGTAAAATTTCTGTTCAAATAACAACTATGGTAAAAAATATCAATTCTGGTTTTTAATGACTAGTCGTTGCAATATTTACACCAATGCAATTTAATGTGTAATCATTCATCAACCTAAAGCAATTGGCACATTCTAAGGGTCGAGTTACACTGAAAGAGCAGAGGCGCGCAGCGGCCGGAGGGGCTAGCGCGGTGCCTCTTTGAACTAGGCGCTACAAGTCTCGTGACTGCTCGCGGTGACGCACTATACATTCTATCACTTCAAATCAATTTGAACTTTTTTACTTAAAAGATAAGATTCCAAATGCGAACTAGTACTTTGCACCAAAGTGCTCCTTCGGACGCTGCCCTTTCAGTGTGACTTCACCCTTATATTGATCATCACCAAATGTTTAAAACAACGGCGCAATCTAAGTATAAACACAAAAATGGCTCATTTGTAAATGAGACATGCATGCTTATTGCATGCTAGACACATAACCACACTAATTTAATTTGATGTAGTGGATTATTGTTGAAACTGGTGTAGTTTTGGTAAGTAGTACAAAAATAAATAAAAAATACAATAACTTTTAAAATACTGATTTCCGCGGAATTATTGTTTACTTAAAATGGGTTGTTGGACGTTCCTGTTCCTAAAAAAAATGTTTGCTTAATGGGTTGTTGGAGGTTCCTGTTCCTAAAAAAAATGTTTGCACAACTTTCCTCATATTGTTACATTCTTAAAAATGGCATATTATGAACAAGTTACAAATAGCAAAAATAGTTCTACCTACTTCAGTCATGATAATACATACATTAATAATGTTATATTAATTATAATGAATTGGTTTTATCATATCGTTTTGCAGATAAACCAACGATAAATAAATGTACTGTTATATTTATTATACATATTTGTGTTATATAATATATATATGAAATTTTACTTTACCAAGACCAGAGTTTTATAAAAAAACAAATATAGGATTACAAGGGGAACTGCCTCAATGTTATAGGATTGCTATCTATCACATGAGGAACTTTTAGTCAAAACAACACTAAAACTAAATATCACAACACCATCCTATTAATGCCTAAGATGTACATACCATACCCATAATCTTAACCTAGCGCTGATTTAGTATTCTGTACTACTAACTTTTGGAGAAAATACCTTAAGAGGCCTTTGGAGTGCCGAGGTCGCTCCCAGAAGGGTGTCAAGGTTTTTGGAGGAGCTTGGTTGGCACGAGTAGGACCCTGCACCTGCACTACATGCAAAATAGGCGCATGGACGTCGAATTGCGGACAACGGCCCGTTATACTATACCTTACCCTAAGAGTCAATACTACCTCAGTTTAAATTCAAATTTTTCCCCTACTAATACAGTTCATTTTGCTTAGGTCGAGTGGCAGGGACAGTGGCTTTATTTTTTTACAAATGAAATTAAAGCCATTTGAAATATGTATATCATATAGTATAAGTGTTCTATTTTGTTTACTTGATATTAAAAAAAATCATCAGTTTTCTTCTAAAATTACGAGGTACGTTTGTGATTTTTTCTTTCGTGAACATTTTTAGGAATCATGTTTTCACATATAGTAATCATTGTATATCCTCAATTTTACCATATAATTTTTTCCAATGTATTTGATTCAACACTTTCACTGTTATGCAGAATCAACCATTTGAGGTAGTATAGACTCATAAGACAAAATGCAAGTGAGTATAGAGATAACTTAAATAAAACTTGGCTGTCATTGCAGGCTGATAAAAATAGTCTGGCATTATGAATATTAAAATTATTCTCATTATTATACATTTTAAAACACATACACGTCATTATGATTATCGTTTGGTCATTCTTACTCTCATAATAGTCAATACCAAACGGACAAGTTTTTCATAGATCAAAAACATGAGAGCTGCCGTCATTACAGTCTGGAGAAGCTTGGCTTCCAGACCCCTGAACAAAGTAGATGGTTTGTCCTTTACGTCCTTAACAAGAGGCTTCAGACCTGTACCAGCACGAAGTCTGGATTGCACTAACTGGATAGGATATGTCACAGTTGTAGCAATCGCTTTAGCGACAGCACCTGCTAGGAATGCTGTGTACGTATCAAACTGGCCTTTAGAGGTCATGTTTCTCTTCAAAGATTCATATACCATGAATTGTATGGCTGGGTTTGTGACAAGAAGAAGAGAAGGAATTGTGCCCGACCACAGGCCCTTTGCTCCTTCCTTTCTATAAAGTTGATACAGTCCTTGGAACAAGTTTGTGTATGTGTTTGTTTGCATCTTCATTCTAGTATTAACCACCCAGAGTGGAGAAGTGATGAGCACATTGATGCTGCCAGCAATTATACCAAACATGAGATCTTGCAATGCAGATGGTTTTGTAGAGAGAACTTTACGTAGAGAGTGGAATGAATAGAAATAAACAAAGTTTGATACTGAGAGTGACTGCAGCACGGGTGTTAAGCCACGATAGAGTGACTCTATACCTTCTTCATTTGCTAGTCTCAAGAGCAGCTCCCATGATGAGCCTTGGAGTTTCTTTGAATCTTCAACTGAATAAAACAAAAAAACAAGTAATGAAGTAAAGATTTTTGTCAACACCAGCATAAGTAACGAGTTTTTTTAATTAGGTACCTTGAATTCTTGTTCTTATAGTATCCAAAGGGTAAAATGCTGTCATGCCCACCACACTGCCCTGAAAGTAAAAAAGTGTATTATTCAGCAGTACAAAGTAAATGTGCTATAATAATTATGTTTAGACGTGTGCTGGTTCATGTGAATTTATTAGTATCATTATGTATATTAAATACTGCGTTCATTAATAAATAATAATGCTTAATATATTGAGATGTTTAGACTTACCGTAGCCCCGGCTAGAGCGTGTACTAGAGTTTCATAACTAAACAGTGAAGAAGCCATTTTACTATATTAAAATTAACGAGTCATCTATATTTGGCTAGCCCCACATGACTTTTGAACTAGCACGCAAGTGATTCAAGGATTATTTAATTTGACCACTATTTGATTAAAAGATAAATACATATTGACATTCGACTTGACATTTCTAAATTTTTTTTTTAATTTATTAAGGCTTTGGGATTCGCTCTGGACCTTTTGGAGGGAAAAGTGTCGTTTTTATTTTGATTTCAATTATTTTGTGAAATCTAGTTTAAAGTGGAATTGGATAGTGCTATTGTGCCTTAATCGAAGATTAAAACGCGAAATTATACAAATCTTGAACTAAAATACACGTATCGGCCCGTTTTAAGGAATCCCGAGTCAATCCAAGCACGCCGCCTCAAATTGCCTATCCTCTTTGTGGCGGCCATATTTACAGAAACATATTTAAGCTTCATGTTTAGGCTGATGGCTTTGCCAAAGCCTTAATAAATTTAAAAAAATTAAGGCTTTGGCAAAGCCATCAGCCTAAACAACTTTAAACTAGATTTCACAAAATAATTGAAAGTCAAAATAAAAACGCTTAGACTATAGAAACTTTTCCATCCTCTAAGTAAAAACGACACTTTTCCCTCCAAAAGGTCCAGAGCGAATCTCTGACATTTCTAAATGCATGGAATTAATAAGTACTTCGTTGTACGAAGTAAAAGAAATGTGAGTCGTATATTTTTTTTTATTGAGTATTGGCTATAGAGCCATCAAATTCAACAATCAACAAACATTTTTTGAAACCCAAAACGTGTTAATTCATTGGCTAAATGCGAAGACAAAGCCATTATTATATATAAAAAAAATATTATACTCAATAGAAAAAAAAAGTTTGAAAGATAAATCTAATCTAATTTTTGAATAAATCTTAATAAAGATGTGTTTCTATTTTAATCTTTTTCTCTTGTTACCGATTTGACCGTTTCTTCTTCCTCCAACAACTCTTCACATGTTCAATCTTTATATGTTCGTGTTAAATAAATCAATAAAAATTAAATAAAATGCTTATTTCAGTAACACAATTAACTTTACATTAACAGTGGATGGTACCTCCTATTAAGCTTATCAAGCCTGTGAGGAGGCTCCGCTCTTCCATAGCCATAAATGCATATTTAACTCGTACTTAACGTAGTGTTTAATTTTTACATTTCCTTTCATTAGAGTTCCTTTACCTACCCGTGTGTCATGCCTCCTTATGTATCCTATTCTCAAAATTTATTACATTCATTTATTATTACATACAAATAATATAAAAATTTAGTCCTTGTATTTATTTATTTTGTGTAATTTATGTATATAATTCAAATTATAATATTTCTTTTATAATATATTAATTCCTTCCAAACTTAGCTCTCTTCCCTTTCTTTTTGGTTTTCCTCCCGTCCGTTTTCTAACCTTTTACTTTGACGTTGGCACAAAGTTTATGTAGTGCCATTATTAAAAAAAAAAATTGTGGACTATAAAATTTTCATTTAATTGAAGTTCAATCAAGATATCACAAACTACTAATAACAAGATATCAAATTAAAATTAAGCTCAAAAAGTATTATTGAGCTTTAATTTCAGATTTTAACTGATTAATAATATATCAAAGAGTAGAGTACATTTATTAGGGAAAATAATATTTAATAAAAGATCAAACAAAAGTACTGTTATCTCTGTTAAGATGCGGGTGTTTATGGCAGAAGATAATCTTTGTGCACAAAATCTGTTGAAATTGGTTTCCCACGGAAATGCTATCATAGCAGAAATCCTGAGGTTGAAAGACCACAAGCCTGTGGAATATTCGTAAGTACTTTTTACCTAATTTCATAGATAAAAAGTAAACTGCTAGTCTTTTTAAAAGGCTGTTGAATTAGGTAAATCCATTAGTAATTTAGAATTTATATATTTTAATTTTCTGTTTTAGATTGGGCAACAAAGACTTGCAACTGAAGTATCAAGATGTCATCATGGACTTCAGCTACTTCAAAATTTCTGATGCACAAGAAAAGAAAATTTCCTTGAATTCAGTAATTATATTTGTCTATAAGTCCACAAGCTCATAAATTATAACCAAGTACTCCTGCACCTGTGCTATAGAAACAGTATTTACATTAATTATTTAAACAAAACATTATTTGTACTGTACCAAAGGGGGCACTATGAAACTGGACATCAAACAACAGCTGTAGAAGAAAAAGTATAAAGAAACAAAGTTTTATTCAAGTTAATTTTATATATTGTAACAGTTTTGTAAACTTTATTGTACATCAATCAGACAAAGGGAACTTTAAAATCCATGCACTTTTATAACAGTCCAGCATATTTTACACACTGGACAATTAAAAATGTATCCAAATATCATTATTGTCGCTCTCATTCTTGTCTACTTTTAAGTCAAATAGTTACTTTAAGCTAAACATTTACTTGAAATGTAACAATTAGATGGTGATAGTAGTGATGATGACGGTGGTGACGATGATGATGGTGGTGATGATGACGACGTTGATTGTAGTGATGATGACGATCATTGTGATGATGATGTGAATGGTAATGATGCTGATGTTGACGGTGGTGATGATGATATATTGATGTACAACAAAGTTTATATGACATTAACAAAATACTTTAGATTTATTTATTAATTACATATAGATAGATGGTCTTACATGGATGAGAAGGATTTTGATACAAGAAGTTATATTAAAATATTGGTTACACATTAAATGTTCTTTTGTGAATGATAAAATGTGTGTTGTAATAATAATTTTTCATTACTGTGCCGTCTTTCTCATTTATGTTTATGAGAAAATCATTCACCCGCGACACAGGGTTTCCCTAGTGCGGGGCTATGTTGAGTGTGTGCGTTATTATATTATTATTATATTATATTCATGTTTCTGCAATGTCATTCATGTGACCTAAAATATCGTTTTTTGTTGTATTTAACTTAAATATGTCTGTGATTTTATAATTATTGACATTGCTTGAACTTCGTCGTAAACCAAAAGAAAAAAGGGTTTTACAAAAACCACTCAAAAAGTGCCATTGAAATTCGGAAAGTGAAATTCACCCCAATACGATATGAATTAATGAAAAAAGAAAAAAAATATTTTTTTCATGTCCCTCCTTTTGTTCAGTCTGACTGAAATTATTGTCTGTTAACTGAACTGTACAAAGTTAACCAAAATATTTTATGACAACCTTTTTTTAGATATATCCTTTTTTTAACAGAAACTTCAAGACCTTGATGATGATCTAAAAGAGAAATATCTAGAGCTAATAACTCGTTTCTACCTCCTGTTTGAGAACATCTATCAATATATAGTGGATTTGAACTCCTTTGTTGAACAGTTGAATGAAGGAATCTTCATACAACAGAACATTGAAACTGTCATGAGAGATGTTGAGGGAAAGCAGTTATTGGTGAGTTGAAAAGAAATATCGTGGGATTGATATAAAGATAGTATGTTAATCTTTAAGACAAGTCTCTGATACTGGTACATATAAACATCCTGTATTAATTTAATCATTTTTATATCTTGTCTTTTCATATTTGCAGTCTGAATCTTTATACTTATATGGTGCGATGTTGCTAATTTGCGATCTCTTCATTCCTGGCCCAATCAGAGAGAGGTTATTAGTAGCTTTTTATAGATACAGCACTAGTCAATCACAGTCCAATGTGGACGATGTATGCAAATTGCTTCGCGATACTGGTTATGATCAGCTACATGGAAAAAGGCCCAATGACTATCCTGTGGAGTATTTTAGGTATATTTTCATAGTTCTATTTTTAAGTTGTGGTTTCTAAGTTTCTGACTTATAAAAATTAACAATTTCCTTTAATCTCATTCAGTCGCGTTAGCATTCGCCCAGACTTCGTAGATAAAATAATAGGAAAATTAAGATCTGAAGATATTTACAACCAGTTGGCTATATATACGATTCCTGAACACCAAGCATCCGCACTGGCGACACAAGCAAGCATGCTCATTGTATGCCTGTTTTTTATTCCACATTGTCTACATACAGATACATCAAAAATGCGAGAGATTGTAGACAAATTTTTGCCTACTAACTGGATCATTCCAATTTACATGGGAGTTACAATCAACATAGTAGATTATTGGGAAAATTTCAAAGCTGCTAAGCAAGCAATCAGTAATGTATGCAACAGTAAGATGGTCAAAGAAGTATTTTCCAAGCGAGGAGAGTCTGTGCAAATGCTTATTAATAAGACTCATCAACTGTTGAAAGAAGGAACACTTAGTGAAGATTTTGTGATGGATAATATTAACAAAATTTTAAATCTCCTCTTGAATTCTAATTTAGTCATAAGATGGTTGCTACTACATAATAGTGACGTCATATTCTTCGATAACAATAAGAGAAGCAAACAATTGAAAGAATTAGTTTTGAAGGAATCAAACTATGATCCAGTAAAATTACTGGAACTACTGATAAGTACTGCTGAATTAGAGTTGAAAGTTAGAGAAATATTAAACAAACTGCTAGAAAGCAGAAATGAAGTGTGGAATAGTAATAAAGCTCTTGCTTTAGAAGGTGTAAACAGTCTTTCTGAACTATTTTCTGGAGCTAAACCAGTAACCAAAGTCCAGGAAAATGAACAACTGAAACTGTGGTTCGATAACATTGCAAAACAAATATCGTCTCTAAATGAACCCATTACAAGTAAATCGATAAAAAAGATCACTCAACTTTTGCAAGCTTTGGACGAAGTTGAAGAATTTCACGGAATAAAAAGCACTTCTACTATCGTACAGTTCCTCTGTGAAAGCAAAGATGCGTTGAAGAATTTACTAAGAGCCGCATCTTTAAAAGAAGATTTCTTGGTAACTTTGGAAACTATAGCGGACGTTAGTTACGCGTGGTGTACTTTCGATTTATATACGAAGTACATGCAAGATAGTATCAAGGAAAATCCAGCTATAACAAGCAGGCTTAGGGCTCTCTTTTTAAAACTAGCCAGTGCTATGGAAATACCTTTGCTTAGAATCAATCAAGCTCACAGTGATGACTTAGTTTCAGTCTCTCAATACTATAGTAATGAGCTGATTAAGTATATACAGAAAGTACTACAGATAATTCCAGAAATGGTATTTAGTATAGTAGAGAAGATTATTGACTTGCAGACGTGGACAATCAAGGAAGTTCCGACGAGATTGGAGAAGGATAAGTTAAGAGAGTTTGCACAGTTGGATGATAGAATGGAAGTAGCTAGATTAACGCATTCTGCGTCCACGTTTACTACGGGTAATGTGTAATATAATTCCAGTCTTAGTATTTTAATGAATCATTCATAGTAACTAAAAGATTTGCATTTATATTTTCAGGAATATTGGACATGAGGTCGACGTTAGTAGGAGTAATAAGAGTAGATCCAGCAGAATTGTTAGAGGAAGGTCTGTTAAAGGAATTAGACAAGCACATAAGCAAGAAGTTCGTGGAGTTTTTAGAGCCGCAGCAAAAGAAATCTGTAGCAGCGTCAAACAACTTACTGCCACGATTGCAAAAATTAGCAGAGAGTATGGATGGTTACAAAAGATCTTTGGAATATATTCAAGACTACATTAATATTCACGGGTTGCGAATTTGGCAGAAACAGGTACTTACAAAAAGCGACAGTCGCCTTTAATTATCCTATCTGCTATTCTACTTTAGCAATTGTTCACAAATTTATTGTGCAGGTCTCTACAATAATAAACGAAAGCGTCGCTAAAGAAATTAGTTTACGTAAAGGAGTAACTCTGTACAGTCCTTCAGCTGGTTTTATGGGCAGTCTTGCTAGACAGATTGCGCTACTAACTGATGCAAGGTATGTATAGACACTTGGTAACTTGGTAGGACAATTGGTAACAGTATGATCGCATCATAAGTGTATGATCGCATCATAAGTGTATGATGCGATCATACACTTATGATGATCATGATGTGTACCTAGTGAGGTCCATTGAATTACAAAGGCTAGATTATAAAAATGTTTGTGAAGATATAAGACAAGTAGAGTAACTCCATACAAACTTAGGTAACAGTGAGCCTTATATGTGTGCGCGCCTGCCGCGCGCTGTATATGGTCGCACACGTACGCATATTCTTACAGTGCAGTCACGTTGCATAGCGTGGGTTGTTCCACGCTTTGTACATTATAGAATTAGATAAAATTGAAGCGTTTGCTCGGTTTAAAAAACGATATAAAATATTCGACGTGTTTATTGTTCTGTTTATGGTGTTTGAACAAGAGTGACTCAAATTCAGAATTATTCAGCTTTTCATTTTTATATCATATTCATACTTCCATAATCGAGATACCTATCCGCGATGCTGGTATAAAATATCAATACATACATAATTACTGCATTTACCAAAGGTTATTTTAATCTAGCATGAAAATACTGTAATGAACACCTTAATTTTTTGTAGTTATGTTTACAACCTGTAGGTACAACTAAAATAATGTGACAACCCTACGCTCACAGCGAAACACTTCGCCTACACAGGCATTGATGCACCGAACAAGCGGAAGTTGCCCTACTTGTGTTATTGTACTATCGTACAAAGTTACGTTAGGGTTGGTTATTTTTATGTCAATTCCAGGTCATGCACTTACGTTAATATCTGCGCAGCGTGGTTTGATGTTAAAACCCAAAATGAAATCGTTAACACTAAAACCTTCGCAAAACTGAATGAAGCAATTGGTGTCGTGGGTCTTCATGGACTCGATACTTTATACGCCTTTATGATTAAAAATCAATTGCAAAATGTCCAACAAGTTTTTCGCAGTGGTCATGACAAGGTGATATTAAGAAATTTGAATATTGATGTGAAGGATTTGGAGCAAGTCATTGTTAAAAGCCACAAAACTATGCATCAACTATCAGAAGCTACTGTTCTCATCGGGAGTCTACAACTCTTGAGAAAGCATATTGCTTATCAGTTGAACACGAGCTGCAAATTTGACTCTGCACATTTGGAAGCTTCATTGAGAACAATGAATGAGTAAGTATGGCAGTTGCTATTATCACATATTGACATATAAATTGACTGGGACTGCAAGCTTATGATATTATTTTTCAGAGCCTTGATAAATGAATTAAAAAAGTCAACCAATTGTGAAGAGAAACCTAAGTTATCATCTGTGTTGATGCACAATTTGGAAGAATATTTAGTGCGATGTGGCATATACGAGCCTTTTGAAAAGATTTACGTTAAGAACGCACAGGAGTTCCTGAATGCAGACATGGGCCGAATTATGGCTGTGTTTTTAATATCTCAGTTGCCCAAGTTTCAGATATGTTACACCACAGGTGAGTTATGCACAGTTGATTAAGTATAATAGAAATGTACTGCGTAATGGTAATGCGTTCAGGATAATGATAAAGATCGAAGATATGATGTTATTACTTATGAATTTTACGAATGCAAAGACTATTTAAGGAAACAGTGTTCAGGCATTGTAAACGTTAGATAAATCTTGAAATAAACTTTAATTGGAATCAATTAGCAATTTTGTCGTCATTTTAGGAGACCTGATGACTAAAAAAGCTGGCGAAAATATAGATGGGTATCCACTTCTTGTGGGAGTTTACACAGTATTGAGACAGTGTAAGACTGAAAATATCGAAATGTTTGTCAACTTCCTGAGCAACTATGCAAAAATTGCTACACTTTCAAAGTAAGTAAAAATAGAGGTTTGGCAGGTATTATATCTAATAAAAGTATTTCATTGTAGAGGATTATTGATAACATGCCATAAGCAAAATTGACAAAGCAAACTTATCTCTCTGGTGATATCAAACATCAACAAAGTGGATTGGCTTCAAAACATAGCTTTATTCATATTGCTAACACTACTTTATTTGTAGTTAAATGTTTGGTGTAATATTCATATGATAACTTTTGTGTACTATTATTATTCCAGATCAAGGTCCTCAGAAGGAACAAATGAAGGTGCTTTAATCGTAAGGATTTTGGAGCTCTTTTGCGAAACGTTCAATGTGCCTTTTGGACAGATGGAAGATAAACTTCCTTTAGTTATACTGACACACTCTGTACAAAAGTGATATATGTATATGAGACTTCGTATACGCATCTATGAGGTAGTAATAAACAATATAAATAATTGTATTGTTCCCAATGAAGTTCATTGATTAATAAAACTATACTGTAAAGGTCATTACAATGTAATATTATGTGTAAACATGAATTATAATGTAAATAAAATCTATGTTGTTTACATTGTTTCCATTTTTACTACCTATAGTTTTGTCTTGCCAATTCTGGATTAAATTGAGAATTATATTTGGGTTTCACTTTGTTAACTGGCTCGTGAGATGCCTTACTAGTTGTAGGGTTAAGTCCAGTTAAGAATATTTCAGTTCTTTGTTTCTCCTGATGTTCTCTTTTTAATCTCGCTTCTCTTAATTTCTGCAGTTTTTTTTCTTTATCCTCTTTATCTTTGTCCTGCTTCTTTTTCTTTTTTTTATCTTTACCATGCTTTTGTTTAGCGCACTCTTCTATCATGTTTATATTACTACTTATAGTAGTTGCTTCTGGTTTAGCTACCTTAGAGACAGTTTTACTTTCTGAACAGGATTTTCTAAATGCATTTATTGGATCTAACCTTTGTTTTGCTTTCCAAGATACTTCACCATTTATTATGTCCAATTCTTTTGTTTTTGGTTTCCCATCTGCATCTTTTAATACAAGTTTATCATAAGTGTCTTTGATCTCATCTGTTCTGGAAAATCTTGAATTATCAGGCGGTACCTCATACCAGTTTTTCTTTTTTAGAGCCTCATTTGTATCTTGTCCTAAATAGGTTAAATATCCAATTTTTTTTTCATATTCTTCTTTTTTTACTTTCGCTTCTTGGTCGTGTTCCTTGTTAGTAGTTTTCACGGCGTGTGCTAGATCCTCAAATAGGTTAATGTGTTTTGAGATTGTGTGTTCTGTAGGTGTTGGGCCAGGTTCAGTTGTTGCTATGCCAGCTTCCTCAAGTTTTTGTTTGCTTCTTTTCTTTAGGATACTGAGCCGAGCTTCCCGATCTGCAATGTCAGTCCTAAGCCTTTCCTGTCTCTCTTTTTCTGCAGCTTCCGCCTCGTCTTTTCTTACGCGAGCTATGTTCTCCTTCGTCCTGACGTGCCATCTGAAATAGATTTTTGCCTATTATTAAGTCTTATTCTCGTTTATTATGCATTTTAACAGAAAAATATAAGATAATATCAGAAGTATGACTAGCTTGAAGTAGATCAGAGACTACAATGTGAAGGTTTTAGATGTAATGTTAGAGCAGAGTTCAGGTTTTCGTAACATTATAACAGGATTACCTTTTCTTAGGTAAGATATTCATAGTTTCCACTCTATAATAATCCCATCACTCTTCAAAATTGAAGAAAAAAAATAGATACTATTATTTCCCTCAAAGAAAAATAATGGAACTTGGAAATCTCATGACAAAAAAAACATGGGAACTGAGTGAGAATTTCAGTGGGAAATTGTGACGTCTCTCAACTAAGTATAAAAATTAAGAGAGAGATAATACATCTTTTGTCTTCGATTATTCTAATTCATTTCTTTTTATTTCTTAGCTCTGTAAAAAAAGCACGTCTAGTGCTGCCCTAAAAAATAAACCATGTTTTGGTAGTATTTGGCAACACTCAAATTCGCATTTGAATTAGACGTGACAACAGCGTAACGATAACGACTTACGATAATTCTAAAGTTGTATAAAATTTTCTAAAATTTACCGTTCATTTGGTAATTTCGACGTGTTACTTACTGTTTCAAATTAAAAACACGATAAAATTTCAATGAATTTCTACTTGGTGCAAATTTTTTTTTTATGGTTTTCAGTGTCGTGATGGTGTCGTGCGTCAAAAAACGTCTAATGTAAAGCGATGTGTAATGGACGCGAGAAAAAGTGGAACGCTGTCGTTTTTTCCGTCGAAAAACCTGTGAAATTTAACTTACTTCTTATAGTAAACGTGTAAATGTAAATATATAATGTAAACCATTTGTGTAATAAGTGTATCAAAGGTTTTTGTTATTTTTATTTCGTTTATTTGTTGCATAGGTTATCCTTTGCAAAGTGTAACAACATTGGACCTTTATAAAATGGAAGCTGTAGATGAACTGGCTCATCAATCGAGTGTAGAAGTGTTGAAAGCAAGTGTTGGAAATGATGAAGAGCCGGTGACCGCACTGGAAGCGAGTTTGTGCCTCACATCAAACGGAGTCGCCGATTCCGCGGTGAATCCACTGCAGAATGCTGACGCCGTATACTACGTCTCTACCTCTGAGGCGACAGTATCTCAAGAGCTTCAAAATATTAGGGAGGCTTCCCCGACCACACAGGTAATCAGTGACTCTCATATCACGGAATCATCGATTGTACCAGTAACTGCAGCCTTGCAACAAGAAGCAATGCTAGTGATGGAGACGACTGCTGCAGTCGAACATCTTCTAGGCGATGAAAAGTCGTCAGAAGTGATGACTTCTATGGAAGAAGTGGTTGAAAATGTCGAAGGGGCAACTTGTAATAAAAATGAGCTACAACTTGAAGGATCTGGAGTTGTAGGTGATATTGGTGACTCCAATGACACAGTTACATTTAAGACTGAAATTTTAGTAGAAAAGAATGACAATGATGTGGCACATGATACCAACAATGTAACTGCTGATGAAAATGACCATCCAAACAATATTCTGAATGAGTTAAGTCAAGGCATTGAATTAAGTGAAGCATTACGTTCCTCTGATACAATTGAAAACACAGAAAACAACAATTGTTCTGAGAGAGAGGAAATGTTCAATAAAGAGGAATTATTAGATATTTTAGAAGGAAATGATGTTAGCACATCTGGGAATGAGGATGTAGATATGGATAAAAAGAGTCTTGAAGCCCAAATAGCTATAAGGCAACTGAGCAGGTTGAAGCTTAAACATGGAAAGAGAGGAAAGGATAGATATTTGTCGACACCAAGGAGATCTAGAGTGGCACGAAAGCGAGAGAGTGGCAAAAATGTTGAGTCTGCAAGTGAAAATGATAAAGAAGACGATAATGGGGACATTCAAAATTGTAAAACTAGTGACAAAGGCTCTGAAGCCTTACAAGCAGATGAAAACAGCATATCTGTACAAAGCAAAGATAATGATAGCATAAATAAAGATGACAGCAAAAATAATGACAGTATAGTCAATTCTTTGGTTAAAGATTGGGATGATGATGAACCCGTAGAGAATGAGCAAGCCAGTAAGGTATTAATGAACACAGACAGTTTATTAAAGGCTGATGAAATAGTAAATACACAGGAAGTGGTTGCTAATGAAGAAACGGTAACTACAACTGCTGTAGATAATAGTATAACTCAGTCAGCAAATGTAAACAAAAGCAGTGATGAAACACAGCCACGTAGGTTAGGTAGGGTTATAAAGAAAAAAATTATATTTGATCCGGATAATCCTGACACATTCACAAAGGGTAAAGCAGTTAGTAAAACAAAAGATGCCCATGTGGAAAAAGAGCACCCACCAAAAAAAATTAAATCCGAGCATCAACCTCTGAGATCAAAATCTCCTGTAGCTAAATCGCCGTGGAAGAAACCAACTCCTAAAAATAATAGCAAACAAAATAAAAGACTAACAGAAGTTGATAAGCTACTAATGGATGAAGGAGCAGTAAACATGATTTATCAACTCACACCAGAGGCCCCTAAAGGCAGAAAAAATATGAAGACCAAAGCTGAATTCATAAAGAAAGTGCAAAGTTCAACACCTGAAGGTAAAGAAATGAAATTCCGAGAAAGAAAAAAGGAATCAAAATTTGAGGAAACTGAAGCTAAAAGAATTCTAGGAGGTAAACAAAGAACATCATTGAGCAGCTCTGTCAAGTCTCCATCAGTTTGTGAAGACTTTGAGACTCATAGTGCTGATGATTCTATTATTTATCGACGTCATTCTTCCAGCTCGTATTCTAGTAGTTGTATGAGCCCGCGCCGTCTGAGCGACGGTGACGCTGGCGTCACACAGAACGCTGCACGCCTTTCACAACATGTTGATAGAGGTTCTGACAATCATGATGTTGGTGGAGATCAAAATACGGATATCTTCATGGCTGATACCAGTGCTGAAATAATCAACAAGGATGACTGTTTGTCCATTAAAGAGAAGTTGAATTCCAAATTGTCACAAGTATTAAACAAAAGAAAACGAGAAAATAACAAGACTGAGAAGCCAGCCAAGCAGAAGAAGATATCCAAAACTCAAGAGAAGAGTGATAATTTAATTGTAGAGAAGATGGATGTTATCAAGCACATTTCAATTACTGTGGATCAGAGAGTGGCCGAAATTTGCATCAGAGGAACCGGGTCCACTGTGGAGGTACATTTGAAATTACGCGTATTCATATGATGTAAATAGAATTAAAGATTCTAAAATACATTTCTTATTGCAGATGTTCAAAGAACTGGACCAAGCGCTGCAGTACATTGATAGTAGAAAAGACACGTTTGTTACTCTATTGACATCAGAAAGTGGTACATTATGTTCTAAATTAGAGTTACGCCCTCTGCTAGATGATAACTTGGAGAGGAGAACGAATAACGCGTACGAATTTGCAGAATCAATCAGGTAGTAATATGCTTTATAATCATGGTAGATCTACAATACTTGACAGATTTCACATCTTTGTGTTTGTTCAGAGATCACGTTAAGCGCCGGTTTGGCGACGAGTGGTTTAACCGTTTATTGCTATTTCCATGTCATATATTGTTGTTTTTTGTTACCACCGGTAGAGCGGTGCTGTGCAGTGTATGGCGACACAGCAAGTTGGTGGTGAGCGGTGTGTGGGGGCCGTGCCATGGGGTTGCGCCGGCGCTACTTGCGCTTAGCGACGTGTCGTTGGCCGAGAACCACGCCACTATAGGCATGGACACTTCGCCACCAATGCCTGCAGCCGCTGTTATCAAATCATGCCGTCGACTTTCTCACTCTTTGGTAAGTGACTTTGTGTTATATAGGACTAAATGTAAGCTAAAAACATTGACTTACAAATAAATGGACGACGACGGGTCTAATACAAAAACCACGAAAAAAATGTCCCAAGTCAACCTATTCGAAATTTAAATTGTAATGTCATCGCAGTATCGCGCTGTCAGTCGAACAAATGAAGACTAAAGCGGAGTTTGGCGCTCTGTATAGGATTTAGCGCCTTACAAGTGCGGACACTTTTTAGCGCGGACCCGACGTCCATATAATTGTAAGTCAATGGCTAAAAAGGATCGTTTGGCGTTCTTTTTGATCAGTTTCCTAGACAAAATTTAAATTTTTCGCACTACATGAAGAATTATACAAAAGTACATAAAATTTTTACTTTGTATATACTTAGTCTGGCCATAAATACTGTTACACTTAAAAATAAAAAAATATTACATTTGAATTTCGAATCTGTCATTTTTATACTATTGTTCATTGTGTTTTCTCATTTTGGCGCCAATACATTGTACAATATTTTGCGATATTAAAATGGAGTGGGGTGATAAAGAGAACCGAATTGCTGTGATTGCATTACACAAAGTAGGTATGGAGCCAAATGCAATTTTTAAAACTTCTTACACGTGGTATTAGTAAAATGTTTGTGTACCGGGCTATTAATAGGTACAATGAGACTTCCTCTGTTTGTGACAGAAAAAGATCTGGCCGTCCACGTAGTGTTCGTACGAAATAGGTGGTCAAAGCAGTAAGGGAAAGAATTCGAAGAAATCCTGTCCGAAAGCAAAAGATTTTATCTCGGGAAATGGAGATAGCACCTAGAACCATGTCGCGTATTTTAAAAGATGACTTAGGACTTGCAGCCTATAAGAGACGCACTGGTCATTTCTCAACTGATAATTTAAAGAAGAATAGGGTGGTAAAATCGAAACAACTACTGAAGCGGTACGCAAAGGGAGGTCACAGAAAAATTTTGTTTACGGATGAGAAAATTTTTACAATTGAGCAACATTTTAACAAACAAAATGACCGTATTTATGCTCAAAGCTCTAAGGAAGCTTCCCAATTAGTCGATAGAGTGCAACGTGGACATTATCCGACTTCAGTGATGGTTTGGTGGGGTGTTAGCTATGAAGGAGTGACTGAGCCATATTTTTGTGAAAAAGGTATCAAAACATCGGCACAAGTGTATCAAGATACCATTCTTGAGAAGGTAGTTAAGCCCCTTAACATCACCATGTTCAATAACCAAGTATGGTCCTTCCAGCAAGACTCGGCGCCGGGTCATAAAGCTCGGTCCACGCAGTCCAAGCGAACGTTTCGGACTTCATCAGAGCTAACTGGCCGTCGTCTAGTCCCGATCTTAATCCGCTGGATTATGATTTATGGTCAGTTTTAGAGAGTACAGCTTGCTCTAAACGCCATGATAATTTGGAGTCCCTAAAACAATCTATACGATTGGCAGTGAAGAATTTTCCCATGGAAAGAGTGCGTGCTTCTATTGATAACTGGCCTCAACGTTTAAAGGACTGTATTGCAGCCAATGGAGACCACTTCGAATAAGCTTTTTATATTTTTAATTGTTGTAGGTATATTTATGTATTAAACTAACACTATAAAAGTAATAAATGTTATTTGCAGTTAAAAAAATATTTTTTTTCTTTATTACAATATTTATGGCAAGACTAGGTATTTGAATTTGAATAATTCAAAGTACAATTATTGTTGTTGCTGTCTCGTGAGATAAATTATTTTATTTTTTCAAAAAAAGCTCATTACTTTCGTCTTCTATCTGTGACTAATATTATTTTTATTCACTGTAATTATTGTTTATTACTCATTCCCATTTTAATTTTTAATATCATTAATGCTTGTTTTATTTATCAACTAATTCAGATAAACGAGTTGGTGTTGTTCGGGCGCAATTTGTCTGCGGCTGAGGCGCAACTTGGCGGGCTGGTGGACCGCACACTGTGGCCAGGCGGTGCTGAACAAATACGCGCAGCTGCCAGGGATCTCGCCGCTCAACCTTCTCAAGTAAAACATCTCTATATTGTAGGGACAAAGAGTATAACCATGTATTATTGCGAGTACTGATTATTACGATACTATCAAAATATTTACTATCAAAAAATTACATTAGATCACTTAATGTTCATAATAATCCTCATAACTGTAAACGCCGGCAACACGCTGACAATAAGCACGCCATCCTTTACCCTTGTATAAAATTTCAGAGATTTCAAGATGCGTTATTCCTCCATTGTGTGCGCAAATGTGATTCCTAGGACACTGACAAGATTGATATAACGTGTAAAGATCGTGGCTAACGTTTCCACAGAAATCATCAGTTTTGCAGATAGGCAGTGATGTACATCGATAGGTCTGCACATCTTCAGAATCAGTTGTCCCGTTGTATTTCCAATAATTTGGCTCAGGGCATCGACATTTCAATGTTATTTTTGGAGGTGTCCATTGTAAATTTCTATGATGCATGCGTTCTAGTTCATCTGGATTCATGTTGTCCAAGTCTTTGTGTTTTTTCTCTATTGTTAAGGGAACATCGTAAATAGAGCAATACGGCCAATCCGTTACTGGTTGACAAAACTGCAATATTAAATGATATAGCTTAGGTACATATCATTCAAAACAGTTGATGAATGTCTTAGTAATTTACCTGGAAGTCAGCGCGGTTGTTGAGTGGTATTCTGTATTTGGAGGGAGCAGGAGTATCACATAGTGTTCGGCGCGCACATCTACAGAGACGAATCAGAGCAGAGGGACGCCAGTAGCGCTTTAGTAACGCTGAGCATGTTTGCCGCTCCGAGCACAGTGGTAGCTCGCGTTCGTTCTCCTCCTGTTTCATTGGTTTTGAATTATGTTTTAGGGAGTATTTCATTAATTAATGCAATATTTGGGTATTTGCTACATACGGTTTTGGGTTTGTTTACACGTGCAATACACAAGTTTGTGTTAAGTTTTAGTTTAAACAAGCATGTTAATTGAAAAATAAAGTACGTAATATAATAATAATATTGTTTTGTTGTCATTATTTATAAAAGAAGTGACAACTTCAACTGATAATTTTAATACTTACAATTCCATAATAGTATCGTATAGGCTGTTCATTTTTGTCGCTGGTTGCCTCGGTGGTTGCCACTCGGCAGTGCACTAGTAATAACAGCAATATGAAACCCCACATTATTATAAATTCCGCTGAAGACGCTCTCTGTACGAGTTCCATTAAACAGGTCGCAACCTACATCGATAAGATAACCCTGCATCGGTAGTATTAAAATCGTATTGCGATCTAAAATATTTTATACATATTATTTATAATATCGATTGATTTGCTGCCTTAGAAAATATATTCATGCTGTAAGGGATATTTGTTAAGCTGATAAAAATCTTTATTACTGAATTAGTCATAGTCATCATTACCTTAACCCAGAAGGTAGAAAATTTTGTGAGATGTTATGAGATAGTGGAAGCTGATGTTACAAGTCACAACAGACTACTTTAGTAATATAGATAATAAACTAGTGGGAAAAAATTACACTGGTTATCGATAATATATTTTGCTTATTTAATTTTTTTTGTTGGTAGTTATTACCGACGCCATCATGACTTGTACTCCAAATAAAATATCGACGATTCAATACGGGACAATCTCTATAACCCACGGTTTCGGTTGTTACAATTGTTGTCTTTTATTTGCAGAACCTGCTACTAAAGAAGCAGCTACTGAACTTAGACAGAAGCTGCGAATCGGGTACTACATTCCTGTCAAAACTCGAGAAAGAACGCGATATCCTGGTCGAGTATTGGACTTCTGTCGAAGGACAAGATGTCATCCGGGCGTCAGTTGACGCTTGAAGTGAAATGACCGAATTGAATGCCAAGCGCATTCCTGCAATTTATTTTATAACTGGCATTCACCTCCGCGAAATTTTTTGTTGGTTCTAATATATTTCTTACTTTATAACATACCTATAGGTATAATTTCGTTGGTTTCCGTGTCTTTTACTGTACCTGTTAAAAACTATTATTACACCTATGTTGTTATACATTTCACATTAATATCGTTTTATACACCATTTAGTGTTACGAATTTTTACAACTAGTGTACCGGAATATTGATGTTTTCGGTTGCCGAGATAAGAGATTAACGTTTATGATTATGTTGAAATTGTTGCATTCTTAAAATCTGCTTTACTTTTTGAACATTGGATTGACATGTTTGTATTCAAGAACGTTTTTTAAGTTATATCCGAAAGAACCCCATGTGGTGCAAAGTTGGGCAGTTTACAACCGTGCGTTTATTCGTAACTCGAATTTTATTCACAACTGTCCTGAAGTAGTTATTATTGCAGAAGTAGGTGTTGTTAGTTTAGTCATAGATTACTGTGTTATGTTATAGATGAAATTGTTTATCGTCTTTGTTTAGATGTTTATGAGTTTATAATTTTAGTTTAAGTATTGTTAGTTTCTATTTACAGCCAAAGTTTTTAACTGCACGATATCAAAAACGGAAAGAGACGACGACGTGTTACAATATGCACTGTGTTGGACGTTTGTTAAATTTTCATCTTCCGTTACTTTCTATTTTTGATATTTGAATATTGTGTCATTTTGGTAAGAAGACATTGCCTTATGTATGTATACCCATGCATTACATTGTAACTTAATTTTAATTAGCGTTCATTCCTTTCATAAATTGATTAAAATTTTAATTCTATCTTTACGAATTCTTCTAATAATTTAGTTATACAACATTATAGTTATTATATTTTTTAAGTTATATTCACATAAGCATAGCAATAATTTATTACATTTCGGTTTCCTACAATTCGGAATAACGTGCCTTTCATAATATTCTACATTTAACTTATACACTGTATTATGTAGTTTTATCCTATAGGTGCAATCAATTCCAAAATGGAAGTAAATAGATCGTATATAGAAATTGGGAAGAGCTTTTGTGTCAAATATTTAAATAATTTTGGCCACTTAGTACAAAATGTAAGAGTAGACTCAATTTCTAGCATGATAAAATTCGATTCTTGTTTAACACTATGATGTGAGGACTGCTCAAAGTAATATATATATATATATATATATAATTGCCTAGACGAAGTCGGTCGGTTTGCCTAGGTATTCTATAGAAGGCGCTATGCCAGTAACACATACACGTTTGTATAATCACTAGTTATTATTTGAGTCCCAAGGTTCCAGACATCCATTTCCCTGATAAATCCAAAACAGTTGTGTTGCTAATTGTTTGCATAATTTGCTCGCACATTTTCAAAAGGCGATCAAAGAAATTCGCCTTTTCAGTCGTCAACGAGTTATTAATATTATTACAAAATGGATATTTGTGAGTGAAAGTGATGTAAAATTTAAAACTGAATGTGGACTATGGGTTACTTAGTTGTAAGATACACAATATATTGTGTAATAATAAATATATCATATCTCACATCGTGACTACTTTTATGAAATAATAAATAATTACATTAAAACACGTATTTAATTAAATTGATGCCTTGACTATTTGTGCCTGAATCAGTGGAATCTTTATAACAATTACTTTTTTATTTAAAAAAAATTAACAACAACAATAATTGTTATCGCGGGGTTTTTAAAAAATTAATACAACAAAATTTTGCAAATGCATACATATTTATTTTTTTCAAATATATAACATTTAAACTTTATCTGCAACATTAGAAATAATAGGTTTGGGTCTAGACTTGAATAACAGTTTCTTTTTAATAATAGCCTTCACTTTGTATTGAGTTCTGTCATTTTCTGTTGTTTTCTCGAGGACGGCCATTGGTTGCTCCAATTTTGTTTCTTTCCCGTTCAAGACGTGGTGACCTAGAATTAATACTGGGTGTCGATTGCGATTGTAGTACTGCAAGTCTCCGACAACGGTTGGGCCTCCGGTTTCTTTCTTTAGTTGAATTAGCCCTTGTAGCTCCACTATGGCCCATTCGGGAATGCCTTTATCATCTTCTGTCTTACTGTGGAAAAAAGAAGTTGCAGTAATTTTATTACAATGCCATGCACAGATATTCCGCGGATGGTACCTTATAAGTAGGAATGGTATGTAGGTTGGTATATGAAATGAAAAGCAATGGTGTAGGTAGAAGGAAGTTCTTTTTTATTGTTTTCTTTCTATATTTGCGGGATCTGTTACACGTCTGAAACAAAAACAAACTTAAAAAAATATAGTGTAAACTTAAAATATTACAAGAAACCTTGGCAGTTTTAGAACTGTTGTTAAGTACAATGTGCAGATTCATTTAATTAGACGGCCTGTCTGGGTGGATAAGGAAATACTACTGAAGAGCATTGATAGTTTGATCCTTTCTACGCTAAGATGTTAATTAATGTGTACGTCGAAAACGGGGGCGCGTTCCCGTTATGTCGTAACGCTTATCGTGTCGTGTCGTGTGCCGTGAACGTTTATTTTATCGTTGAACGACTGTTCCTACAAGATTGTGACGACAATTTATCAGTTCACGGCAGCCGCCTTGTCGTTTGCACGACAGAATCGTTTGAAGCTGCGATGATCTGTCGTTATATTTTTATCGTGAAGTTTTATTTATCGTCAAAAAAGTCGTGAACGACAGTTAATCGCGTTGTGCTGTATGTGAACAACTTCATTTAAATATACAAGCCACGACACTTTAACTACACGACTATCTGTCGACACGATATAATGGAAACCTGCCCTAACAGTATGTATACCACTTTCCACTTAACATCAGGTGGAGTGGAGTCATTTGCCTGTCATGTATTAAAAAAAAAAAAAAAAATGTATTTGCCGTCGTTATTATAAACAACGTAATAGACAAAAATCATTTTCTTAACATATCTGGCAGTGACACAAGATGTACAAACCCCTATTAGTGGTTTTTTTATAACTAATTTAGTCTCAGTTTTATTATTAAATAAAATCAGCGTAATTGACATTTTTCAAAGAAAAAAAGAGTAAGTGCGAATATCTCGAAACTTACTAATTATTATTATTATTATTATTACCGAAAGTTACCTGCGTTGCCCGTATTGCTCGCGCGTACAAAAACCACTAAACCAACTTACCGACTAATATCGGAACTTCTTAAAAAGCGGGTGCTTGTTATGCTGCCCGCCTCGTCGGTGCTCGACATAGAGTGCATCATCGGCGCCGGCCAATGAAGCAAGGTTACCCCCCGTACGTCGCGTACCCCCCGCTCCACCTAGCCCGCCTTCCCGTTCTTCTTCGCAGTCCGTTTCTGATGCCGCTAATACCTGAATCAGAGGTATAGGTAACATGTAATGGGACGACCTCGGTGGTCCAACGGTTTGCAATGTGGGCGATGAATAAGGTGGTCCCAGGTTCGATACGCGGTAAGGCCAATTTTGGAAATTAACTTTTGTAAATTGGGTCTGGTCTGGGTGTTGTAAAATTTGTGAATTCAGTTGCTCTGGTACTCATAATACCGGAAATTTCCAAGTTTGACACCAGGTAATTGGTGTAGTTGTCTGGCACATTATTATAAAGCAACTGCCATCTCATTCCATAAGCTTATGAAAATTTAAACAAGTAACCCAGTTAGTCTAGTAATAATATAACTAGTTCACATAGCTACTGTGGACTATTTTGTCGAGAATAATGCCCAAATTCCATACAGTCCGGAACAACTAAAAAAAGTTGACGACCATCCATCGCAGATACAGGGTTCCATTTGTGTTTCCACATAGTTTGTAATTATACTGGATTTACATTTAACTAGGGAAAGTTGATTTAGGCAACATTTTCTTTTTGAGGTTATGTTAATTAATGAACATTAATTAATATGTACGGAGTTAAATGGATTTATATTTTTTTAACTAGGGAAAGTTGATTTAGGCAACATTTTCTTTTTGAGGTTATGTTAATTACTGATGATTAATTAATATGTACGGAGTTACATATTATTATAAGTTTAGTTGGGGTACACACTACGATAGATGAATGAGATAACAATGGTGTCATAACGTTGAACAAATCATGGCAAGTGTATAAACAAGGCTTAATAAAATAAAATGTAAGTCGAAAAAACAAATATTTACAATGACTTTTAAATAGTTTTATAAAATTGATATCTTTTTTCTCTAGCTTATTTCAAAGTTTTAAGAATGAAATTTATATTATTTTATAACGTATATTTAGATGAATATAAATTTTTCAACCGGTCGCGACTAAAAAATTTGCGATTCCATAATGGGTATTGTTCTTTCTTTTAAATATTTTTTTGTTGTAAAATGGATAAATCTCACCTGTTGAAGCAACAAGCCTTGTTCTTCACGCGTGCCGTAATACATATCGGGCTCTTGATCCATGCCTTTCAATTCTGTGATCACCTAAAAATATAACTTATTTAATATAAAAATTCATTTTTTTAAATGAAGTGTTTGACGGTGATTTTACTTAAAAAAATTGTGCAAAAGATTCAGACAAAGTTTACAAAGCTCTTTAAAGTAGTAGTACTGTCGCATTGGACCAGCTTGATGGACTATCCCATAGAAAGGGAGTTCTTTATGCACGTTGCCGTAAACCGAGTTGATTAAATATACCAGTACATACACAAGTACACTCACTTTATAACTATACCCTTGGTTGACGAGGAAGCGCTGTCGTTTGCGACTGTACGCCATTTCCAGTGTATCTTGAGAGACGAGCGTGTAGAAGAACGCATTGTACTCTTCGGCGAGCGCGCCTTTCTTAGCTCGAAGAATACGACCTGAAATGTTTGCGTGTTTTGTGAAGTAATTAATACACCTCGAAGTAAAAGATTTTAAAATACTTTTTAAACAAAGACATTGCGGTGTTCGCAATTATCATACAATTGACTTTAAGAATGTACAAACGGCAGCATATCAAGCTATACATTAACGGATCTTGTTCAGTTGCTCTGGAGAGCATATCGATACAAAAAATAGTTACATCGTATGAACTTCGATCGATCGCAATGTGCATCTTTAACAATGACAATTCACAGGATTTTAAGGGTATTGTGTAGAGTTACTGCTTTTTGTCTAAAAAGATTTTTTACATCGAAATTTGTAATTGTGTGGAGTTCATTCTTTTTTGTCTAAAACATTTTTTATATCGAAATTTGTAATAAGTATGGAATTATACCAAATTCCATATTCGCTGTTTTTATCCACGATTCTGGGCAGAAATGGTTTAAAACCTTTGCGTTTTAACCCACTGCCCATCTCTGAACAGGAGCTGAGAATGATTTGTTCAACTTACCCAATCTCTGGGCCTCTTGTCTTCTGGACCCACCATGTGACGAAATCTGAATGAGCACATTCGCTTCCGGCAAATCAAAACTCGTATCAGCCACTTTGCTTACGAATATCGTGTTCACTTTAGGGTTGAATTTGAAGTTCTGTAGAATTTGTATTCTCTCGCTTTGTGACGTAGGTCCGTAGATGTACGGTTTATTCATTTTGACTGCGTAGTGACGTAAGGCGAATACGTTGTCTGAGAAGACTATGGTTTTGTCACCACGTCGCTCGTGGTATCGAACGAGGAATTGACACGCTCTGAATTTCGATGGATTCATCACGTAGAGCAACATCTTTTTGTTTATTCTGGAAAATATAGAGTAGCTACTTAAACTAAAGATATAAAAATATTGGAATGATGTTAAAAATGCAATAAATTGCAGATTGGGTAAATATTGAAACAATTAATCTATACGACAAACTTAACAATCATGTACGAAGTGAATACGTAGACACTATTGTACAATTTTCATGCGATTTTTCTTGCGAGAAGGCGCGCGCGGTCGCTAGAGTGCTCGAGCTTCTTCGCGACTGCGCCTTGAGGCGGTAGTATTTCGTCGACGTTTGACGTCACATTGTGCCTGCTTTCGCGCCACTTCCCGCGGATTCACCAGGCGTCGCCTAAGCAGCTTCGGAAATTCGCGCGAATGCGCGAGCATTCCTGAGCATGTGCGAGAATTTGTCGGAAGACGCGCGACTTGTGTTTTGGCACGTATCTAGTTTGTATATTACACAATTGACATAATGTTCATTTTGCTATGTACAATTTCGTTACAAAAATTCGCTGCCATTCCGTTCCGCCGCAATGTCAATTGAGCCTAACAAATATATTTGAATTTCTTTATTGAATGTCTTTACTATCATGACATTCATCTATTTTTGTGAAAATTCTTCACTAGTTTGTTATTATTATTAGAAACCACGTTGATGCAACAGACACTGGCTCGAGTCTAATCGGATCGAAGGAAATTTTCCTTGTGTTTGTTCGATATTTGATCTATTGTAATAATGTTTGAATTAACTAGTCCGACCGATCAACTTTGCATGATTTACAGTATCGCAAATTTTTACAGAGCGACATGAGTATTTGGGTGCACGGTCGAAACACTAAGTCGAGTACATAATATAGGCACACCCTGGACACTCAATACAATGGTCGAAAGTTACCTAGTAACCTATAACCTACTAGGTACTATTACATATAGCAAGGCGCTATCTACACACGCGCATATGTGTGCGTGCATTGTCATCCTTACCCATACCTTTCTCGTATAATTATCTTATGTGGTCAAGAGCGGCAACACAGCGAAAATTCTTAGGCGAATCTGTTATCTTTAATACTATTAGTAGAATCCTAATAATTACACATGTTCATTAGGTATTTATATCGATATAATATTACATTTTTCATTAATTCACTAACTAGAATAATATTGAAGATTTATTTAAAAAACATATTAAAAGCACTTAAAACGTTGTTTTTTGGACAGGGACTTTTAAATAAGGCAACCAAGGTATTTGAAATTGCGTGTCCAAGTTTATCATTACGTAGTTAATAATTAGGTATTTTCACTACGTAATATTTATCGGCAATACAAATTGAAAATTCCAGAACCTTTGTCTACTAGCTCATGAAGTTATGACGTCTCATTATTATTAATGTAATAAATCTGCATTATATATTACTCTGCATCAAATAAATGAAGAAAACAATAACAGAATGATAATCTCAGAGATAAGATTTTTTCATCTTCGTTTCATCTTTCGGAAAACGAGAGAACTCCTCTCTTTATACCATTTATAGTCGTCAACGAATAAGAGGCCACATCAGAACACAATTTTGAGTTACTCCGAAACGTCCTGAAAACAGTTACGTCCTAAAGCTATTTTTTTATATAATAGTGTTGTAGCAATTAATCGCCGAATTTCACCGAGTCACTTCGATTTCTCGGAAAAACGTTGCTTATTAAATATTAAAACAAAAATGTATATAAATAGGTGTATTTTAAATAATTATGTATATAACATCTCTGATCACACCTATTGCAAATAAATTTGTAATTTATCAAATTTATAAGAACCCCATACTACTAGATAGATTTGTATTTCCTTTTCTTTTTTGCAAATTTTGAATTGTCAACACTGATACCAATCCAGCGGCACCCGGACTCCGCGCCCGCACACTGCGCAGTCTTTCGCCATCTTGGAAGTTGACTGTGCGCTTGGTTATTTTTTATGTATTTTTCTTGTGACTCCGCTTTACTTTTGGACTGTTCCTGTTTTCTGAATTATGAATATTATTTGAGATTGTTTGTTGTTGACATCGACAACTTTTAACTAATTATCAGCCGAATAATTGAAAATTCATGAAATCCTTGGTTTCTTGGTAATTTAGTCTTTTCATGTAGTTATTTCATCCATGAACATACTTATTTACACTAAATTCTCGTAATAAACAATTTATGAATATTATAAAATCAAAATTAAAAGAATTGGATACAATTCATCGAAATATGGGACAATTTTATGAAAATCAGAGGAATTGCTACAGAATCGCAAGGAATTCTGTAAATGAATTGCTTTTAACAGAATTGCACGATTTGGTCTTTCAGGCCTCCTGAACAACAATGAACCGAAAAATTTTAAACATTTACAAACTCTTATAATTTTGAATCGATTTCTCGTGAAAATCGTATAATGTGATTACCGATATGATTAGCCACATCCCTATTCGCGTCACGATGACAAGTGTCAAATGTGGTCTCTTATTTGGTGACGATTTATAGATGATAAACAGCCGTACACAGCACAATTCACAACCATTATATATAGTAACGTACAATGATGTTATAAGTTTGTACAGTGCGTGCCCTAACACACTGTACATACTTTAAGGGGGTGTTTAGTGTTCAATATTATGTGAAAGACACTAATACATGTGGGGTCAAAACTCGACTCCCTAGGAATGGCAGCCATTTTGATTTGTTATACTTAGTTTACTAGACGTTTGTTCTAAAATTATCATATTATGAGAAGCAAAAGCAGTACAAACATAAAAATTATTTTTTCGGAAAGCTAAGATTAGAGGCAATCGAATAAAATATCTGTCATGTACATAAAAAAGTGGGGCATTGCCTAAAAAAAATAATGAATGTAAATTTTTACCAAAAAAACTGCCAAAAAAAACTAAGTTTTTGTAATTTAATCCTAAAATAACCAAATTAAGGTACTGTTTTTGTGTATGAATTTTAAAGTATTTCAGCTGTTCTTAAAAACAAGACCAAAATCATAATCGTATGTCTACAATTCTAAAAGTTTTTACTACTCGAACTTAGTATCTTAACAACACAAAAGATCGCTCTCGGTTACAACAATGGCGATGAGTTCAACCATTTATTACCTGGCTCACTCTGCCCAGCTTGCAAGTGTAAAAGGGACAAAAGATAAGCCCCTAAGCACAATCCTGATTGAAAAAAGTTCTAAGGGTACTTAACGGTTCCTTTCATTCAACAATTAACAGTCAGTTGTTACTCTCTACTCAGACAACACATCTTGACCAAAAGTGCTTTCGGAGTGAATACCGAAGGAGATTCCCTAATCGGCCTACACCTAATCACCAGACATTTCGTGATATTCATAGGCGATTGGCAGAAAATGGTATTCGTCAACTAGTAGGTGAACGTGCACGTGAAATACCAGTTTATGATGAAGAAACCGTTCTTAATATGATCTACAGAGATCCAAGATTAAGCACGAGGCGAATTGCTCTCCGACTTGGTATGTCGCATTGGACAGTGTGGCGTATTTTGAAAAGTGAAGACTTATATCCTTACCATTTTCGACGCGTGCAGAATATTAGTGATCCGGACTATGCAGCACGTTCAGTTTTTAGTGCGTGGATTAATCAAAAGGTGCGGCAACAGCCAAACTTTTTAAAGAAGATTTTATGGAGCGACGAAGCTTCGCTTACAAGAGCGGGGATAACCAATTATCGTAATTTACATATGTGGATTACCGAAAACCCTCATGCAGTGAGACCATCCTCATTCCAGCATGAGTTTTCTGTCAACGTTTGGGCTGGTATTATTAATAACCAATTAGTTGGACCGGTGGAGTTGCCGGAAAGATTAAATGGCCCAAGATTTTTGGAATTTTTAAGGACAGAGTTTGTGGAATTACTCTCAGAATTGCCAATCGCACGTCTTCGAGGAATGTGGTTGCAGCTGGATGGAGCCCCGGCTCATTTCGCCACAGCTGTGAGACAGCACTTGAATGAAAATTATCCACAGTGGATTGGAAGAGGCGGCACTGTTGCGTGGCCTCCGCGTAGTCCGGATTTAACTCCATTAGATTTTTTTTGGGGTTGGATGAAATAAAAAGTTTATTTTAACCCAGTGAATACGAGAGAGGAGCTATCGGCGCGCATTCGTGAAGCTGCTGAAGAAATTCGTGCAAATCCCGAAATTTTATATCGGGCCACCCAGCAGGTAGGAATTCGGACAACAGCTTGCCTTCTAAATAGGGGGGAACATTTTGAACACCTTTTATAATTTATGTGTTTCTTTTTTTTGTAAAATAAATAATATAATATTTTTTACTGTTTTTTATTTCAAATTAACTTACTACCTCTCAACACACAAAACAATTTACTAGAAAGACTGTAAAATTTACTTATTTCGCTCTCGGAGACGTTATGTTGCAGAAGCTGTAACTTTTAGAATTGTGGACATAGGATTATGATTATAGTCGTGTTTTTAAGAACAGCTGAAATACTTTAAAATTCATACATAAAAACAGTACCTTAATTTGGTTATTTTACGATTAAATTACAAAAACTTAGTTTTTTTGGCAGTTTTTTTGGGAAAAATTTACATTCATTATTTTTATTAGGCATTCCCTCACTTTTTTATGTACATGACAGATATTTTATTCAATTGCCGCTAATCTTAGCTTTCCGAAAAAATATTTTTTATGTTCGTACTGCTTCTACTTCTTATAATATGATAATTTTAGAACAAACGTTTAGCAAACTAAGTATAAAAAATCAAAATGGCTGCCATTCCTAGGGAGTTGAGTTTTGACCCCACACGTATTAGTGTTTTTCACATAATATTGAATACTAAACACCCCCTTAAAGTTTGTACAGTGCGTGCCCTAACACACTGTATTAATGTACAAGTTTCATAATGAATAAATGTAACTATATTCAAATATCAAAGCCGTCTTAGCGCGAAAACAGCTCGCCGACAACTTTTGTCGTTCAGCCAATGTGACCGTCAATGTCCGGGGCGTGTTGTGGTATCTAAAACTAGGGAGGAGCGGAGAGTGCCCAATCTCGGTACTTAGTAATTCTCTGATATAGGTTTTATTGCATTTGAAAAAAATGTCATACTTACTTTTGAATAAGGTATTCGCGATAGAATTCCGGAGTCATAGGACACCACACTTCAGCACACTGCACTCGCGCGATGTATCCGTTAGCCTGCAGCTCCAGCCAATTGGCCTCGTACAACTTGGGCCCGATCAGAAAGTTCAGGTCTGCGATCTTGTCGTCTTCACGCAACAATGTTGCCGTTAAACCTGTATTTAATAAGGTAAACTTTATAAATGCCTATATTTATAAATCGAGTTCTTAGGTTTTCGCGATTGTTACACATAGGAAATGAAACTATTTTTCCGGATTTAAATCGCGTATATTTGTTTTTTCAAACAGACCGACGTTTCGGGCCCTTTACAGGTCCCATGGTCACGGCCTATATTTATACTTTAGAAAATGCTATTTAAAGAAAGATTGTAATAAAAATGTATATAACTCCAATATTTATTTTACTGAATAGCATCTTCTTATTGCCACGATATTCATTATTTTTTTGTGAAAATATTGCACTAGTTTAGTGTTATTATTGATACAAGATCGAACAAACACCAAGAAAAATTTCTTCGTTCCGGCTGGATTCGAATTTCTAACCAGGACTGGTTTGCAAACCGGGGCTATCGGCTTTCCCAACTGAGCTACGGAACGCAACAGCAGACCTCACGACTTTCTCTATGAACTTTGGCGATCTTTCTTTTTGATTTAAACGGCTTTTTTGCCGTAGCGCCATCAATGAGAAACATATGAAGGTTTTTTTTTCACTCAAGTAAAAATGTACACAGGGATCACTAAACTCAACATCAAGCAGACACCGGTCCAGAGGAAAGGGTATATCAGTTCTGGTAAAAAAAAACATAAAAAATGTCACTTAGTTAAGTAACAATAGGCATTTTTTTTAATGTTGAAAATAAGGAGTTTTTGTCGTTATGGACATCACTAATAATAATAATAATAAGTTGCATATATATTTCTCCACAAAATACAAATAATAAGTAATTTAGTGCAGTAGAGCTCCTTGTGAAAGAGTTCGTCCATGAAAGCACTGCCACCTTACCTATTTCTGCCGCTAGGCACTAATGTAAGCATTACTGCGTTTCAGTTTTGAAGGGTGATGGTGAAATTACTGGCATATGGGACTTGTCAACTTATGGCTCAGGGTGACAGGCGCTGTGGCAGTGCCCCTCAGATCCTTGCGATTTAAAGCTCTGAGTGGCACTGAGACTGTAATGGACAGGCGTGTAGCTCACCATCAGGTGCATGACTTGCTCGTCCCGTCACTTTACATTTACATTATAAAAAAAAATGCATGTTAGTAATTTTAAGGCACGTTACGCATTTTGAAGGAGCTGGTACTTGATAAAGGCTTCCTTGTACAAGTAATCACTAAGCACTATCAGATTGCACTCGTGCTCAATTCCCAGGGTCATTTCAAGTTTCATCATTGAGTATGTTGTTAATAGGACCATAGCACTTACCCAATTTACAGTGGGAGTGGACAATGGTGAGCACTCTTCGGAACATCTTGGCAGGAATCGTATGGACTTCGTCAAGAACAACCAGTCCCCACTCTTGAGCCTGGAGCCATTTCATTGTCTGTTCCGCCTCCCAAGATCGCCGCTGCCCGTGCGTTATCATTGAATATGTTGTTATTAGAATCCCCGCTCCCATTGGTTTGTCTTTTGCTTCTGATGTAAATCTGTTTATTAAAATATCGATAGCTTTTAGAATAGTGGCCTATGGCAAAAATATTGAATTCACCAGGAAGATATGTTTAATATATCTAAGGTTTGTGTGGCACTCAAATCCGACGAATTATATACCGGCTCAATGATATCACGCGATTATTTTTACCAATGAAAGGCCCAGTCTTATTCACAATCTGCATACAGTTAAGAAAAAAATATTAAATATTTTGGTTTGTGCCGTGGAACGTGTTTGGGGTGGTTAATTATTAACTTTAGCCGATAATTTGGAAGTCCGCCACCTAAGTATATGTAAGTCGATTATAGATATGAATTTAAGGTCTATGTTTTTTGAAAAGTTTAACGGTGTTCACTGTGAACTTATTACATTTTTCATTTGCTTTTTTCCATATCATTTATATTTATATTCTATATAACCAAACAACTGTATTCTGAAAACAGATTTATTCGCTGTGATTGACCAGAAATCTAAAGTTCACTTTACGAAAACCTGGTCAATCACATGACTTTAATATATTTATTGCAAACCATAAACACATACAGGCAATAAACAGGTAGGTAATGTACTAAATATAAACATACCCCGTAGGGTTTAGCAAATAATTAGTACTTTCTAAAATTAACAAAAACAAACATAGATTTCAAGTACTTAAAATAAACACAAAATTAACAGGAAAGTGTACTGTTACATTATGGGACACTTGCGAGTTCACCAGTTCTTTCACATCATCTTATAGTGAAGTCTCTCACACTGTTTATTAAGATAGACTTTAATTAGATTTTGAATATGTTATCATTTTCTGCTTTCTTACGGGAGTCTGGTATTTTATTGTAAATTAATATACATCCATAAAGCGGACTTTCTCTAAACATTTATAATCCTAAAGATTATAAAATTTCTATTATCTTGTAATGTACAGCACAACATTTTAGACCAATTAATTGTAGTGATATAACACTAAAATGAACCTACCTACCTAGAGGTACTACATTTTAACGTGGAAATAAATAGTGAAATAAATACCTGCAAATCATACTATCATCTGCAGTGGACCAGCACTTGAATTGTTGCTTCCACTGTTCCACAGAGACACCGGAGTTACATAACACGAGCGCGCGCTTGCGGACCGTGCACACTGCGGTCACCCCAACCAGGGACTTGCCGGCGCCGCATGGTAGTACAATTACGCCCGATCTGATGATTGTTTCAAAACGAAATTAATTACGTACAATTTAAAAGACCTCAAAAGAATTACATTATTACGTACAGCTTTATTATTGGCTTCCTGCGGAGAAGCATAAATATGTAAAGAGGAGTGGGTGAGCTCAAATATATTTTATGTTCCTTATGTATTTCGATCACGAATTTTAAACCAAAAGTTTGACAAAAACGTGTTTTTTCTTGATCAAAAAACTCCGTAAAATGATAGTTTGAACAGAACTGTCTCAGCCTTACTCCCTATTTAGGAGTAAGGCTGTAACAATAAAAAAGTATATATAGAAAAACAGGTACATTAATATAAAACACTACACTTCCTAACTTGATGAAAAAGATATTAATTAGACACTTACCCTAAAAGGGTCGAGTTATAATGAATTAGAGATATGTATTCATAGGTACATGACAAGGCTGTAGACTGTTATACACTTATTAGAATTGACACATGATTTAGATTATATTATAATGATTAGAACTTAGTAAAAGAATCACAATTAGACGCGATTGAATTTAAACAGCTCCGTCCGCCCGATGGAAGGATCGCAAGATTCCTAACGTGGTATTCATCGCTCTCGGCGCAAAAATAATTATTTTTATTTTGCCGCTAAATAGCACAATTTTCCTCCATAAAAATAGTTATTTGTTATGCAAGGCTGCAAATTTGTTGAGTTTGACACGAGTGTTTGTATTGAAACCTGAGCAACCCAAGGATATTAAGATTGAACCATAGAATCCTGAGCGTAGCGAGGGTTTTAAGCCACGACACGCAAAACAACTCACTATTGCGAGGAAAACAGTAGATGAAAGAAAAACAGTTGAACTATAACAAATCAGTTTAGTTCTTCGACGAATTAAAATAATTTAATAAACAAATTAGTTATCGTTGTCAATTTAATATCAACAATAATAAGAATAAAATATACCAACGAATTCATATTATATAAATAATGTACGACAAACCACGTAGTTGAACGTGTCATTATGTATTTTTTCATCGGAAGGAAAAGTTAAGTGGATCCATGTGGATCACAGTCCATTGTCAAGTTCGAAGTTACAGCCTTATTTAGGTAGCCCTGTTTAGTTAGCTACATATTATTATTGGACTTTGCTCAATAAACTTATTTAATATTCAACAAGACTATCATGCAATCGCTATATAATGAGGCGCACGAAAGGAGCCGGGGAGGTACGACGTACCATTTCTTTCTTGTAGGTGCGTCAGCTACACCCTGGGTAACAATCAGCGAGTACCTTACGCCGATTTTCAAATCCTTTCACCGTGATGGCAAGTATTATAGTGTATGCCATTCATACGATAAGAAGTTATAAGGGCCATACCATACAATAAACGAAATTTAGGATAGGCGATGACGATATCATGATAAAGACGTTGAGCACAAAAAGTTATTTTACTAATTAATATCAACGGCGAAGGCACAATCCTGATTAAAGTGCGAAAGGGAACTTTTACTTTTTACTAATATAAGGTAAGTGCCGGATAACTAAAGTCGGGGACGTTCTACACAAAATTGAACGATGAAGTGGAAATGAGCAGGACACGTAGAAAGGATGGATCCAGATCGGTGGACAAGGAGGATCTTGGTGTGGCGACAATGGGCCAACACGGGCGCCAGAGGTCGTCCGCCACTTCGTTGGATGAATGACATTAAAATTTTCGCGTGCTGCAACTGGATGCATGTGGCACGGGAGCGACGTAATGGTAGAGATATGGAGGAGGCCTATATCCAAAGCCGGATGGAGTAGAGGCTGCTGCTCGAAGGTAACTGCAAAGTCTTATTTCAATCTCTTACCTAGGTAAACCATGCAGGGAACTTACCTAGCTCTACCATTGCCAAACATTTTCCTAAGACTTTTCTCCTGGTATGGTCTGAGAACAGCTGTAGGTTTCAGATCTATATTGATATCAGGATTCACAGTGTCGTTTCGGAAATCATATTCTGCTAGTAACGGGTGCTCCAATTCTATGCATCGCTTTTGTATTACCTGGAACCGGCAATATTAGTTATGAAGCATATTTTAAATATTAGCTTACGAAATCTATGACGAATAAGCTCTGTAAATATTTCAGATAAGAAGTCTTCACGGTAAATTTTTAGGTGTTAGTTCTAGTCTTCTAAGAAAGACCTTGTGTTTGTATACGTCATTGTACCTTAAACAGCAATGAATTAAACTCGGCATTGGCTATGCACCCAATTACTATGAACATCTAAACAAGTTTTACAGATGAGCATTGAATTTCCTTTGAGGACCTACAGTGCACAGACGTGGTCGCTGACAAAGCTCCAGAAGTCTAAACTCAAGATTTGCCAGAGGGCGATGGAGCGCAGCATTCTGGGCTTTAAACGTATTGACCGAGTACGCAATACAACGATGCGTCAGATGACGGGCATTACTGGGAAGCAAAACAGCCAGGCTCAAATGAGATTGGGCGGTCCACGTTAGCCGGATGCAACTCGGGAAGTAAGTGAACGTCGTCACTCCTTGGGTGCCCGAGGATGGAAAGAGACGGCGTGGACGGTCGAGAATGCGTCGGGACGATCTTGATGGGTTTTAGAGGGAGCAATGGAGGATTTAGGGGGAGACCTTTGCCCAGCAATGGGACATAATAGAATAATATATAAATTGTATTGTACTAATTATCAAAGAGTAAATCAAAGATCAAAGAGTAAGTCGTTTGAAACTGTCTCTGCTTGAGATGAATTGGATTATTTGAGATTACGAGCGGCGTCTCTAACCTACAGGGTTCTGGCAGAATACAAGTGTCGCGGGCAACTGCGTCGTTTATGCTGTGCTAGCGCTTTTCCACTGTCTTGGCTTACAGAAATAGACCTGTGTCAAATATAATTACTGTGTTCCGAGTCCTATATCATCTGTACCAAATATCTGTTGCATGTCTTTGCCAAGAAAGTGAATAAAAAATTTATCTATTTACAAATTTTGTTTTTATAATTATTAAATTTGTAACAATCAGGACATTGCATTTAATTATACGGTGAATATGAAATAGTTCTATTCTATTTTATAAAATAAAATTGCAGATATCAACGTTTATTGCTTTTTTTATGATACCAAGTTACGGGATGAACAAGTCGTAGGTCTGGTGGTAAGCGACACGCCTGTCCATGACTGTTGCATAAAACGCAAAGATTTAGATTGCGGGACGCTGCCACTGCCCCCGACACTCTGATACATAAGTTGACAAGTGCCACGTGTTTTGATTTTACCAGCTGCTTTCTTATCAAATTCATATAGGTGACTACCTCAATTTTGTCAGGATCGACTTCGAAAGCGACAGCAGTATTAGCAGCAATATCTGTAGCTTCGTCTTCATCGTCGTCCTTATCCAGTTGTTGATAAAACTGACTGATGTCTTCCGGTACATTAGCAGTGATTGGCTTCTCTGGCTCACCAGCCTTTGAAATACTGGCTGCAGGTTTGTTGGGCAATGCTGATGCGAGGAGGTCGTCGTCACCATCTCGCCGTAAACGACATTGTTGGATAATCGGATCTTTTAATAGTTTCTGAAGCACTTCTACGTGTTTGCTCTCTACAAGGTATCTGTTTGTAAGTAATAAAGTCCATATTATTTAACAATATACTATGGAAATACCAAAGTTTCATACAATGTGTTAATTTCCATTCTCGCCATATTTATAGAGGTCATTATATAACCGAAACTGAACCACACCACCAAATAAATAAATTAGTCGAAAAAAAAAATTCCTAAATTCTTATTTATTATTTAATTGCGGTAAACATCCGATCCTGCTTGATCCAAAGGTCATTGACTTGCACGGTACGTACTACCAAAATTTATAGCAGCCGGAGGAACCGAGAAAGTATTGGTATCTTTTTCTTTCTTAAACGCAGCGCATGCGCCTACAAACGAGGGCGCTAGTTAAGTACTAGGTGGGATAGCCGAACACGTCCGCAATTCTAGTGATCTATTAGCTAGTCTCTGACAAAATGCCACGTGGTTGTACAAAGTTAGTGCAAAATAGAACTGTTACCAGGTTCGCCAGACCCTGCATTACCACGAGTGTAAGTGCGTGACTATTCTTAAGCCGGGGCCGCATTGGTACGGCGACGGCGACGCGAAAAAATAGGTGGCCGCATTACAAAAGCGAGAAGCCAGCGAAATGCCGCTACGTCACTTTATGGGTGGCCCGGACAGGTTAGGCGACAGGGCGGCCGCACTGCCGCCACAAGCGACAAATAGTCACGTTTGTGTTGTGAAACGAGGTGCGATGTCTCCTTCGCAACTCTTCGCTCGCATATGTCGCTCTCTTGCGCACGAACGCCGCGAGGCTGTGCGGCCGCTCAGGTACATCACCGCATATTTTGTCGTAAATCGCTTGTCGTTTCTGCAGTGCTGCCACCGACATACGTTTATATGAGTTTGTTTTCACGAAATCGCCGTCGCGTCGCAGTCGCCTTAGTAGTGCGGCCGCGGCCTTATGGCATGATGTGAAACATTTAGTTTACGCGGAGAAGATTACGAGTGTCGTTGTCGTCATTGAAACGAAACTGCGAATCTCTGCATAGCTGTGGAGCTAGGCTTTCTTCACTCAACTTTTCTAATGAATGTAAACAATCATAACTAAAAAAATAGGCAAATAAGCGATCGATTAGATTAGATTAGATTAGATTACGTATCGCTCTGTGAATCGGGTGGTGGGGTCACTGCCTTCGCGCGGTGCATACGATTTAAGGACAATTTTGCAAAACTTTACTAGATACGATTAGCCAAAATATAGGAATATTATTGAATGAAATTTGTGTGGAATCTAGAGCCATGTAGTCTCTTTAAAATGCCGAAACTAAGTATAGAAAACTAAACTGAAAATTACTCCTTTATTTTCTAACTATTACACATTTCGCATTAAGATTCATTCAACAACCTCAGTGCTTACCTATTGTGTTTAAGAACCAGCTTAACTTTTCCATATGAGAGTGTGCAAAGTTGAATGAATTCTATAATACCAGCAGGCACAGCACACTTGCTCAATCTCTGTAGGTACTCTATTATGTCTCCAGTCTGCAGTCCTACCGATACTGCAGCATATAAACTGTACGCTGTCAATTTGTATTCGTGAATATGTTGTGGCCTGAAATTGGATACAAAATCTGTATTGATTTGTTAAGTTTATAGAGTTCTTAAATTTTCCCTGTTTCGGATCTGACTCATAGAAATGGTTAGACTTGAACACGGGACCAGTAAACAGCTCGAAACATTGATTTGTTTGAAAAACTATTTAGATCCGAAAAAATAATTATAATTTCCACTTTATTACGATTGTTTGTATTTAATTTCGGTTGACTTTACATAATGACACTTCACACAATCTTTTTCTTCACTTATATTTTGAACTTTACATTGTCCTCCAATTGGTTTTTGAACATTTAATAAATAAATAATCAATGATAAATAAACGTACCTGCATACAGGCTCAGCAATAGCAATCAGGAAGTCATGAGCGTGTTTGTACACAGGGGAGAATGCTTCCAAGAAAATGTGTCCATTAGGCGCCACCCACAATGGCCGACTTGCATGATCAGTCTTTAAAGCCATTTGACTCCTAAAATATTATATAAATATGATATGATAATGTGCCAGACAATCACACCAATTGGCTGGTCTCAAAGTAAGGAATTCCCTGTACCGTGTCTAATTTCTAATATAATAATAATAATAAGTAATCTGTGCCATCTCCCAGAACACAGACCAGAGAACCACCAAATGTTGTTAGTGACTTGGTAATTGTGCCAGCAAATGTTATAGTATAATTTTTTTAGTACCAGTTTGTTTTTTATTTCAATTAGGCCATTGGCACCATAAGTCAATGACTGGCACATTCAATTTCAGTCTTGGTGCAACAACATTGAATATCAAATGCATATAAAAAATGTACATGTATTTTGCATTCTTTCAACATAATTACACAAATATTTATGGGGTATAACTTTCTAATATACTTTCATACAAAACTACACTATTTAATAATTTATCATCCAATTGTTTTAGCGAAATTCATGAATCACAAGACTGGTCCGACATAACATGTGGCCTCTTTCTCTTAATAGGGTATCGGCTGAATACCAGTGTTAAAGGCAATGCAACATATCGCACTTGAAGCCGAATACTGTCATAAAGTTATCAAAGTAATAAAATACTGTACGAATTATATTGAGAATAATATGATTATTTTTATTTATACATAGTATTTAGTTATCCATTTATAAACGAAAATATAAATTTATTGATTTAATTCAGTAATTTTTTGACCTTTAAAATTTTGTTTTTTCATTTCACAATGTGGAGTTATGACGGAGTTTGGTTTTACGTGTGATGTTTAATACCCTTGCCCGTACTGTTTCCTTCCAAGTCTTTCAAGATTATGTCCTGAAATACTTCCATTTGAATTTGCTTGTCTTTTCTTCAATTTCCAATGCTGTTTTATCTTATGTAAAATTTAGTAAGTAAAAAATTTCCTCAAGAAAATTATCAAAGCTTTATCTGCTGAAAATTATTAAGTTTTATCTATGTATGTAACCTGTTTAGGCATAACATCATGCATCATCCATCAGTATGAACAGATAAAGGTTGTTATCAACAACTGACAGAGTAGTGCTGTAAGAATAATGTTAATATTTTTCTTTTTGTTATGAATAAACTAAAAAAAAAAAAAAATAAAGTATGTAGCCAGGAAAAGTACAATGTAAAATATGTTGATTCAGTTACCTATCAGAAGTCTGAAATGACATTTTCTAGAAATAACGTTTGCTCGAATTTTCATAACTGTGAAAGTAATTTTGGGAGGAAAATGTTTTTTCTTTTAAACCTAACTTAATCTAACCTAATTGTGTCTTTGCGATAAACATCCAACATATCATGAAAGAATAACTAACGGTTTTGTTATAATTCGGTTTTCAGAGTAATAAAAATTCAAACAACTTTATTTCGGAGAAAATAAATTTGTGTGGATAGGTTACCTGTTGATTCATCTTACCTGTAGTCTTTGGCTCCAAATTCATCCTCAGGCACTTGGTCATTTTTCTCGGCATCTTGCATAGCCGCTCCAGGCACAACAACATTTTCAGCATTGTCATCTTCTACCAGATCTATTGTCTCCTCTTCTATTTTCTTTTTCTTACCTAAAATATTTATTTATCTGCATTGTATATTTGAAACATGTGTAGGTGTGTACATTTCTGTATAAGCACAAAGGTATATGTGGACAATTACATTGTTATTGTAATTCTTAAAACTCTAAGAAATAAAAAAAATTAATAATCTTTTTTAAACTACTTGTCTTGCATTAAAGTACAACTTGCCATAGTGCAATTGTATTATTAACTTAATATTCTTGAATGATCAGTAAACAAATGGTCAGTATCCACTGCATAGCTATAAACTTGTAGTACTCACATATTGAAACACATTGTTTTGGTTTTAGAAATGTGGAAATATCCATACTGAGATATTTACATACATTATGCATAATACCTAAATAATGCACTGAAATTCAGCAGTAAAATGACAATTAAACAGACTCCCTATTTCAAAGATAATTTGATATCAATTAGCTTACTTGATCTATCACTTCCAGGTTTGGAGTCATATTTTTTTAACTTTTTCGGTGGTCCCATATCGGTAATTACTTTATTATTTGCCTAAAAATTAAAAAAATATGTAATTTCATCATAATGAGTAATAACAATATTATTATACACGATAAGTACTTACTTTTAATAAATTTCATCACATATGTACTGCCTATTAAATTAGAACTCTGTCCACAAGTTATTTTTATTTAATTTGTGTACAAAATGATAAAAATGTTAGGAACAAACAAAATTCAACCTACTCACACTCACGATTGTAGAAAAACTGACATTTGTCAAAGTCATACTGGCAGAACAAAGACTTTTTATTTTTTTCAAGTAAAGACATTTTTCTTTTTTTCTTTGCGGAAAGGCAAAGGCCTATAGACCGTGAAGCCTAGTTTTTTTATACAACAATCGTGTGGCTTTTTTAACTTTAGGTTGTGGATGTGAAATGATGTCAAATAAGAATTCCAGACATTTCGTTTTATTATGATAGTCAAGTCTGTTTGCACATACATTACGTAAATCACGTTTTAAGATTAGCAGCCACTAGGTCACTATCATTTCAACGACAAGTGCAGCACTGGATAGTTAAACTGCACCATAGACTAATTATAATAAGTGCATTAAGCTTTCGTTTGAACATAATGCGATTCATATAACTAGTAATGCTAACATTACCGCTTGGCGGTAGAAATAGGTAAGGTGGCAGTACTTCCCTGGACGAACTCTTTCACAAGGAGCTCTACTATTGCTATATATGTTAATGCCAGGTGCCTTTGGGTATGCTGATGACAACACAGTTGTGGACAGGTACTTGACCAATATATAGGTGAGTGGAGAAGAAATCCAGCCTTGTCGAGAGTACATGGGATTTTTTCCTTAGTTGTAATAAAAGAATTAATCAATAAACTTAAACACTACGAGCTAAGAACACATTATTACCCTCTCTTGGGGCATCGCTACTTGGAGCGAGTGACCAAGCAGAGGGAAATAGGGGGCAAGAAAAAAGACGGTAGAAAAGATAGAGACAGTGTGGATAGAAAGTCAGCCCTAGGGACAACAAAGAGGACAGAGGAGAGAAAGAAGAAGGAGAGAAGAAGAAGAAATTATTGAACATAGTTACTCATAAACAAAACAAAACTAAAAGGTAAAGTGACTTAGACGCAGAACAAAAATTTAAAAGTTTAAAAGTATGGCCGTTGAGGGCGACCAGTAGCCCCCGCCGACTGGTCCGCGAGAGCGACCGACCCTCCACAGCGACCGACCGCCGACATTAACTAACAAATGAGCTGATAAAGACTCACATCTGCAACTTTTTGCACTTGAAGAATGTTACACAGTTAAAAAAGAAAAAGAAAACTAAAATTTATCCAACTAGGTTTATACAGTAATCTGTGGTTTATACAATGAAAATCAATCAGGCTGTCAGATATGAAGTAAAATACCCCACAACATACAACATAACGTATGCAAAGTGAGATGGTCAGCGGACGGTCGATGAGGGCGACCGGTCGTGGACGGTCGATGAGGACGACAGGTCCCGGTCACACATACATGCTTTGTGCACAACGACAAACAATACAAAACTTAACATATGAAGAGTGTTTTCCCCACAACATACAACACAGCGTATGCAAACAAAACAAAACTTAACACTTGAAGAGTCCATGGTTAGTCGTTTGAATTTGACACTCAAAGCAGTCTCCGATTGAGGTGATGTTAATCTTGTCCAATTTAATGCTACCAAAACGCAGGTGTGTCTACTCTCCACAAAATTGAGTCCCTTTGACCTGACTTCGACTTTTCGTGATATATCCATACCGATAGCCGACCGTCTTCAGCTACTTAGGACCATCCATTCTAAGACGTATCTGAACTTCGGCAGATACATTAAATCCGTGGTCAAAAATGCAGCCAGGAAGCTTGGCGTCCTTTCCAAGGTTAGGCGTTACTTCGTGTAAGGAGTACTGCCGCCACTTATGGAATGGCTCTGCTAAATACCAACTGGCCACCTTGGATTCAATCGACAAGCGTAACAAGAGGCTTACAGGTGACTCGGATTTAGCAGAGGCGAAGCTGCAGAGCCTTGAACACCATCGTAAAGTTGTCTGCTTATCGGTAATATATTCTACAGGATATATCACGGAGAGTATGCGATGGAATTGCATTTGATGGAATTGAATTGATTTGATTCCATCTTCCCTTTTCCATCATCCGAAGACTAGACGTGGGCCACAGTTCTACCTCTATGTTGTGGATATTCCCAGGATTTTGGATTTGTCACCAAATGCGCAATCCTTTAAATGTTTAATAATTATGTTGTAAGGCTAAGAAAAATGATTTACGTTTTTTTAAATAGTAATTCACGTTGAATCTCATTAAAGTAAATAAATGTTTTCATCTAATTGTATAATTTGCTTTACATTTTACACTCTGTCATTTACATTCACAGCAAACGTATTACATGGTTATATTTTGAGCTTCTTAATGCTTTATTATATTTTTAAGCGACGGATTTATAATAAATAATGAGAATTCTAGATGCGGGGATTTTGTGGGGAATATGAACTTTAGCTCTCCCCAAATTTGGGGACTACAACCTTAATTTTTGGGGATTGTGAACAATTGGCATTGGCAGCACTGGTTAGCGGTGATAACACACGTAACGTAGTATCTCATAGTTCGTGGATTTATGATTTAACGATGTATTGTATTTAGCTTCATGCGTTCTCTTCCAAACTACAAAAAAATACTCGTTATCTGTGTCTAAAATCCAACCAACGCGATGGTGACAGAATAATATCTAATATATTTAGGTAAATTTTACAAAGATTTCACTTACCAATCTATGTATATCTGCATTTTCCCAGCTAACCTATAATAAAAACATATAACTTTTATTATAAAAAGACTAATTCTATTTCATATATATAATAATCAAACGGAGCTTGGAAGTAGCCGTTTTTACAGCTTAATCAACGAACGAGAACTACAAATTAGAAAACCATTAAAAAACAAAGTTATTAGTCCAAGTGTCAAACGGTCAAACAACACAATGCCCATAGTATAGAAATACTGCAATATTTGTCGTTGTCACAGAGTGTATATTATGGCGGTAACATTATTTAGGAAAAGTTTATGAGTAAGCAACCGATTTTGAAAAATAGTTATTTTTAATACAAGTGCGGAAGTTAGTCATTATTCACGAGTCTCGAGGCTTCGACTCGAGAGAGACTCGAGACAAGTGAAAATGACAAATCCGCACATGTATCAAACGACGTTTTTTAATGCATTTGCGAAAAAATTACATTGAAAGTAAAATAAAACAGTATATTTTAGTGGCGCGGCGCGCAGCGGTCTCGCGTAATACTCACCTCCGATCGTTGTTAATACTCAATCGGCCATCTTTATTTAAAATATTTTGGTATTTTTAAATGTAATCCGTTGTTTTATAAAACATCTATGCAATTTAAACAAATAAGATGTTTGTAAGTAAATATAAGTTTTAATGACGAATGACTTAGGTCACAAAGCACATAAATATTAAATAAATATACGACCTCTATAGTTCTATGTTTAAGATTTGAAACAACAGTAAATTAAAAAAAAATAATGGAAAAGGAAAAAGCACTAGTGCGAAAAATCCAACTTTCGGCACGATTTGTAGTACGAAAAATACTACGTTTTGAGCAACTGTATTAAAAAGGTTATTTAGCTGTTTCATCTGCTCAATCGAAATCGGTTAAAAGATTGTTAAAAGTTACTTTAAGAGGCAGAGTTAGGATTTGTTTTTTTATTATATTGTATTAACCCACAAAGATCTCACCCTGTACATACAAGACCTAGTTTTTACCTTATCTCAGGAAAAGCTGGTGCGCAAGATACGGTGCGGTATCTGACACTTGCTACACCTGTCCCCAGTAGCTTCTTAGGTTTCTTCGTAGCCAGCACGGTTTTTAGGCGAATTTCGTCGAGCGCTATTTGTTAAAAATTTCATAATTAAATATATCAGTCTGAACAAACCACACCTTCAAATTCCAATAGTTAGGTACTTTGAGTGGGAGACTGGTTGGTTTAGTATCTATGGTATCTCGGTAAGCCTAGGCTGGAAATTGAATAGGTATCGGTAAAGCTCGAGCTTCTTCTCAACTCGGAGCTGTCATCACAAATTACAAGCAGCTTGATTTTGTTTGCCTCTCCCGATCGGAAACTGTGCGTCTTTTCCGAGTCCAGGCGTATAATATTACAAATGGGCAACCCTATCGGATCGGTTCCGATTTGAATTAAAGTCAGGGCCACGATTCGGTTGTACAAACACTTTGAGAATTATATAAGTGCTCGGTAACATTCAAGCTGTACCGTCGTGCAGTTCTGCTGAAAGCGGAGTGATAGCTGCATTCTAAGTGCTTATTTCGTTACGTAAGTTGACGTCATTAAAAGACTACGTGGATTATTCTGGATGTAAAAAGATCTATCTGTGGGTTGCCCCAACTCAAAAAATCTCTGGAGCAATAAATTGACTTTGCAATTGCAATGTTCGATCGGCCTATGTCGTGGTAACCATTGGGGAATTATGGATTCAGTTTTTCTCGCGACGCGGTAGGTAAAGCACCGAGAATGAAACTGCGACTTCCAATCCATTGTCCATTAGCAGACAACACTTGTCAGACAGATTTCTTTCCAACATTCATTCCACGCTCTTATTGATAAACTAGACACATCAATTACCATAATTTATATCCTCTGATAAATTCCGGAGCCATAAAAAGAATTCCTTTCTGTTCCGTAGTTTCCTCAAAGTCATCCAATTCCTTTGTCCAGGCCACCAATATCCACCCGCCCTAATGCCTTTGTTCTCTATTTGATAACCCTTGTCACACTATCTTGTTTCAACCTCACATCTTTCCTGATTTCAGCATTGATAAAAATGTCTCCAAGCAATTTTATGTGTGCATTGCGTACTTTTTGTGTGTGTAGGGCGAAGGAGTCACCTTTGAACAAGGGTAACTTGGAACGAATGCGTTTACGCTGTCACTTGAATGAATAGATATTATATTTAAAATATATAAATATAAGCACCACCGAGCACCACAGTGTGCACACGCCAAAAACTAAAGAGAGGTCGTGTTTAGTTTCTGACTTGAAAAGTAAATATTCTCAAAAATAGTTATTTACTAGAAGAATATGATTTAGTGAGTTGAACTTTGCTTGTCGTATGGATTGTTTTATTGCTAAAATATTAAACCTACAGCATGCAAGCATTGAGTGTTTTTAAGCATGAAAAAATGTTTGAACTTTCTAATTATCGTATCCATGGCTACGGTAATTAGATCTAATTACCGTTTCCATAAAATATTTGTGTCTTAATAACTTCAAAACAACTTTGTCTATTCTAATGCCATTTAGACATTATTGATAGATTAATTGTAATATTATTGGTTATAATCTTAGATTATATTTTCCGTCATCATAAGGGTATAATGACCAAGAAAAAACAAAGGCTAAGGTAATTAGGCCGAGAACACCGAAATGGTAATTAGACTTAGAACACAGACTGTGAGAATGGTCGAGTCCTATGATTAATATAGATTTAACTAAACAGATTGAAGAAATATAAATATTGTAAAAGATTTCTGATAACGGATTTAATAAAATTTATTGCAAAATATGCAATAAATAAGTAATTTTCATTTCAATTTATGACTTCAACTTCGACGCGGTTTCAAAGCTACCCGAGGCGGTTTCAAAGCTACCCCAGGCGGGTTCGAAGCCAAGGCTTGGGGCAGCTTTGAACATTTGAGTTACTTCATAAAAAATGGGAAATCTGACAGTATTATAAACTTTTTCATCGTGCTTATTATGAGTGATTATAGCCAAATAATAGATCTAACTACTGTAACACTGTAACAAACTAAACAAATAAAAATAATGATTTAGGATTTTACAACCAGAATGTAAAAATACTCAAAGGTTCATAAGTATTCATTCTCCCCGATTTGTGTACCTACTATGTACTGGCGAAATCTAAAAAGGGCACAATAAGCAAGAGGAAGTAGACGCAACTGTGGCTATACTATTTTTTCTTGTATTTACTTTACTGTATTTTTCGATCATATATAATAAACAAAATTGATGGGCGCATCGGATTTCATATTTATTGCATAAACTATGTTAGATCATTTATTGATCTCCTCTTCTACTTCGGCTGATTCTGCGGTTACAGTATTTGGGAAAGTATCTCGACTATGGGCTACCACTTTCGGAACTGTTATTTATGGGGACACTATCGCACTACGGAGTTAACGGAAATATACTGGAATAATAGAAACAATGTATGTATATTAACGAGTGATATTTTAGCAATAACTTGGAAAATTTCAACGATTCCAAAAGTATTAGGAAAAATTTGGATAACGGAAAAAACAAATTTCAAAGATGGCGCCAGGGCGCTTTGCAACTTACAGCGCAGGTTGAGTGCTGCGGAATGAGGTGAGTAATTGGACCGGAAAGTAATATAAATTAAATTAAGAATAAACGTACGAACTAAGTACTTACTTTCGTACAAAGGTACGAAGGGCTAATAAGGTAACCCTACACTTCCAGCGTCTATTCACAAAGACGTCTTAAAAATCGTAATTCATGCCAAGCGACAAGTGGGTGGTGATCGCAGTAAAATTTAACCCTAAAACAGAGACAGCTTAAAAGAAGCAAATACTCTCCAAGGACTTGAAAATAAAAATCATCTTTTCATTATTTGTAGGTCATAATTTAATGCAGTTTTCTTTTATCATTAAACATTGGCTTCTGCTTTACTTATTAATATGACAAATGGAATATTGTTTGATATCTAGATTAAATATCTATTCTGTGATGCTATTTTAAACAACTTTTATATTTTGTCAGGTTTTGTACAATTCAATGTCTGATGTCAATTCTCAATTTCGAAGACTATATTTATAAGGTACTAGAAGCGGACATTCTTATTTGTTAAAATCAAGCACCTCTTGGCGAAAAATTGAGTTGTAGGTATATTTCTCAATGGTAGAAGGAAGATTAATTTTTTAATTATCTATGTTACATAATGTTACGGCGGCCTTGTTCTGATATAAACCTAATTTTTTTATTACCATTCTTTTTACACTAAATTGTTTAAGAAAATATGACATTTAATTAGTTGCCACGATTAAGTGATGCAGAATTAACGGTGATTGACTATGCCGCCTTAAAATTGATGAAATTACACATTGAGAAATCTACCTTACTTATCACATACTTTTAGTCAAGAATTAAATCGAAAAAAATATTGCATTTGTCCATTAAATGTATTTATAGTGTATGAAAGGCATTAAATCTAACAACAACAACATTAGAAATGGACATTATGTAAATTCTCATTAAGTAGAGGGACAGATAGTCAATTGTAAAACACAAACTAAATATTTGCAAATTTTAAGAACAATATAATTAATTACATTGTCTTCAGAACCAGAAGATTTATTTTGTTATTATATTAAACAAATTGTCTATTCGTGTGTATAATATATTCGTCGAATTCGTACTAAGACAATGGAACTATCTGCCAAACAGATTCGTGCACAAATTAACAAATGATTCTGTGTAAATTTTGTGGGTTTATAAAAGATATTATTTTAACATTCGCAATGGACACATTTATTTATTCATTTAAATATTTTTAACAATGAATGGCGTATTCAGTCGTGTTGAGCATAATTAGCCGCGTCTAGGCACTACTGGGTCTTTTGGCCATTTGCATATCACACTTTTATTTTATACAGATATTCGAGATTCTAGATTTATTCAACGTATATAGCAAATTTTCATTATTAGACACTAAATACAATTATATTATAATGAGCATCTAAACGCGGCTAAAAACCAAAATAAGACAACATTAAAAAACTCGGTAGCACACATCTCGCGGGCTTGTTAATTTTCGACACGAACAACACATTCGATATTTCTCAAATGATATGACAGTGTCGTGATGCAAGATATGTGCCACCGATCTTACGTTAAAAAAAATAATAAATATCTAATTTAAAACTAATTCAACCAATGTGTTTCATTCGAAACAGTGTCTATTCGCTAATGAGATTACTATTCATGTGCTGTCAACATCACTCTGTGGTCAGTTATTGTCAGCGTGGCGGCACTGGTGGAAGCGGAGTCTAAGGTCAATAGCTTGACAATTAGGTATATTTCAACATAAATATGGAATGTAGCAAACACTCAATTGAAAAGACCTTCGGATTTCGGCGTTCGGCCATAATTATTCTAATATTAAATTAGAGACAATATTTACAATAAAATAGAAACTATGCTTTGTAAATTAATAATCCTTGCCGTTATTGTACTGATATGCATTCTTTTATATTGTTACAAATAAATATAAAAGTTGTTTAAACACAGATTAATAGCTGCTGGATAGAAATTAACTTTAAAAATAGGTTACTTAAACATGAAACTGTACACTGCAAGACATCAGCTCATAATCGACTGACCTTTTTCATAATATACAATATCATCGAAGGTTACAATCGAAAGATTCATTAAATATTATATACTTTAATTGTTTCTATTTGAATTAATTTTACCTAAGACAACATACTTCAATGTAGACTTTATAGTGTTATATCTTTTTTATTTTATTTCAGTCTTAGTTTTTTGCGAAACTCAAAGACGGCGCGAGGAACACGGACGCACACTTGCAACGCCATACACACCTACAAAACAACTAGCGGGCAGTGAAACCTCGTCTTCTTCCATATTTCAATAGAAACAATTACCTCTAGGTCTAAACCGATTAAAGTATCAAGACTAGCGACGCTCTTGGCGTGGCGGCGGTGTTCACGCCCGCGCTTCCCCGGTCCTTCCTCACTGCCGAGTCGTCCGGCGTGTGGTCCGCAGCGTCCGCACTGTCACTACACGACCCTTCGCACATATCACAGGGTGCGCGCCCCGCGGCGCGAGGCCGGCGCCGCGCCTAAGCCTGCCCGGCCCACGGCCAGTCCCAAATAAATAAATACCAAGTCTATAATACTCCGGGACGCGCGTGCACTCCGGCGAGTCTGATCGTCCCGATAATGGAATGTAAGCGTGATATGGTAGAGGGGTGGTGCGGCGCGGCGGCGTCACGCGTCGGGCGGCGGGCTGGGCGCGGCGCGCCGCGGCACCATGACGCAGGGCGGCGGCCCGCTGGCCGGCAAGAACGGCGGCGGCGGCCGCGCGCCCATGCGCACCATCCACCGCGTGGCCTTCTGTAGCAGCCCGTCCTTCTTGCCCGCGCTGCCGCCGCCCGCGCCGCGCCGTGTCGGCGGCGCGTCTGCCGCGCCCGCCCACTCCGGGACGTCGCTCACGCATTTGTTTGGTGGAGGCTGAACGCTGCTTCTCGTCAGCTCGTCTTGCTGCAAATCACACAATAAACGTGTTATTACAACTGTTATTTGAAATCAATAACCGCGATAGAGTTTGTGTACATGTCAATGTGTTGCAAGTCGTAGGTACCTGATAAGGTGCCCGCAACTGCAAGTGTGCATCTTGTCCGTACTCTCCGTCGGGCAGCTGTATGCTGGGCGGTAGGCCGAGCCGTTCGGCGGCGGCAGCAGACCGCGCGCGTGACTCCTGCTCCACCATTTCTTGGATCCGCCCCACCATGGCCTGCAGCCTCTGCTGCTTTTCCCATTCCCTGAAATGATACAACATTCGATTACATTACGCTGGACGAGACAAATGTACTTTGAATAACAAAAGGCAATAGATTAGATAACATTGTTGTCTGGAGGTGGACTAGTATATGATTGGGTACTTGATATAATTATGCTTTACCAAGTTATCATTTACAAGGTTTTTATAAGGCGTAAATACGAGCAAAGTTAAAGAAAGGGATTTTCTTATTAAGGGGGTAACGAAAAAAAGTATATTCACAATGTGGAATGGTGATGCCTGTGATCGTGCCGTAGGCGCGGCCCCCCCGGCGCGCCCAGCCTCTCCATGCCCGCGCACCCCGGCACTTGTACCGAGAGCATCTGCAAATCACAACACACTGCTCTCACTTATGTGGTCCTGATTTTGATTAACGTTATTACTATAGTACAAAAATAAGATAAGAAACGAATAATTAATTATCGACTTGACTGCCAAAATTACGTATAGTTAAAGTGTATGTTTTCCTTTGTATTAATACACAAAATATTACTTATAGAAATGTACACGGTCGCATTATAATTCTCATGAAAATTAAATTTAAATACCTATGTAATATCCACTTTTGTTTTATGATGATTATTGTTTGAATAATTTTAATTTTGGGAATTGCAAAGTATGTTGAAAACCAATAAAGCTCTCAGTTATGTTTTTATGGAACTTACACTAGCAAGACTTTTCAATTGACAAGTTAACGTTAAGTTGTTGTAGTTGTTGTAATGGTCTTCCAATAATTTTTAAATTTAGATAGTACAAATATGTCGAGAATACAAGAACAATGATTGCAAAGTAATGTTGAAAACCAATAAAGTATTGAGAAAAATAACAAGTATTGAGAGCAATACTTGTTTTTATTGAACTTAACACTAGCAAGACTTTTCAACTGGCAAGCTAAGGTTGAATTGTTGTTGCTGTTGTTGTAATGTTCGTCAATTAATTTTTAAATTTAGATAGTACGAATATGCCGAGAATACAAGAACAATGTTAGCAAAAAATAAGATTAATATGCGTAAATAATGCTCGTAATTAAACTAATTAAAGATACATTTGAGACAGGTAAGTTACTATAATGCAAATATACAAATGGTTTTGATTTTTTTAATATAATACATATGTAATGCAATTAAGTGACACTGGCTACATACAGTACATTCATAAAGATCACAAGACTTAAAACTTAGAGCATTATTCTGGAAGTTGTTGTACTTCCTTATTTATAAACTGTATACGCCTTCTGAACTCTTTGTGTGGACTTTTATGGTTAGAACAGTAAATAGCTAAATTATTATATATATTTTATTTATTAAAATTTTAATATCTACACCCCTATCTACTTAATTGAGACTCGAGAGTAATGTTGTATTATGCATGAATCAAATCTCGTAAGCTGTGGCAAAAGACATTGAAATTCTTGAAAGTACACCTCTAAAAAATGTTAAGAACGATATTTATAGAAAACCTTTGCTCATCGTTACACTAATTTAATTAATCCGAATGAACGACAAATGTGCAAAAAATGAAATTACTTTAATACTGTTAAAATATACTGTGTAGGTACCTACCTTACTTACTTAGCTTATCTAAGCTACATAGGTTACACATAGCACTCATTAACAATAAGGACTTTGATTGATAAAAACAATTACCTAGATTATTAAAAAATAGCAAAGTGGTGATCTTGTGCATTTTAATAATATGTACTAACTATCTAAGTTAAAAATAGAGTTTACATGGCAATATAATAATATTATGTATAAAAAATACAACATGGTGTTTTGTTTAAGCTCTAAGTTGTTAACAATTTGTACTATTCGCAACGAATTTTGATGTTACATTCATTGTAATAAATCTTTTTGCAAAAACTTGACCTTCATCAGGTCATTTAAGACATTTGGCATTCTAATTTTTAATATTTTGGTCACACATTTTGAATGCATGTTAATACACATATTAAATTAATTTTATCTTTGCTTGTAATGACTACAACAAATTTGGTTTTGTTTTAGCCTATATGCTATTTATGAACAATTTCTAGTCACTTTTATGTTAATTACACTGGCCTTTGTGCTAAAGCATATTAAAGCTTTGTTTATTATTTAAAATTTAGTTGATAATATGAGATAATATTACCAAAAACTTACACTGTTCACAAAACTTATAAGAAAAATAAACAATCTGAAATAATAGGTAACTTCAGAATAAATTTTTGTAACTATTTTTCAATAAGGTTCACCATGACCAAAACAATACATGCATGTAAAAGTAAAACTGAATCTAAGATACTTCACTTTCAGTACATACTTAAATGTAATAATACTACTTATTCGTGTCGAGATAAGTAAACAAAACAACTTTGAGTGTATCAATTGACTGATATGACTGTCTGTTCCGAATTATTTTGTTGTTTATGTCTGTGTTAATTTATTTCGTATCAAAAATGCCAACCTCATTATCATTTTTTTGAGTGTTTTGTGGATAGACAGCTTTTTATGAATTATAAAACGATGTTGCCAGAGCTTCAGTCAATTGACTGGTAAGGTAACAGTAATATTATCATAAAACAAAACTAAGTTTTATGATAATATTAGTATTACCTTACCAATACTTAATCTGAATATTGTTATCTAGAAAATGCAGTAAATTCACAAAGTCCTTGTTCTACAATAAACATATTAATATGAGATTGTTAACTTAGCAATATACAATGATAAGATTATTTTTATCTCACTACTGGTCACAATAGGGTATTTGCCATAAAAAAATATTACTTCTATCAACTCAAATCTAGATGCTGTAAATGAATCTGAAATTAGTTTTTTATTTTCTCAACTAGACCAATGATACTAATCGTTAAAGCCGGTGGTGTTGGGATACCCCATCCCTTTTTAGTAAGACCATTGTAATGAAATTTGTATGGCGCCTTTAAGACTTGACCGATTAAGACCTTAAGGTCTTGGACGTCATGAATAATTATTGCAGTTCCTTTTTAACTCCTAATTTTGGAATGTCTGTATAGCTACACAGGCATGCCAAGGCATGTTTTAATACTTTTTCTAGGGAAACCTTGTGTCGCGGGCGCCATGTGTTTACACCCAAACGCACGAGAGAAATAAATATAGGCTATACAAATAATTCACTCGGCCTGAGAGTCGCACCCGGGACCTGTGCGTGGCAGATCAATATGGTAACTGTTCGGCCATGATCACAATAGATCAGCTGATGGTCGCAGTGATGAGGGGCTGCATATGTTCCGAATGAAACCACCCTAACCTTTCGGCTATGGAGGCAGTTTTGTAATGCTAATGAAACGATTTTATTATCGAATCTTGTCAATTACACAGTTTAGTAAATGATAACAAGCTCTCTTTAGTTAAGTTAATTGTAGCTTATTTTAGAGAGGACAATAATACTTATCTAACATAATTAATTGTTATTTAAAAGGTAAATAAATGGTTTGATGGATTTTACAATTACCACAAACAAAGCAATAAATGTATTCTCTTTGTAATAATATGAACTACAGATCAGGATCTTCTATTTCCACTACACAGATTTTGTTAAATAATAATACTGCACACACTCAACATAGATGATAAAAGGTTCCAAATATGATTTTATGAAAAAAAAAAAATGTGGCGCATCCATGTGTTGGATATTATTTTAAAGTAAGGGGTAGGCACTTTTTATTCTCAGTACAGACTATTAGCTATGAAACTGGAAAGAGTGTCTATATTTAGCAAACAGGTCAACACAACATGATTGGAGTGAATGACTTCTACTTCATAAATGTTTACTTTATCAAATAATATCTTGAAAAGCAATTGGTTATTATAATTCTTTGTGTATTGCTGTAAAAGCCTATGATTTTTAGTCTAATGATCATTTTGAAGGTTTGGAAATGGCATGAGTGAATAACATTTGTCAATAAAACTTAAATGAACTTTTCTTTAATTTCATTTAGATTGAGTAGCCAAAACATTCTTTTGAACTTAAAACTTAATAGTAGTATTGTCTATAATTATGATGTTGTTATTTATTTCAAAATAAAATTTGAGACATTACCTAATGGAGGAGTAAACTTAATAGACGTCTGAGCATATGGCATAAACATTTAATTTCACTGTTTAATTAACAACATCAACCAATCAATCTTTGTATTAATAATGATAACAAACTAGTGGACTAATTTCACAAAAAATAGGTGAAAATCATAGCAGTAAAAACATGATATTCAATAAAAATAAAAATAGTGTTTAACAGTAGTCTGAACTATGAAATCTTTACATAACAAAAATCCACTCTCTTGGGTTTCCAGCTACATCATTATCTTTAGATAAGAAACCAAACATCATAAAAAGAATTAGGAATTTCTGACTTATTTTGTTATTTTTATTGAGAATTTCCTAAGCTTAGAGTTGGTATTTGTGAATAAATTTCAATACACCACTTATAATAGTTAGGTCATGATTTTATTATGTATAGGACTGTTGTAAAGCGAATTATGATCGATTTAAAAATTAAACTTTTAAATTGTAGTAATTGCTTAAAATGGGCGCAAGTAGCATTTCGCGTGCAAACAAATGCATATGTTATCGAGCTGGCAGGTCACGACTATGATATGGCAAGAGGTGATTACGGAACTGTCCGTCATGAAAATTTATTTAAATTCACGCAAACAACGTCTGGGTGTGACGTCGCTATCGGCGCGCCTCTTATCACTTGGCACGCTCCCGCCGTCTCGCGGCCGAGCGATCGCCTCGGGCATCACTCTACTCGCCTCCACCACAAACATTCTCCACACCTCGCCCGGATTCATCAGCTTTACTCCACAACTCACATCAATTTTACATTCTCTAGTTAAACAAGTAGGTACATGTTAACTTATCAGTTATATTCCCAAACGGTACGTCTAGCTATTTACATGACTTTTTCATGTTTACTTACTATTTGAATCAGTGTCGTCCACAATTATTCTTGTAGGGTTTCCACCTATGGATGACAGATAGTTAAGTCCCTCTAGCAGGGATTTTGATGACACTTTCGTTGAGTCACAAATCGATCACTCGATCACGGGTGAACTTGATTACAAATCCACAATGACACTGACATTTACAGTTTTGTTTTGTTGAAGCTTTTAGCACTTAAAATGAAACAATCACAGGGCACTATACGGAGATTACGACAGCCGTAACGTGATTTTACAATAATTTGACTATCATTCACTAATAAATAAAAATATGTTTTTCATTGCAAATATGTAACACTATAAAAATAAATTATTTAAAAAATAAAGATAACATATAAATTCCACTATCGCGTACTTTGTGATACAGTTGCTTAAAACTCTTTTTTTCATATTGGCAGGAAGACGCCTGCCATCAAGCGAGTCTTGTTGTTCAATGACGCGGACGCGCGCGGCGCGGCGCGGCGCGGTGTTCGCTTCGCAGTCGCGTAGCGGGGGGAACAGGCGGGCGCGGTGCGGTGCACCGGCTGCCCCGATGTCGGCGCACACAATCGCATTGCGGCATGTACCGTCGACCCCGCACACACATAGACGGTCTGTCTACTTGAGACTGTGTGCTCATTCGGTCGACACGATGATACGAGTGACTAGTGAGTGAGGGTTAAAAACTAGTGATAGTGAGCGTAGTCTATCTGTTTATATGTGTGGAGCAGTTACACGAATGTATATCAAGCTCGATTGCTACCACTGTGTTCGTTTATATATGCGCACCTATAATTGTAATAGTGAGCGATGACGCGTTTGTCGGCTCGCGAGACGAGACGGTTGGCATTGCTCAATGATTGAGCTGTAGTCGTAGCGACGTACAGTACATTACATGAGTTACCCAATTCTCTAATAATGTAGGCGATCATTATTCACCGTCTTAATAATGTTTAATAAAAGAGATTCCGTTGAAAACGAGTAATATCAGATTAATCAAATTTTGTAGATAGTACCTAACCTACCTATCTTTATAATTAGTAATAACTTACGTAATGTAGAATTGAATTACAGTAAACTATTGCGCTTTACTGTAACATTCATACAGATTACTATAGAGTAGTGAAACAATAACGAATACCTTTAAATCATTGCAATGTAAATCAAATTTGAAGTTGCGGAAAAGTCAGGGTATGTAGGCATTCCTGTTGATGGCCTCGGGGGTCACACGGTTAGCATTTTGGGAGTAGATGAGGAGGTTCCGGGTTCGATTCCTGGTAGGATCAATTTGGGAAATGAGCTTTTGTAAATTGGTTTGGGTAGTGAATTTTGCTGGAAGGAAATCCTCGGTTTGATATTATTGGTGCGTTCTCCTGCACATTATTATTATATTAAAAATCAACTTCAAACTTATATTAGATTCAGTTCAAAGGTACTTTCCTGTATTGGTATGTTAATTTATTATACTTGATTTTTTTATTCCGTAAGCTTGACATTTTTTAGATTAAATAGGTTTTAGTAAGCTTATTAAAAACCTATTTTTTTACTTTTATTTGTCTAAATTTTCATATCCAAGAAGGATTAATTCAAGGTATATCCCAATGCTTATTCAGAATTTTATGCAATGCGCACGCGCATTGACTAGTTCGTTGATGTCTTTTGTATTAGATTATTGCTTGTTTGCAGAATAGAGTTCAACGAGCTCAATATTTTGTAAAATTTACGGTAAATTTTATTTGTAATTATTTATTTATTTTCGTGGTAAGTAAAACGTGTAATTTGTATTATGGATTTCTTAATGGATATCTCAACATGAGAGTATTTTTCTAAATAAACAACAAATCTGTGATCTATTTGTGTACAGTCAAAAGAACGTCAATTTTTACACATAACATTAAATTCGACACTATGCCGATTAGGATATGAATGGTTCAAAGGTATTAAACTTGATGACAGTACGAGAAAAAGGCTTTATTTTTGTTTAGTTTAAATTTAAGGAGCTTTACCAGTTCATGGTGTTATTAAGTTATGACAAATTTCAAGGATTAAGTCAACTTAGGTAAGTATAGTTTCAATAGTACGTTTTCATGGTTCGAGATAAGAACTAATAAAATACTGTAAGAACAGTCAGTCTATCGTATGTTGGCCGCACTCTTAGGGTCGTATTCCAGAACTCTACTCAATGCTCAGGTCAGGACTTGAGTATTGCAGTGAGCACTGAAAATCATACTCAAGTCCTTGCCATTAGGGTCGTATTTCCAGTGCTTGAAATCATACTCAAGTCTGCTCATATCCTGACTTGAGCATTGAGTACAGTTCTGGAATACGACTCTTAAACCGCCTTCAAACACATTCCATCAACACATGATAAACACCATTCATTATTAAATGAACAGTAGGTGTGACCATCCATCAAGGAGGTAGCAATCACAGTGCAGTCACTTAATTCAGAGAACAATTATCACTCCAGGGAACCAGTGGCTCAAATTAAATTGCTTTGTCTTTTTTTTTACTTTCTCAACTTCTTGTACTTGGTGGCAACATTTTACTTAAACAATCAGTGTAAAACGTAATTGTAGAGTATCTCACCGCTAAAATAAGCTAGCTATGGAAACATTGGCTTAAAATTGCGTTGTATTAAACTAATATATGGTATGTAATCGTGTGGATTATGGGTAAAAGCTTTGCGAATTTGCAAAATAAAAATGGATAACATTGCTATTCTGCAAACTCAGTGAAAGTTAAATCGTGCAAAATAGCTGCGCTTGTGTAGAACGTTTTTTTGGTGAAGAAGTTTCTTCGGCTGAGAGTCGAACAATCAACATCTCTTGAGGATGCCTCGTAGAGAGGCGAAACACTTATATAGGCGGGGATATTTTTGGTGGTAGTGTTTGTGACTGTAATGCGTTTGTCTTATGTATTTGATTAATTTTATGCATAGGGAGAGTGGCAAAATTAATTATATGGAAAAAAAAATTACATTTACAGCTACTTTGCACGGTTGAACCTTTACTCGGCTGCTCTATAATAATATTCAATGCTCGATAATAGTATTCGGTAAAATAATTTTTTACCGAATACTATTTCTATAGTAGCCGAATGGCGGTGCAACTGCTTCAAAATTTTACAATTATCAGACCTTAAAAACCTAGTAAGGGACACGTACTCTGGTCCGTCACCAGACAAAAATCTTTTAAGTTACTTTAACCAATTCAAATAGCAAGCACATGACACATGCTAGGTTTTAAACTAGTTAAACTGCCTTAAGTACTAGGTACTTGGATTGGCAATTATTTTTATTATTATTTCTCCTTTAGGTACAGAAAAATAACCCACATCCTCTCCAATTCTTGCAACTCTATCTACAATATATATATATAT